CATACCCCCTTAATCGCCTTGTTTGGTTTTTATCCGTGGGTGCTTCCCTTCGTTTTGGGGGGGTGGGGTTTTTTTTTTTTTTTTGGTGGGGGTTTTTTTTTTTTTTTTTTTTGGGGGGTTTTTTTTTTTTTTTTTTTTTTTTTTCGTTTTCTTTTTTGGCCTCCTCGATAGTGAGGAGTACTCCGTAGTTCAAAGTCATTTTGTTCATTCCCCCTCCCCCTGATCCCCACCTTTCTCTTCCATATGCTGCGAAATATATAGTGTAGACGGGTAGGTCGAAAAACGTCAGAAAAGCCCGACACCGTAGATGCGGAATTGAGGAAGAAAAGAATTTTGATGACTTTTCCCACCGTGCAATTTCCACTTTTCGACTGCTTTTTCTAAATTGAAATGTTCTATTTCTTTATCCGCAAAAATTTATTATGTCTATTGGCTATAGATAATCGTACTTTATAAGTTTAGTGCCTTCTCTTTGTCCGACCACGCTCTTCAATCCTTGTATATAGCCACTTAGCTAGCATCTGAAGGTTTACCACTGTTGTACTCAAGGTCTCTTTAACTACTCGGGACTCATCAGACTGCTAGCGTAAACGTTGATCCGGACATTCATTCAAGGTATCTGAAAATATAATACATTACAGGTCTGCAGACCGGCTGCGACGTTAGCCCTCCTTGTTTTCGCACCACGGCACCCTTCGCTAGGTAAAGGACGACCCGCATTAGGAGCTCTCGGCACCCTCATCATCTTCGCTGCTGACCTCCTCGCCCTCTGCTATAGCCTGCTCCCGCCGCTTGCGGGCTCGCTCACGTTTCTTCTCCAGTAGATGGTTGAGCTTCTTGGCCGTGTTGAAAACACCTCCAGTGCCGGCTCCACAAGCCGCACAGGACGGGTTCTTTCGATATTGCTGCAACGCGCATGATTCGCAGAAATAATGACCGCACTTGGTGATGATCGGATTTTGATAGGGCTTCTTGCAGATGATACAGGCAAACGGGATATTTTCGAGGAGCTCCTCCTCGTCGTCCTCGTCGTCCTTGGACTCATTGCCACCACTTCTCTGCGACGTCACCTTCCCGCTCAGAGTCTTGCCCTTGGTGTTGACCTCCCAATCTCGGTCAAGCTCCCACCCTTGTTTGTAATCCTCGCGCGCATGAAGATAAATGCAGCCGTCGCCAAAGCCACAGTATCCCGTGAGCTTGTAGTCCTTGCAGACATTTGGCATGTAATCGGTGAACGTGATGGTTCGGACGTTGGTGGGCGCTTTCATGGGACCGAACTTTTTGCTTGGGGCGTCGGGGTTTTTCTGAATAAAGGACTGATAGTTGGCCGCTCCCTTGTATTTTCCGTCGGCCGAAGACGACGCGTCCGTAGCCGGTCGAGCTCGCGTCGTGCCCAGAAGGCTCTTCTCACCCAGACCCTCGTCATACCAGTTGGACTGTTTGGTCGCGTCGTTGGTCGACGCCAGGGGAGCCGGCGCGGCGGCAGTAGCTTGCTCATCCTGCGGGGCGTCCCTTCGAGGAGCATTGGTGGCCGACGAAGCCGTCACGGCCGCGGTCTTTCGGCGTCGCTTGATTCTCCGGCCCTCGTCATCATCGGAGGATGTAAAGCCTGAGTCCGAGTCGGAGGCGGGCGGCGGGGTCGCGGGCTTCTTGCGAAAATTAGATTTGGCCTTGGCGGATCGTTTCTTGAAAGAGAATTGAGGCACATCGTCAGCGAACTTGGATTCGTCGGCCATTGTGAATTGCGCTTCGACTGCCGGCGAGGGGATGGGTCTGTCTAGTCGGGTTGAAACTTGAGACTGATTGAGTGGCGACGGCTTGGGCTGGCCGGACTCCGAGTGTTCACGTGACCAATGACAAAGCCATCGATCGGGGGGCGATGGCGCCTGCCCCGGAACAGACTAGCGGGTGAACTATTGACTCACTCGGTCAGGTGATGTCAATAACCGAAGGGATGCAAACCGGACAAACAGCCAAACGGGTGCCTGAGGTGCCTGACAGCGACCGACGGTTGGTTCTGTTCGGTACGCGTCGTACGGGGCCTGGTAAGTAAGGCGACGATTGACAAGTCACTCTTGTTTATTGTTCGAATGTTTGGTTCATAATAAGGTTTCTCTGGACGGAGCAGATCATCGTATATCATATTGTCGACCTTCTTCCGGTTCCTATATTGATCAATTATCTATTGATTATATTTATGCCCCTGGTACACCCCGGAGGAGGAACTCTAGACCCCTGATTCTCTCTCTTGAAACAATCCGATTAATTACGTACCGCCGGCAGTGCTGGAGCTGAAGCCACCCCTTGTGCTCCTGTCCTCTTCTTCCCTTCTTCCCTTCTTCTTCCCTTCTTCTTCCCTTCTTCCTCTCCCCACCCAACGAGTCGGTCTCGTCTCGTTGTCCACCCCCCTCGGCACCATTTGTCCCCTCTCTTTCCTCTTCCCTTTCTCTCCCCCCCTCACCACCCCTTCCTTCCTTTCGACTTGAGTTTTCTTCTTTTCTTCTTTCTTCACCTTCCCTACCCTTGTGTCCTTCCTTATCCTGCTTAATTTTCCTTTTCTTTCCCCACCGATCTTTTCTTCAATTCGATTTTCCCACCTATATTAATTGGTATACCGGTTGTTTGGACGTCGGTGTCAGTCGCATCCGTCCAACCAATCTCGTTGATATCGCTATTATTTTTCTTTTTTGTGTTTTTGTTTTCTGTAATTAATTCCCTCGCGGTGATCCCCTCCGATCGTCGCGTGAGTGGCTGTTGCTTGTGGTTGGTCCGTATCCTTGTCGACCTGACGTCCACAACGCGTTTGTGTTGTCTCGATTTCTGGCGGTACGTCGGGAACTCCGCTCCACTCTTCCCCCCCCCGTCGCCCTCCAACTGACTCTCTGACCGTTCGGAAGGCGTTGTAGCCTCCCTCAGTCTTCAATCCTCGACCCTCTTAACTCTATCTCTACTCTCGCTTTTGTCAATTCCTGAGTTTTACGTTTACTTGCAGACGACGGACACGGCCTTTCCACCCAACTACCCGACGGACGGTGCTCTTCGCTTAGCGCCGTCGCATTCGACTCGGAATTTGAAGATCGCAGAAACCTGGTCGCTGGTCGGCTGATCCAACGCCTGAAGAATCCCGAACCGACTTAAATCCATCAACACTGCTAAGGGTCGACTGGCTCGTCGGATGATGACTGAGGCCTGAGAAGGATTACGAGGCACGAGGCGACGAGCTTTGCGGGTTCTTATCGGCAACTGCGTCCTCTCCCCAGAGGACCAGATACCACCCGCAGGCTATTCCATCCAACAATGACTACATCTTCGTCAGATTCAACAGGTAACGGCGCGACCGATCAGGACCGGAGCATGTCGACGATCGACGACCCCTTCGTTTCCCCGTCCGAGGGCCAGGCGGTGCCCCGCGAGTCCCATAGGTATTCGTCCTTCGACACTCAGTTGTTCAGTCTGGATGCATCGTCCCCGGCGCAGGCAAAGCGGGCCCTCGAGGCCCACCTGGCCGAGACCGAGCGCAGACTCGAGGAGGCGTCGAAACTAGGCACCGCGCTGATCGAACAGCAAAGGGAGCTGGAGGAGAAATTGAAAGAGGTGGAGCAGCAGCAGGAGGAGGGCCAGATTGGGCCGGACTTGCGTCGGAAACTAGCGGACCTGGAGCGAGAATACAATGAGATTGGCCGCGAGACTGCCAGGGCTTTTCTTGCCCCGAAGCGTCTGGCGGGCGGCGACGAGGCGCACCTGAGCACCCCGTCAATAGACCAGAAGGTACATGTGTTGCATACCTACTCGGCCTCTTCGACGTAACTAACCCCCTTGACTTTGTAGTCACCCCTCAGTCCCGCCTTGTTCGCCAGCCAGGCAACCAACTCCCCCAGTAAGGTGAGCGTGCCGTCCCGGAAACAGCGAAACCAGCCCTCGAGCCGCGTTCACGACATCGAATTCGCCACCGAGATTTCCACGTCCCTCCTGGCCCAGGTTCGTCAGCTGCAGGCTCTCCTAGCCGAGCGGGAGGAGTCGTTGAAGGTTGTCAATCTAGAGAAGTCGAGGTTGGAGCTGGAGGCGGAGGGTTACGCCCAACGGATTCGCGCCTTAGACGAGAGCGAGGAGCGCTACAAGGATGAGAACTGGGCCCTGGAAACTCGAACGCACGAGTTGATGGCCACGATTAAGGAGGCCACCGATCGAGAAACCCGATTGAACAGCAGCCTGGGCGCCGCCACCACCGAAAAGAACGCCCTGGAGCGCGAACTCGAGGACCTGAAGCAGACCAATTCCAAACTGCTTGAGGATCAGACCGTCGCTCAAAAAGCCAACGATGCCGAACTACACCTCTTGCGCAGGAACCTCAATGCAGGCGACCTGGAACGCCAGTCGTTGCAACAGAAACTGGAGGAATTGAACTCGCAGAACCAAGAGCTGGCAAAAGCGGTGGCTATGCGACTGCGGCAGCACGAGGCCGAGTCCACCCGCGATGCTCCGCGCGATGACGACTCCGATGACCAGGGCCGAGCGACTCCGGACAATTCACCCCCCCCATCTCCGAACAAGTTTACTCCTCGCCACAACCATCTCGAGACGGAGACGTTGCGAAGCTCGTTGGGTCATGCCCACCGAATGATCCAGAACCTGAAGAGCACCATTCACCGCGAGAAGACCGAAAAGATTGAGCTGAAGAGGATGCTGCAAGAGGCCCGGGATGAAGTTGAGCAGCGTCGCCGTGAAGGTGCCGGACCTGCCGGACCATCTAACAAGCGGCAGAAAACAAAAGCAGACGCCCAAAGAAAACCACGCCCGGATCTGCTTGGCGCCGGTCGGCGAGGAACGACGGAGATCGAGGTCCACGAGTCCGACTGGGAAGACAACGGTGCTGATTCTAGTCCCTCGCACAAGGCTTCTCTGAAGTCTTCTCGGGGTCCTCCTGGCGGCCAGTCCTCTGACGAGCCAAGCGATGTGTACCACACCGCCACCGAGGCGGATGATGCCTTCGAGACCGCCAACGAGCGCGAGACCGCGACGGAGAGCGACGCATTCCAGACCGGCATTGAAAGTATGGCCGACTCTAGCAGCGACTCCGGCGATGCTACGGAGACCGAGGACCGCCTCCAGAGAACCCCTCGCGGCCGCGTGTCGTCTTTGACGCTGACCAAGACTCGGGAGCGTACGTCGTACCAGAGCACCGCTTCGACTTCTGGCGACGAAGATGATACTGAGCCCGAAGAATTCCCATCCCCCAGCCAAGTGTCCACGCCTCGCTACCGTCTCCGGAAGAAGCGAAGCGTACAACGGAGAATTCGTCCTTCCGGGGAAGCTCCTATGGCCTCTACCAGCAGGCCATCAAGTGCCCGAGAATCCCCGGCGGCGAGCTTTAACGACGAGTCCGAGTCACCCGAAGGTCAGAGTCTATTTGCAGAGCTTGCGGAACTGGATGGCGAGGACGAAGGAGAATTTGGCCCCGCGATGCCTTCCTCGACTTCCACCCCGCGAATGATGCCCATGTCCGATTCTAGAAGACCTTCAGAAGCTCCACTGGAAGCTCCACCCAGACCAACCATGGTTGACTCTGGCGTCATGACCGATCCCTGGGAGCCCGCGACCTCCATTGGCCAGGAATTGGCTGGCGAAGAGGCCGTTTCTAGCGTCCCGGCAACTCCAAAGAAGACATCCGACGCGGGTACTGCTACCGGCGCGCCCGAATCTCCGCAGATGGCTCATTCGGCAACTCAATGGACGCCGTTGAAAGCACCCCTCGACCGCAATGGAGATGCCGTCTCTAACGTGCCAACTCCGCCTAAGAGGGCTTGGGATGACCATGCACCGGACGCCCAGCGCGATGCAGATGGTGAGCCTGTTCTGCCACAATTGGATATCTCTTCCATCTCCACCCAGGAGACTGCGCCAGTTGCGCCAACTCGGCCCGATTTGAGTACGGCCTATCTTGTTGGAGGCCTGACCGAGCCAATTGCGCTCCCCACTGCTGAGCCTGCAGAAATGAGGTATTCGACGATCTCGTCGCAATCCACGGACCCTGTAGTGGCCAGACTCCCCACCCCGGAGCCGGTGTATGAACCAAACATGAATGTCTCTTCGATTCTTGCAGAGCACACTCTACCAATTGTGGCAACGCCTGTCGAACCCGTGGTTGTACCCCCAGTATCAGTCTCAGAGCGTGCCACTAGCACGGACTTCCAACCGTTGGAGGTTTCGACCATCTTTTCTGAGCACACAGAGCCCGTGGTGGCCACTCTGCCTGAACCGATCCCGGTGCCAATCCCAGAACCTACGCCGGAAGTCACTGTTGCCGAGCGCGCTGCCCAATGCGACCTGCCAGACTTGGCCGTTTCTATTCTCACGCCAGAATCGACCGAGCCAGTGGCTCCACGAGTGCCTGAGGCTACCCCAGTGCCGGGTCTGGTTGTTTCGCTTCTCACGCCAGAATCAACCGAACCTGTCGTGCCACAAACTCCGGAGCCTGCTCCAGTGCCAGAATTGGCTCTCTCACTTATCACTCCAGAATCAATCGAACCTGTCACGCCTCAAGTGACGAAGGTTGCCCAAGCACCGGAGTTGGCCATCTCGATCCTTACTCCAGAGTCAACCGAACCGGCCGCTCCTCAACTACCGGAGGTTGTTCCCGCGCCAGAGATTTCGGCTCCAATGCCCGAACTGTCGCTTTCCACAGTCCACGCGCTGGAAACACTCCCCGTTCAATGCACACCAGCCGCAGTCACCCTTCCGGCGGCTCTCCCCGACCATGTAGCCTATACCACCCAAGATCGGGGTGCCGGGCCTGACATGCCGATTCCCCAAACCCCAACTGTGGTGGTTGCTGAGGACGATGCGACGGAGGATTCCGTCAATGGCACGAAGGACCAGGAGACGGAAAGCGTGCTGCCTTTGGGCTCCATCTCTGGGAACGCTGGCCCGCGCCATGCAAGGCGCCTGTCCTCTTCTCAATTGGCAGACCAGGGCGCTCAGACAATTCTTTCTTCTAAGCAAATTGACCAGCTGCTTCTGGACCGCGTCACTTCTCGCCCGCTATCTCCCCCAGACAGCGATAAGGCTAAGGAGCTAAGCAACTCTCCGTTCGCCACGCCAAAGGCGCGACCTCGACCCGCTCACCAGGCGTCGACGACCTCTCTTCAACGACGGCCAGGCAGTGCTAACAGCCTATCCTCGAGTGTGCACAGCCACCCGCCGTTACCTTCCGACCACAAGGAAGCCATCATGGCTGCCGAGAAGAAGTCGATAGAGCAGCGACCCGGATCCCCTGCCCTCATGGGTCCTCCTCTCGCCCCCGCCTCCGCTTACAAGACGAACGCTCCCCAACGCCCGCGAACTCCAAACGAGGGTCATGCCTATGTTGGCTCAACGAAAACAGCCTCCTCGCGTGTCAAAGGCAGGCGCGAGAGCCAAGTGTCGCGACGATCATCCGTTTCATCTTTTGCTTCCGAAGTTGAAGAACGATTCAATGGGCACCCCAACGCCGCTGGCTTCCCCTACGGATATCCCGCTGGTACAGATGCGCGGATGATCCAGGCGATCACCCAGACAATGATTGGAGAATTCCTTTGGAAATACACCCGCAAGGCGGTTTCCGGGGAGATCTCGAACACGCGACACCGCCGATACTTCTGGGTTCATCCGTATACCCGCACACTGTACTGGAGTGAGCACGACCCGCAAAGTGCTGGCAAGACCGAAGGTCGGACAAAGAGCGTTCCCATCGAGGCTGTTCGAGTTGTGGCGGATGATAACCCATACCCCCCTGGTCTTCACTGCAGGAGTCTGGAGGTCGTTAGCCCGGGTCGTCGGATCCGCTTCACGGCCACCACCAGCCAAAGACACGAGACCTGGTTTAACGCGCTCTCGTACCTTTTGCTGCGAAACCCGTCGGAGGAAGGGGAAGAGGAGAACAACGTGACCCTGGAAGACATTGACGAGTTTAACCCGGGATTCCGCTCACGTTCTCAGCAAACGGCACGCATGTCAATTTCTTCCTCCCAGAGCCGTCCTCTCCGAAACCCGCCCAAGCAGCGGGCGGCATCTGCCATGTCCGTACGCAACAACAACAACAACAACAACACCCTGACACCAGGCCGTGTTTCTCCCGCCCTCAGCACACCCTCGCAGTACTCGGACCAGGTCCGACACAGCTCTACCTCCCGGCTGAGTACGATTCTGAACTCGACGATCAAGGGATCGATCGGCCGACGGGGCCCAGGTTACGCCAGCTCCAGTCTCCATGATGGTAGTGTCCATGACCATGACAGCGAAGAAGACCTGCGACATATGATGGAGCAACAAGAGCAGAATGATCGACTGGAGAATGTTCGCGCGTGCTGCGATGGTATGTAGATACCCTCAACCCAGACCTCTTTGAGTGTCAAGACCATCTTGCTAATCATTGCTTCCCTGCAGGCAAACACGACGTCGGTTCACTCTCCCGGATGAGTCGGTATAGCCCGCGTGTCAACCGGATCCACTCCCATCATTAGCGTCCTTTTTTCGAGCGTGGTTGCTTCGGCCCCGTTGTCTGGTGTCGGGAGTTTGTACTCATCGCATCGCTGACCTCTTTTTTCTCTTCTTTTATACCGCCCGCTATGTTTTTAATCCCGGGGAGGCGAGTCCTTTTCTTTTCTTGGGCATTTCTCGCCGCTCCGGTGCCTGGATTTTCAATTTCTGTCATTCCTTCCTGCCTATATCAAAGCATGATTTAGTGATTTCCTTTGTCAATACTCATTGTCAGCCCCCGCATACATTTGGGTCATTCATTCGCATCGGCTTGGCATCTTCCTCTCTTCTACCTCCTATCTCCTGTGCGATTATTCTCGCCCGCTCGAGCATCTTGTATTTTTTGATTTGTCTCTGATCTTGAATTCTAAACTGTAATGAGCGAGATTGACTGATTATCGGGTTTGCATCCGCGTCGTTGACTGTGTTCGCTATTTGGGTTTATGTTATCTATTTTTTTTGGTATGCCAGGAACTTGGTCTAGGCGCCAGTATTGATCGAGGCAATCGAATTCTTGAAGACAAACGAGTTGATACTGTGTAACTACTCCGTTGTAACTGCGTGGTGTCCAGACTCCAGAGGGAGCGCTAAACTCTCCGACCCTCGGAGACTTTTCTCCACTCCAGCCCATCAAATCTACTTCCTGAGTAGTATTCCATCTTTCCTCTCCACCTCTAGTGCATCTTTGAACTTGCTGTAGATCCAGGATTTTCTGTCAGCCCAGTTTTCGTTACTTCGGCTTGACGACACTCCGTCTTCTTCCAAATGGCGTCTGTGAACGAACCTACCACGCGAGAATGGCTGCTCTCGCTACTGGAACCAGGAATGCTTCTGGCTTGGGCCATGTCCTGTAAGTGTCACATAAGATCTGTACCCCGTACTGGTCGTGTGCGGCATCCCCCACATTCCTATGCTGCCACACTCGGACTGATACAAGATAGATTATGCGAAAACTAGTCTAGCAGCTGTCTTTCAACGCGGCCAGATCCTGGCTCCCCTGCTAGAGACTCGCCGACTCCGCGACGAAGCGTTCGGCAAGTTCTGGGTCGAGTTCAGCTGTCAGTTCTTTCTTTGATTCCTTATTTATTTCCTTCACTACTCCAGCTTGTGCTTTGCCCACTCCGTGGCGGGTCCTATCCCATTCGTTTAGATCCTTCAAGCTCATATTCCCTCTCCCCTACAGCCAACCGAGAGGAATCCATGGAATCCGCTCAACCGCCCCCGAATCAACCCCCGTCCCCCCCGTCGACGGAAGTCCAAAATTCCACAGACCTGATCCCGCCTGTTCTAGCCCAGGCGTCCGGTCTGGTCCTAGACGTAGGACCCGGTACGGGGACTCAGATGCCTCTACTGCGGTCCCCCGCTATCAAAGCCATCTACGGCGCCGAGCCCTGTCAGGGCCTGCATGAGGAGCTGCGCGCCCGAGCCGTCGCCAACGGCCTCGGCGAGAAGTACTTCGTCCTGCCCTGCAGCGTCGAGGGATCGGAGCTGACCCACGCGCTGGAGAAGCATGGGCTGAACCGCACGAACGAGGGGCTTTTCGACACTATTGTCTGCGTGCGCGTCCTGTGCTCCTTGCCTAATATGCAGCAGTCCGTCAACGAGCTGTACGCGCTGCTGCGGCCCGGCGGCAAGCTGCTTATCACGGAGCACGTGGTGAATCCGTGGCGGACGTCGAAGGGGTCCGTCGTGGCGAGGGCCATGCAGGCGCTCTACGGTGCTTTGGGCTGGAGCTTCTACATCGGTGATTGTTGCCTGAACCGCGATACAGAAAAGGTGCTGCGGGCTGCCGGCGAGTGGGAGTCCGTCGAGCTGGATCGCTGGTTTGGCCGTACGGTGTTTCCGTATATCTCGGGGGTGCTGGTCAAGAAGGCGTAAAGAATTACGAATGGGTTTGCCTGTACACAGGTGGAGAGGGAGCATTGTTGGTGCTCCGGTCGGGTGGTCCCTGAGAGCTTCCTTTGGGTGTTTTACTGTGCTAAGAAAAAAGGTTGATGGTGTGTATATGATGAAAGGGTATCAATATTATTCGTTATATGTGGAGACGATAAATAATGTGTAAACAGCATCGATGTTTCGGAGCCATGATATATGAGACGTGGAACGGAACATGTCTGGGGGTATCTAAACATTGGAGCTAACCAGGCTTGGGACGTCCCGGCGGCCAAAAGTCGAAGAGATCGAGAGCTTCGGTCGTCCAGGGTCCTTGCTCGTGATTGGTATCATCATTGTCCGTGTTTAGCGGGCTTTTGGAAAGGGCCGGTCGACTTTGTAGACTGTTTGCGCTTGTCAACGCGGTCGGATCTGAATACGATTTGCGAAGCCCCGTCGAAGATCTACTCGTCGGGAGACCCTGCGCCTGGGCATTGTGGCGGATGGCAGCTGAAAGCAACGGAGACGGCGCCGATGGTCGAGAGGACACAGGTTTGGAGGGAGCCTTTGTCTTGGGATGTACGGAATCATCGATCATTTCATCCAGGGCAAATTGCGTGGAAGCGGAGGGTGTGAAGTCAGGATTTGGCGGGAGACGATTTGGATTTATCATCGGCGCATCCCTGAAAGAGTCAGCCCCAGCATCCGTCACTGTTATAGAGCACATACTAACTGCGATTTGTCCCGTGCGAGCCTATTGGTCTTTTCCGATAACGGCACCGTGGTGGACGCTTTCGATGGCGCTTGATTAGGCAAAAGCGCACTGTACATCAACTTTTTACGCGGCTTTTCATTTGAGAGTCGTAGTGTATTAACAGGTCGGTCCGTGGGGATACGTGATGGCGCCCTTAGAACATTATTGGCGGCAGGCCGAGGTTTGTCAATCCCGGGGTTCTCAGTAGCGGTTTTCGGCTTTGTGCCGGCAATGAACAGCGAGGTGGGCGTGACGCTTGAGGGAATCGGATCCCTCCGAGGTTTTTCAATGCGACTAGGGGTATTTTTCGACGCGCGCTGTTCTATAGAATCGAGTGACTCGGACAAGTCAATGACCTTGGGCTGGGCTCGGCTTGAACGGGCAGGCAGCGACGGGCGCGGTTGACTATCGAAGGAAGCCGTCTTCTGGCGCTTGGGAGCTGGCTGAAATACCGGTTGATCAACCTTGTCTAACCGTGTCGAGGCTCTGTCTGCGTGGGGAGAAACCAGATGTCCGATCGGGGTCTTTTTGATCCCCAAAAGATCGTTCAACGACCGCGACGGTTGTGAGGAGAGAGATGATCGCAAGGGGGTAGGCGAGCGGGCGGAGGGGGTCGCGGGATCAACCGGACGTGATGGAGACCCTTGACTGGGCTTTTTCGCGTAGAGAGCCGAGATATCGGTCTCTGTCTTCTCCATCGACTCGCATACTTGGATTATCAGGCCTCGGTCCAGCTCCAGCTCGTCGCCATCCTGGATGCTTTCGTCATGCCGCCAATGCAGGTCTCCGACGAAGTTTCCCGTCGTGTCGTAGACCATGACCCGCTTGTTGAACGTGTGGAATCGGAGGTACCCATCTTGCCAGCGTTTGGCTTTGCGCCGCAGATCGCGGGTGAACAGGCATCGGAACTTGATCACGGGCGCGGTGTTTTGCGTGGTCGGGACGTTTAAGCTGGATGGGACGGGGGTCGACATCATCGAGGGGACGAGGGCCAAGGTTTGGCGACCCTCGGACTGAGGACCATCTGGGCGAAGATGGAGGATGGGGGGAGCGCGGGTCGAAGGATAAAGCAGAAGTGAAGAAGTGAAGCGGAAGAGAAGAGAAGAAAGACGAGGGTTGAGCGGGTCAGGTGTGGCTGCCTGAGGCCACAGTGCGCGGGAAGTGTTGTGATCGTCATCTGCTTCCACTTCATACTTCGACCTCTTTTCCTTCTTCTACTTCTTTTCCATCAACCGTCACACGCTGTTCCTCGTTGCTATACTGTTCACGAAATGGACCCTAACGTCTTCCTCTTCAGTAGTAGATCCATAGCGATTGCCCCTCGAGGTTGATTCCAGACGTGTCTAACTGCCGACCGAGACCTGGCTGGACCATGGTAGCAAGCCGCTGCCAATGCAGGAACCCATAACCGCCCGAGCTACGGTGTATACAAACAGAAAACACACAGCATACATATCTCTGAGATGACTGACAGGAAACACAATCGTGGCACCACTAGGGCTCTTCGGTCGAGACTTCGGACCCCGATGGGGCCAGGGATCTACACCGGTTCTTTCCCTCCGTCGATCGAAAACGCCCAGCATAAGGCAGAAACTCGGCTGAAACGCCGTTTGACAAACTGGACCCCAGCGAAAGGGTCCGACAAGGCGACAGGCTGCGTCATCAGATCGAGGCTCCTATTCTCCCTCCTCCTTGAATCTGCCCCTCTTCCTCCTTTCCCATTCATCGGTCCCTCCAATCTCCAGTCTTTCCCTTCCCACCCTCCGTCGGATCTGATCTGGTCGTTGTCCCGCCTTGAGCTCTCATCGATCTCCTCTCCCTCTTAGCTCCCCGCTGGCCTTTTCCCCCGCCTTCCCTTGTCGGTTGATTGAACACTTTCTTCCTTCCCCCGTGACACAATGCAGAGCGTACAAAGACACTTCGGGAAATTTATGAAGCGGTCGGCCGACGACAGCCAGGTGGCCATTCTTCTAAAGGACTTTGACGAAGCGGACAAGCTTCTGGGCCGCGTAAGGAAACCCCCCTTCTCCCTGCTTGTCTGCCTGCCTGCCGTTACGTCGTCCATCAACTGATCGACACGAGCCGTAGATTATCGATTCGACCAGTGCCTGGCGCGATGCTTGGTCCGGACTCCTGACGCATCAGAGTCGAATGATCGGCGAATTCGAGGACCTCTACGCTCCCATCATCGGCTCGGATCCATCCCAACACAATGCCTCCTCCCCCCCTGAAGCGACCCTGGCCCGAACGAACAAGCTTCGCGAGGAGTATGAAGACCTGCAGAAGGAGCTTCTCACTGAGCTCAGCGCCGTGGATGAGCGTATGATTCAGCCGGCGTCGGAAGCCAGGGAATGCTTTGTCCCCGTGAAGAAAACCATCAAGAAGCGCGATGACAAGAAGGTATGCTCCGCGATCATTTGGCTGGAGGAGACTGTCCAGCGGACTAACTAACGTCTTGTTCTTCGGTTGCAGTTGGACTACGAGCGCTACCAAAGCCGCGTCGATAGCTATGCCAAAAAGACGAAGCGATCGGACCGCGACAACCAGAGTCTGGCCAAAGCGGAGGGCGAGCTCACCAAAGCGACCGAGGTATGCACACCGATCGTGCGGGTGCTCTGACAATGCTGGTTCTAACACAAGAGCAGGACTATCACGCCGCGGATGAACATCTGCGACAGAACCTCCCGCCCCTGATCACCGCGGCCTTCTCGATGCTTCCTCGTCTGCTAGCCACGCAGGTCGAAATCCAGAACTCGATGCTGGCACACTATTATACCGCCATCTACAACTACAGCCAGGAGGAGAAGTTTCCCTCGGCGCCCATTCCCATGGAACAGATTGTGCTGGACTGGCAGCAAGTTCTGTTACCGGTCCAAGAAGAGATCGAGGGCTTCGGCTGCCTCGCCAACGGCAAAGTCGTGCGAGGCACCGATGACCACCGCAACGGAAGTAGCCAAGGCCCCAGCAGCAGCGCCTCCAATGGAGCCATGTCTCGACGTCGCTCCAGCGGTGCACTCTCGTCACGCAGCACGCAGCAACGCGCAACTTCCCCGGCCCCCAAGATCCCGCCTATGCCGTCACCGTCACCGTCATACGATACGAAGCCGCGGTCGAACGACGTCGGATCTCTTTCGTCTTCCCTCAACACCCCTTCTGCCCACCTCTCCCCGAACAGCTATCACACGCCAGCGTCCGAGCGTCGTCCCTCGTCCTCCGCGGGCCTCTCGCCCTCGAGTGCCCGAACCGACTACTTCGGTCGCAATCCCACCCCGTCCGCCAGCGGCGCCACTTCCCCGAACTACAGCGTCCTAGCAGCCGCGGTGGGCAAGAAGAAGCCGCCACCGCCACCCAAGCCCCGCGCCGCCTCGAACCCGTCCCTGTATGTGACGGCCCTGTATGATTTCGGCGGCCAAGGCGCCGGCGACCTGGCTTTCCAGGAGGGAGACCGAATTCGCGTTCTCGAGAAGACCGACAGCACGGACGATTGGTGGGAGGGCGAGCTGCGCGGAGTGAAGGGGAGTTTCCCGGCCAACTATGTGGAATGAGTTCTCTAATATTCGGGATGATGCGCGAGGAATTAGGATCGGGTGGGTTGATAACGTTGCCATCAGTTGGAGGTTGGGGCCCGAGGGCGGCAGAAGAGAATACCGGGCTGGGCTGGGCCTCCTGCATTTGTTCCTTTCTGCGGTGCTTTCTGCTCGAGCCGGCTCAGGCATTACCTAGTACAATTATCCAGCTAATCAAAACGTGAATTTCACAATCCAATCAAACCGGAAACCAATGAAACGTCTGTTTTCGATTGCGTGAGTCTTTGCTAAAGAAGCTAGTAACGCTGCACTATTATGTCTGCAAAATACTACAGGAGGACCATCACCCTTTGTAGCGGACCCATGCTGAAAAACAATGCAGAAAGCCACCGGGATAAGAATACAGCCTTCATTTGCCAGGGCCATCGTGAGTACTTCTCAAATGAAAGCCCCCTCGGAAGTCTTGTCGTCGTCTGACATACCCGTGCCCATCTGTTGACGACGGCTATTCAAGAACATTTCCACCATGCGCTTGCTGGAGACGGGGGATCCCATGCCCGGAGATTGATGCCAGAGATCTTTGCAGTCGTCTTGCTCCTGGTCGGCCTTCAGGTTCTCGTTGGTCACCCTGGCCGCGTCGCGATGGCCACGGACGGATCGCACGTAGAGGGTTTTGCTGTCGTGAGGAACTGGGGACTGTTTCGTCTGATATCTGTCGTACAGTCCGCTGGTGGCCATTTTCTGCTGGAACTCGCTCGCGTCTCGCTTGGGAGTCGGAGAGATGGAGTAACGGATCCGGTTGCTCGGCCGCAGCTGCATCGGCGCCGACGTGGGATTGCCGTCTCTTTTCCGACCTCGAACAGGCGAGAAGGCCTTCTCGGGCGTGCCGCCCGATGGTTTTTGAAGAATCGGGATGGCGGATGGAGAGGGCATGGTCGTACTGCCCGTCTGTTCCCTGGGAATGCTCACGATTGTCCGGACACTGGACGATCGGCTAAAAGGTCGAGAGTAATTATAAGACGGCCGTGCGGAGTCTTCCTGCCTGGTCAAGGGGTCTTCAGGGGCTCGCATCCGCCGTGAGAAGGTTCTCGGTGGGAGATCGTCTTCGCCATAGATCTGTGCGTCCTCTCGGTAGTGATCTCCTCGCGCCGGGAAATCTTCGATCCTCTCCATCTGAGACCGCATCCATTGCTGCCAATCGGCGCTGGGTCGCACGGACGGCACTCGTCGAGGAGAGACCGAAGCTCGGTTCGGGGAGCTGTAAGCCGACCGCTGGCTGGCATATACCGTTGCGACTCCCGGTTCGTCTTTCGCTTCCGAGGAGTGCGAGTCGCCTTGCTGATCTTTCCTCGGAGGCGTGTTTCCGCTTGTTGTCCGTGAATAGACGCTGGAGGAATCGGAAATGCTGCCCCGGGGTTGCATACCGGTCATGATAATACTGCTTGCATCATCTTCCGGGCTCTTTGTCGCTTCAAAGAGTCCGTCTTTAGGATCGGTCGATTTTCGGTTACCAGTCCCCAGATACTGTAGGTCTCGCAACGAAATAGGGTCCTGAGGCCGCCGTTGCACCTGGACCTGCGGAGTCGGCGCATCGCCTCGGGCTGTCGCAAACGATTTGGGAGAAGTGACCGAATCCTCGCTGGGGATGTGGCGGATCGTCTGTCTACTGCGACGCGGGCGCAGAGAAGATGCTCGCGTCGGAACAGCGCGATGCTCTTTGACCTGGCCAAAGACAACCTCTTCAGTCGAATCGTTTGCGCCACTACCGCGGATCCGTTTCATCAACGCCGCATACAATCGTCGACTATCAACAGTGCCGTCCGGCCTCAGGCGGTCAGAAATGCTGTGGGGAGTCGGCGGCGGCAAGTCCGGGGTGGCCAGCTCATAGTTCCGATTGGAGATTCCCTTCTCCTCGATGACGGACAAGGAACCCCGATCGCCTGCTTTCATGGCGGTGATGGTATTGGCTGCGGACGAGTCAGCCCAACTGGTCACGCGCGAGCGCGTAGTAGCAAAGCTGTCAATACTACGGGCGCTTCGAATAGTCGCCGGTCGACTCGTACTCGGACTGGCCACCTCACGCAGGCCATCAGCTGGGTATGGTCGCGCGTTCTCGTTAGAAGAAAGGCCTTCTGCCGTCGACTTGATTGAAGAGGGATTGGCATTGTGGCAATTGGAGGAAGAAGGCGAGTCGTGTGTACTCTTAGGTGCCGCGACATGCTTCGACAAGCCCAGGGCGCGTTTGATTCCCCTCTTGATGGAGGACGAGAAGGATCGGGACCTTGCATGGGGTGAATCGCTATTGAATGAGCCGCGCGGAGAGGGTGTGCTAACCAGGGCACCTTCGGTGGTACTGATGTCGCGAAAAGTCTTCCTGAACGGTTTGTGCTCACGTTTTGGTCTGGCCGCGAGGAATGAAGGTTGTCTGTATCGGCCCATGTCGGGCACGGACTGCTCCTCGAGTTGGCTGCGGGCTATCTGTATTGCGGCTTCACGACTTGCGGCATGGTCCATTGCGTTGGATGCGACTTGATCGCCTCTGAAGAAGGACCATGAGCGCCTTAGGGTCCCGGACACGCGTGGCACCTCGGGTGGCGATAACCCATCGTTTGCAGGATGTGCGTAGGAATGAGACGACACTCCAGTGCTTCTACGGGAGAAGCGTTGACCGGTGGCGAACATCGAGCGCGTCTTGCGAAGTCGCCGATACGACGAAGGCAGGGAGGAGTCGCGGCCGTCCAGGCCCCCGAATTCACTGATAGGAGGCAACATTGCTAGCGACATGGGATCGTAGTCCCCAGAAGACTCGTCGGTTGGCTGCGAACGAGTATGAGTAGCATCTACACCATCCGCGAAGGAGTGAGGGTAAGCGTCGGGGTGATGTCTTCGTCGAGGCACAGCCATGCTTCCCGGGCCTCCCAGACGATCATAGGAGCGCTGGGAGTCCAGAGAGGATCTCTCGGTCGAACGTCGCATGGCTAAAGACGCGGCCGCCGTGGCATGCTGTCTCGCAGTCTCCAGGTCAAACGGTTCGGCCGACCCCGAATCCTGACGCGGTCTGCGGATCGAACGAGTTGACTTGGTTCTCCGAAGACGGTCTTTTGGTCCCAGAGATGTGGAAGAGAGCATCGTGTTCAGGCGAGAAAAGAATGCTGGGATAGATCTGTGAACCAGTATAGAAGAAAGATGGAAGGACTGGCCCGTGGGCGAGTCCGGCGAGAGGGCGACATCGTCTGCTGGGTCTCCCGGTCGATTCGGATTCAGGAAGGAGCGAGGGTCGGTTGTCGGACGCACCTTCCCTGGTGAAAGCGAGAGAAAGAGAGGAAGGAAGGAAGGAAGAGAGGAAAGAGGAAGGACGGACGGAGGGAGTCAGTGTGAGTCACGCGGCAGCCGAGAGAGTCATTCTTGTCTCAGAATCACCACGTCAGAACTGGCAGATCATGGTTAGATCCTGATAGACACATTGTAGTAGATGCAGATATAAAGAGTTCCCGTCCTGCCAAAAGAATTGTATAAGATGTATCCATTATCTCTCATCCCAACTCTAACTCAGCCTTCACCGGCCTCGTTTCCCCGTCCGCAGACAACCATCAACCTCACCAAGGACTCGCTCTGAATACCACAAGTTTGGCCATGACCGTCACTCCAGCAGCCATGATCCACCTCGATGGCAGTACTCTCGAAGGGGGCGGCCAGCTCGTTCGTATCGCAGTAGCGCTCTCCGCCCTCACCGGCAAACCGGTCAACGTCACGAACATTCGCGGCAACCGACACGGTAAAAAGGGCCTCAAGAGATCGCATGTGGCCGCCGTACAGTTCCTAGCGCAGCTGACGGGGGGCTCGGTCTCTGGCGCAGAGGTCGGATCGTCCATACTCAGCTTCTATCCCGCGCAGCCCCTGTCCAGTCGGGATGGTGGATCGCGAGTCCAACGCGACGTCCAGATCGAGCTGCCAACGGCTGGCTCAATCTTTCTCGTCTTCCAGGCCATCTATCCCTATCTCTTGTTTGCCTGCGAAAGCCCGAGACGTCTGACCATCACAGGGGGCACTAACGTCTCCTTCTCTCCGTCCTTTGATTACGTCGCCCAGGTTCTGATGCCCAATTTCTCGAGGCTCGGCCTCCCTCCGCTGGCAGTCAATCTGGAGAAAAGGGGATGGGCTGTAGGTCCGACTAGCCTGGGTAGAGTGACGTTGGTGATCGATCCTCTCGGCGCGCAGGACCGGCAATGTCCCCGATTCCCCCCGATTGATCTCGCTCAGTTCCAACGCGGACAAGTGACTCGAGTTGATATCACCGTCCTAGGTCCGGACGATCCGCTGGAAGAAGGGCCCAGTCGAGCGACAAACGGACACCCAGGTCGGCGAGCCGAGAGGCCTACAGGAGACGACCAGGACCGACCGCCGGATTACTCGCAAACCGTTCGGGAGTTCATCGAACGCGAAACGCACCGACAGCTCCGGAAGAGACTCGGGCGGTTGCCTCCGTGGATCTGCACTCGCCGATCAGATGAGTCTGACGTTCCCGTCAGAACCCATGGGTCCGAGTCTACCAGCCACCCCTCGCAGATCTACTTGCTTCTCGTGGCGCATACGTCGACAGGGTTCAAGATCGGGCACGACGCACTGTCGGGGGCAACCAAGACCGGCGAACGTCGATCGAAGCGACGAGACGTCGCAAACCGAGCTGCCACGGCGGCCCAGAGTCTGGTGGATGCATGCGTCGACGGATTCATTCGAGAGCTGCACGATCCCCAACTGCAACCCGACTCCGTGACAGCCCTGCGCCAACCTTGCGTAGACGAGAAGATGCGCGACCAGCTGGTAGTGTTCGAGGCGCTGGGAGGGAAACCCGGAGACGAGCAGAGAGAGGACGAGCGATATTGGAGCCTGCACACGTTGACGGCGCAATGGGTGTGCCGGGAGATGCTCGAGGAGTAATGCGCGAGGAATTTCCTGGAGGATCTGAATCTATAACTTTCTACAACCCTACTCTGACGATGTCGGCCACCTGCCGCAGAAAAAAACAGAATATAAAATAGTCCAACGAGGGTATTAATTCAATAATCAATTCGTAGCAACAGTCGAGAGGGTATGGGGGATATCGACCGAGATTAAACAGTGGCGTATACATGACAACAGAAACCAAGATGATATCAAAGGAAACGGTGGTAGACCGCACGACCAGAACAGAACGGCCGGGAAATCAAGGCGAGACAAGTCCAGCCGCATCACAGCCCACCAGCCTGCTAGCAGATGCAATGACAGAAACTTTTCAGCCATCTGTGAAGACCCTCCTGATCCCGAGTCACCGGGATGATAACCAGAAAAAACAAAAGGAAATAGAAAAAGAGGATCCACCCCAGCCAGATGCGGAGATGCTCCATGTGAGAAAGAAGCCAAGAAAGAAAAAAAAAAGAAAAAGGAGAAGCAAAAGAGAGAAAATGTCGGGTATCCCGACGAAATCAACAAAAGCCGCCCTCCAAATGGTATATGCCCGTGATCGATCAACTCCCAACAATGCATCAAGCCAGAGCTTCAAAGAGAAGAAAAAGGGGAAAAAAAAAAAAAAAAAAAAAAAAAAAGAAAGAGAACATGAACAGGAATCAGGTTCCAAGAGACCCGGAGAGACGAGCAGACGTCCGGTCCCAACCCGCGGGACCGTGAGCAGCGCCGAGGAGCAGTTGCGGCGGTCCTCCGGCATCGTCTTCGGGCCATGCATCGTAGCGGCGTAATCACAGATCGCGGACGACGGCCTTGAAGGGCGAGTCATTCAGGATTTCCGACGGCAACGCGCGGCGGTAATCTCGCGGCTGGGCAAACGGCGACGGCGAAGTCGGACGACGGAGCTTCAATTGCTACGGGGAAGGCACGTTAGCGAGGGATTCTCGATTGTATCGTTGCATGCGCCAGAGGGAGTCGGGGACAAAGACATACCACGCAGTCGGGGCATTTGCCTCCTTGAATGTTCACACGGCCACGGCAGCCGCGAGGATAGTTGGCGCAGGAGTACATGATGAATTGCTTTTGTGATTTCTCTTTCTTTCCTTTTTTTGCTTTTTGTTTTGGCGTTGATTCGGATTGGAAGACAATCGCAAGGAAACTTGGCGGATGGACAGAAAATCGGTCGACGAGGATAAAATAGTAGTTGGAAAATTTCCCCCTGTCTCGTTCGCGCTGGATTTTATCCTTCTGCTATTTTATTTTTATTTTCTCAATTTTTCTTGACTGGGGAATCCCAACTGAAACCGAAGGGGCCGGAGGGGGGGAAATAAAAATAAAAATAAAAATAATTCCAATAAAAAAAATAATCAAAAAAGGGACGGAATCACGAAAAGAGCAAAGCAATAAAGCCAAATGAACGGCAATTACGTCAGGTTTGGGCGACCGTTTGGCCTACAGCTGCAAGGCGCCAGAAAAAAAGGAAAAATAAAAAAAGGATCGCGAACTAAGGCGCCGGTCGAAGTCCGGCGAGGTTCTAGCGCTGACTGTCACTGCGCCACCGCCGGGTTCGGGTCAACGAAGGCAGGGGAGGCAGAGGAGCTGGTGGAAGGGAGGGAATATCGGCCGATCAACGATCACGACGGGGGGGAGAATGGAAGTCTGGAAGTCTGGAAGTCTGGAAGTTGGAAGACTGAAAGAAGAGCAGGTTGGGGAGAGAAGAAGGAGAGAATCCGAAGGCGTCCCAAGTGCCGGGGAGGAAGGGACGAGGATTTATATCCAGGCGAGAGCAAGATTCAACGCGTGGAGGGAGGGAAAAGGAAATCCAAAATCCAATAAAAGAAAATAAAATCCAACCAAATAAATCAAAGTTTATCACAAACATCAAACGAAGAAAATCAGCCAATGGAAACCGCTTGAATGAGAATTCTAGAATACCGGGAGCCTCCAGTGGGATTTTTTGATTAATTCTTTATTATTATTATTATTATTTACCATCACGGTGTCTATTATCATCCGATGGCCCAACCCAATCAGCCCGTTCCAACGGGCGCACGGCACAGCCTGACGAGATTGCACTTGCAGTCCTAAGTTAATTAACTTGGTATTACATTAATTCATGTCTCCTCTCTGCTCGAGAGGGTAAAAGAACCGCCTACACCGTATGGAGTAGCTACTGAGGAGTGAGGACTCTGTACTACGACTACGCCCCGAGTGTCCACTTTTTAGGGCTACCTGGTCGACCTGCAGTTGGCGGCCTGAATGACTCGCCGGTTTGGCCCCCTGAGGGACTCTCTGTAGGAGAGTCCTCCGTAAGGGAACGGTGTAGGCGGGATTGCAGGGCGACCGTGGGCCCGTCAGACCGCTGTCGACTGTCTTGATGTTTTCGTGATTCCTCTGACGGTTGCGCGACTGCCCGACAACCAAATAAAAAGGCAAAACTGAGCATACCTACTCCGAGTAGTCAACTCCACTCGGCTGCTTCGCTTCGCCTGCCACTGGGGAAGTTTCGGATTGATTGAGCTCTGGATCTTTGGGCCGCGAACCGTCGCACCACGAAGGTTTCCACTGTTTCTGGAACGTCAATTGATTTATTTTGTTCGCGTTAGTTTGGCGTTAGCGTTGGTCTAGCGAAGTAAATAACTACTCACCAGAATAATAATATTATTATTGCGTTCTCCTGTCGCTGGTCTTTTCCGCTGCCCTGCCGCCTGCCGCCCGTTGGGTCGGTCCGTCCTTCTGATTGTTACGGAGCATATTATTAGGTATGATTCCCTATTACTTGGGTAATGGGTATGCTGTGCCTATAGAATGTTGGAGGCCGTCCAGATCCTCGGAAGGCGCGGAATCACCGACCAACGCGCTCGCCTTTGTTGGACCTGGCTTAGTTGAACGGCTCGCCGTAGATCCGATCCCTTGGCCTTTGGTGGCTTGCTCGTTTCTTTTTCTTTTCGTTTCTACGGCTGCCTGGTTGGACAAATCCGACTATGGGCAGTTCTACTGTACTCCATACCTCGTGATGGGGGTCTCGTTCTCTTCCCTCTTCTTCACCAGTTGGATTCCGAGGGAATAATCATAATAATAAAACAAAGATAATAATAATAATACTCAACGAAATAACATGGCTGACATCCCCCTCGGGCCCGGTGAAGTCATGGGCAGCCTCGTGGCAATTCCGCTCCGCCAGCAGCTTCTTGGTAGTCCAGACCGCGTCGGTCTGACCGAGAGGCACGCCCTGCCGTCATCGGCTGGGAAGGAGCGTCGAATGAGCAGTCGCCGGGAACGAGGGAGAACAGACAGACAGAGAGAGACAAAGATCCAGACTTGGGTGCGAGTCACTTGACCCCGTCAGGTGCCCTTCTGGGCCAGCTCCCCTGGGGCCCTGTCTACCCGGAGTATACTCTGCGTCTGCATCTACCCTGCATGCCATGGGGATACATAATTACGATTAATTAATCCGGAATCGGGCACTCTCCCTCTCACCGTGAAGAGTCAATTGAGGGCCAAAAAAAAATCCCTTTGTTTCACCCACCGCCCGAAGCGGGGCCCCCTAGTGGGAGAGGGTGAAGGCAGCCATACTCTAACTCGATGCAGTGACGGAGACGAAAGGAATTCGGACAATTTAATATTGATCTCTTCTAGTCGCGACGTGAGATTATAACATTAATCTTGACCTGACAGTCTGCCTCGGCGCATGTGCCAATCACCACCGCGACCACGATAACCGACGTCGCGGCCGGCTCCACCGCATCGCCAGAGACTCCCAATGCTTGCCGTGAATTGGACAATTGGCTGCAACACCATCCCGGCAAACTCTCTTCTGTAACAGTCGGGCCATAGGCGGAGCTGATTCGATCTAAGATCTGAGGTCTGGAGGAGGGCGGAAGGGAAGAAGGAGAGGGACAAGGGAGTCAGCCTGGTCCGACCAGACCACCTCCTTTCCTCCCGACCAGGAATTACCTCCTTCACCGTCCTCCCCGGTCCATTGTCCGACGGTCCAACGTTGTCCGACAACGCTTGGCGAGGGAATCCTTCGTGGTTGAGCCGCCTCGTGCGACATTCTTGGATCGACACCGCCGTTTCCAGACCCTTCTAGATCCGTTTCGAGTCCGGCTGACCCGGCCCATGGAGCATTATTGGATCTCGATTGGGGTCTCTCGCTTTTTGAGGCAACCCAAAGTCGGGCAACGGTCGAAAGTCGAGACTCGAGGAGCTCTCTGGCCTGCCTCCGTTGAATGGCCTTTTCCCTAGTCGCGACTTGTCACGTCACCGCTCCACAATCGAACCACGAAGAGGCCTAGAAATCATACTACTAGTACTAAGGCCACTAGAGTCGGGACTGAAATCGGTGCAGACCCACGATCCTAGCAGCAGGATCGGAAACCGTTATGCATGCAAGCATGCAAGCAAGCAAGCAAACCAGACAGGCAGATGAGCACCGACTTCTAGAGCAAGCCAGCTAGCCAGGTCTGGCCATCCCGTCGGACCCATGCCAGACGCTCGGCAGATGGCAGCTCCCAAGGTTTGACTGTGAAACCCCAGCATCTACGGTTCGTGCCTAGATTGGGGTCGGAGATCAGTATGATCGACATGGGGCAGGCGTTTCGAGGTCCCCCCTCCCCCTTCGATCTGACAATGCATGTAACTGTGGCTTCTGATTTTTAGGCGTTAAACAGCGATCGAAGCACGAGCCAGGCTCCAAAAACCCCGATGGCCGACGCGACCAGCAGCCCGTTACCCTCCCAGGTCAAGGCCAGATACGCTAGACCGCCGACCGCCAGCTCCTTCCTGCGCGCCGCATCACGTTTGCTCTCCCAAGCCGGATCGATCGGGAACGGCGCGGTCGGCGCGGTGCCATCGCCCGGTCGCACCGACGTCAGGGGTACCGACACCGAGAGCGCGACGGCGCGATGATCAGAGGTGGGAAAGAGCGGTAACGCCCGATACTCGCCTGCTCGGACCCGAGCTTCCTCCCTGCCCGTGCCCGGCGGCGTTTCCAAGTATAAGATGCGGTCGCACCAGCTAGGCCATCGCGTCCTCGTCCACAGCCCGTCCGGCGAGTCGTCGTCGTCCTCCGACGTTCCGACCCGCGCCGCCGCCCGGCGTGCAGCATGGGTGTACTTGTACGTGGGCGCAAAGGTGATGGGCGCCTCTGACAGGCCGTGGAAACATCGGGATTGTTTCATCTCCCGTGTGAGCTGATCCTGCCGCAGCAGATGCGAGTAGTGCCGGGGGCTCGTGGGTTCCACGTCGTTCCGCGGAAACCGGTCTTGGTCCTCCTGCCGCGGCGAGACGTTGGCCGTGCGGTAATTCAAGTCCCCTGCCAGAAAGAGATAGCTTGTAGGCGCAAAAAGACGGCGGTCCTCGGCGGCGCGCCGACTCGACGTAGGATCATGTAGCAACGTCTCCCTCTCCGACTCGTCGCCTGCGCGCTCGCGATCGCCCCTCGTCGCGGCTGGCTCGGGAGAAAAGACCAGTCTTTCCACAATACTACGCCAATCACTATTCCTGCGTTCCACTGCATGCTCCATGGGCGCTAGGTGAGCGGCGACGAAGGTGAGGTCGGCGGTGTCGTCGGGTCCGTTGGGCATCGCGACGGCCAGCCGTGCGCCAACGGCGCCTTTGTTGCCCATTTGCTGGACCCCCAAACCGACCCCGGCAGTCTCGATCGATGCGATGCCGTCCGCCACGTCCGACCGGGCAAATACCAGGAGGCCTGTCATGCCAACATTCTCCGTTGCGACCGTGACGTAATGACACGCCCAGCGCCGGGCTACCGCAACATCCACCAGCCGGGAAAACGCACTCAAGTATGGGGCCAGGAAGGAGTTGCCGAGGAAGGCATAGGCGATAGGAGCGATCTCCTGAAGGCTGAGCACGATGAGGTCGGGCGGCGGCGGGGAGCTGACGTCGTCGGTCGGAGGTAGAGCGTCGAAGAAATGGGGCGCGAACCGGTCGACATCGATGGGGTTTCGAGCGCAGTTGAAGGTGAGGGTATAGAGAGAAAGGGAGTCTATCATTTTGGCCGATCTGCAAATTCAGATAAATGTCAAAGATTAGTCTGCAGTTAGTAGAAGCCAGAGGTGACGCCGAAATCCAAGGCGAAGACGGCGATGATATCAACGGCGGGCGGTGACCTCTGCCGCCCATGTGACGATCGGCGGATCCACTTCCCCTTCTGCTTTCTAGTACTTTGTCCTTTACTTTGTGTATTGCCTCAATCATCATGCTTCATTCACATCGACATTCCCCGAGATATTCGAGAGTACCTGAATTGTATACATGCTTGGATCATAACTTCCCCCGCAACCCCTCGTCCTCCAGCTCTACCAGCAACATCCCTTCCGCCACGTCTTCTTCATCGTCTTCCATCTCATGAACCCATCGGGCTCGCCCCGTTCGCGGACTGCGTACTTCGAGCTCCATTTTCATCTGTTTGACAAAAGCCACAACCTGATTTTCGGCGATCGTCTGTCCTGGTTCAACCAGCAGCTCGATCAGTTTCCCTGACAACGGCAGCACAATGTGTCGCGGGTTTTGCGTGTCTCCGCGGCGATGAGACGACGAGACCAAGGCCGAAGCTGCCGTGGAGGTCGCATTAAGTTGGAGTCGGTAGGCCGCAACTGAGGATACCGTAGTATATTCGACCTCCGCAGCCATGGAAGTGGGAAAGTCATTCTGAAGAACGCGAGTGAGTCGAAGGTGCTGCTGCTCTTTCTGTTCGACACTCCTGTTCAGGGGCTCAAGGACAAGAGACCAGGCGTCTCCGCGTCGGAATAGCGGGTTCGAAGTGGGAACATAAGAGCCCGCAGTAGACCGTGACAATGATGGCTGAGAGGCTCCACGGCTGATTGCCTGGGAGATGTTTTGCCCCAGTTCAAGAGCTGGGTGGAGCTGTCTCTCGAGCCACTGCGTATCAATATTGCCTGCTAAAAAGTCGCCGTGCTCCACGACTCCTCGCAAAAGGTCAAGATTTGTTTGCACACCGCAAACCCTTGTGTCGGCCAACACGCGGCGAGACTTCGCGACTGCCGCCTCCCAGCTGAACCCGGTGACGATGATCTTGGCGAGGAGATTATCGAAATGCGCACCCACGACTACCGGGCTCGATCCAGTCATGTCTACATGCGTATCGACACGGACGCCGTGTCCAGTCGGCACGGAAAATTCGGTGATCTTGCCCATACCGAGGGAGAATCCTCTGCGAACGTCCTCGGCACATAGTCGCAGTTGGATAGAATGCTTGTGTTTCGGCATCGAAAGATTGGACTCCAAGCCGATCTCGACAAGGGAACGCCCTTGAGCGAGTTGGAATTGAGCCTGCACCAGATCAAAACCGGTGATAGCCTCGGTGATAGTGTGCTCCACCTGTAGACGGGGGTTGATCTCGAGGAAATAAAATTCATTGCGCTGTTGGTGGACCAGGAATTCAACTGTTCCCAGAGATCGATAGCCGATAGACCTTGCGATGCGCAATGCTGCATCGATGACCTGCTGGAGCAGATCTCGATTCGAGATCAACGACGGGGCGATTTCGATGCTTTTCTGGAAACGCCGCTGGACACTGCAATCGCGCTCCCATAAATGGCGGACGTCAGTACCATCACCAATCACCTGCACCTCAATGTGATGAAACCCGTCGACGGCAGCCTTTTCCACGAAGACTGTTTGGGACGGCGATTCTTTCGTGGCTCCGCGAATGGCGTTCTCCAGTTCACTCTCTTGACGCACTAATCGAATCCCTCTCCCTCCACCGCCATCCACTGCCTTGATCATAACTGGGTAATGGACTTGGTTTGCAAAGGCCTGGATCTCTGCCATGTCAGAAGTAGCGTGTGAAAGAGCCGGTAAGACTGGCACGCTGCATTGCGCTGCCAGTTGTTTTGCCTGCAGTTTATCACCCGTACGCTGCAAAATCTCGGCCCCAGGCCCTATAACCGTAATGGCAGCATCGTTCATGCGACTGGCGAAGTCGGCACTTTCGCTCAGGAAGCCGTAGCCCGGATGAACTGTGTCGATGCCATGTTTACGGCACAGCCTGACGAGAAGTGAAATATCTAAATATGCTGCCGGTGAAGGCAAGGGCACAACATGATTGGGGGCAGCAATATCGCAATGAGAGCGATCGTCTTCAGTATATAGAGCGAAAGTCTCAATGGATGGAGAGAATTCGCGCGCAGCTTGAATGATTCGGACGGCAATCTCGCCTCTGGCTCGTCAGCTTCCATGCCGGGAGTCAACTGGGCGCAAATTACCTGTTGGCAATCAAAAGTCGCCGAATGGGTCGAACAGTCATTTTCGATCAGCGTAAAAAAAAAAGGGAGAAACTGGACTGGTCCCCGTTCAGTGAAGCCTACCAACACTTATGTCTGTTGGGGAATTCCCTCGGACCTCGGAGAACGAATATTAACTAACAACCCCTCAGAGCGCGAAGGATGCAAGACACGATCAACATTCGGGGGGCACATTCCTGATTCTTGAACCTTCAACTCTGGTCAGAATAAATGCGCGAAGATGCCAGACGACAAGTCATCGGCGAAAAAACGCTTGGATCAGGTCAATTCGCACCTTACATCCCCCCGATTACCCCCGGACTACTCCGACGTGCTGGACCAGATCCACACTCTCCGCACGATCGCAGCTACCCCGGATCCCACTCGAAGGGGGTTTATCCGCCAAAAGCAAGCCGGCAAACTTTGGGTTCGGGAGCGTCTTGACCTACTGCTCGATCGCGACAGTTTCCGAGAAATTGGCTCGGTGTCCGGCACGGTGATATGGGAGAAGACGGGGCCTATGCGAGAGAAGCCCGCGTCGTTCATCCCCAGCAACAATGTACAGGGAATGGGAAAATTGCGTGGTCGCCGAGTGCTGCTGACTGCGGATGACTTTTCTCTTCGCAGCGGGCATGCAGATGGCGCGACCGGGGGGAAGACCATCTATCTGGAGAAACTAGCACTAGCATTGAAGTTGCCCGTCGTGAAGCTGGTTGACGGCAGTTCTGGCGGCGGCAGCGTGACGACAATTCGCACGGCAGGTTGGAGTTATCTGCCATACGTTACCATGTACAGACACGTCGTGGATCAGTTGAACCAAGGGATCCCCAATTTGGGCGCGGTTGTTGGACCCGCCGTATGTGCTCCCCCTTTCCTCGCTCGTCGCAGCTCCTTTCGCCTTCATCCACCGGCTAAGTGAAGCTGACCCTGCTAGATTGGCCTCGGTGCCGCACGCGTTGTCTCATGTCATTTCTCGGTCATGGCGGCCGACGTCGGTGCGCTTTTCAACGCCGGGCCGGAAGTCGTAAAGGAAGCGACTTTCGAGGAGGATCTAGATTTCCAAAGCCTGGGCGGGCCCATGATTCATTGCACGAATGGCACGATCGACAATCTTGCTGCAAACGAAGCTGAATGCTACGAGCAGATCCGCACGGTGCTTGGGTTTCTACCCAACAGCGGCCGAGAAGCGCCCCCGACAATCGTCAGTGACGATCCAGAAGATCGCGAGGACGAGGCGCTCCGGCGCATTGTCCCCCGTCGACCGACGAGGATGTACAACCCGCGCGTCATCATCACAACCGTGGTGGACAGAGACTCCTGGTTCGAGATCGGGCCGCTTTGGGGTCGGACTGCCATCGGGGGGCTAGCGAGACTGGGAGGACGACCGATCGGGGTGATCTCGCTGAACTGTGAGGTCAACGGAGGGGCATTAGACGCTGCTGGAAGCCAGAAGCTGACGCGGTTGTTGAAACTGTGCGATGTGACGAACCTGCCGATTCTCCAATTCATCGACGTCCGTAAGTTGGTCCAGACCCTGGTTTCTTTCACCGCAGATGCGCTAGTCTAATCTATGCACATAGCCGGTTATGCCATAGGCACCGCAGCCGAACGTGCCGCGACAATGCGCTGGGGAGTTGAACTCGGCAAGGCATACTTCAGCACCACCACGCCCCTATTCAACGTGATAACTCGACGAGCGTACGGCGTGGCAGGAGGTCTCATGTTAGGCGCGCGCGATCCGGTCATGCAGGTCGCCTGGCCGTCAGGCCAGTGGGGATCTCTGCCTCTAGAAGGCGGCATAGAAGTCGGCCACCGGCATGAGCTGCGAGAAGCCGAAAAGGCGGGCCAGAAGGCAGCCCGGTACGAGGAGCTGGAGGAGGAATATCGACGGTTGATGAATCCCGTGCGTACGGCGAATGCGTTTGGGGTGGAAGAGATTATTGACCCTAAGGATACTCGACGGGTGTGCTGCTCGTGGGCGCGTCATGTTTATGAGAGCATGATCCCAGAAAGGTTGGAGAATCGGGCGACAGGGAAGATTCATCCTGTCTTTGCCTAGTTGATTCGGCGTCAGCTTAATCACCACCAACTTGACCACTCCGGAGGCACAGAGCGAGAGGAATCTCCCCTTGCCTTCCCATATAGGTTTATATCACCATGACCTGCACTATGAAGATAGAGTTCCTTGCCAGTACACCAGCACCAAATATGAATCATTAAATAAGTACATTCCAAAATTATATACACGAAGATCCTAAACAGCAAATCAATCTATACATGAGCCCACCCCCAAGGTCTCAAAACCTGCATCTCATCAATCAAGCAGAACGAGCCCCGTTCTTCCTGTCCATGTTTCAATTCCCACTGCGCCACGCGCTTTTGAACCTCTCTCCTACTCCGATTCACGCCACTCCATCGTCTCAGTCGATTCTCCCACAGGCCTGCCCAGATGTTCCAGGTCGTGAGCCATTGCTCCCCCGGATGAACTGCCTCGTACGCCGCGCCGTGGTATCCCACGCGCACTCGAGGGTTCACAAAGACGCCCGACAGGGTAGAGAGCGGATTATCCGCGTGGATGAGACAGCATTCTGAGCCTTCGAGATGCTCTTGAGCCAGGGAATCGGAAATCCCGCGAAAGCGTAGAGGGTTCTCGTGTGCGACGAACGGGGATGCGCGCATCGCAACTGAATCCGTGAGTCGGGATCCTCCGAATAGACGGAGGGCGAATAAAGATCAACTTACCGATTCCGTTCCAGCAGCTTGCCACAGGAATTGGTTCCATGCGCTTCAGGGCCTGTCGGGCCACGGACGAGTCAAAGTACGGCCACGTCTGCATGATGGGCTCGTGGCCCTGGAGATCGCGCAGCGCGAACGTGTCGTAGTAGGCTGGGGGGTGCGAAAAGTCCAGTGAACAGGCGGCGGCATACTTGCCGTCCCGGGTTTGGAGGAGTTCAAGAACATCTTGCGTCTAGTGTACTCCGTCGGGGTCAGTTGTGTCGCTATGGGTTCCACAACGGGTCCAACGTACCGTGAACACCACGTCGTTCAGAAAGAGAACTCGGTCAAAGTATATGCCCTGCTTCGCTAGGTCCACTAGCGGCTGGAGGCTCAGATTCCGCAATCGCGATAGATATGGGATGCGACGGAGTTCAGAGCCTGTCTGTTCGGATTGTAGCCATCCGTCGCCGATAGGAGGCTGGACGATCTCATCCTGATGCGTCACGTCGGAGAGCGTAACGTTTCGCGGGACGCCGAGGGGGTCCAGCATGCGATCCAGCTCGACGAGGGCCCCCTTCGTGTTATCGTAGCTTCCGCTCTCGTAGATACTGAGATAGACATTCTCCGGGCCCAGGGTCTGGACCAAGTCCGTAACGGCTTGGTTCCAGTAATTCCGCAGAATCCATTCGTTGTTCCAGTGGATGCCGACGATGAACACGCGCTCGGAGTGCTGTTGGGATTTGCGCGAGAGGCGCTCGTCGTCAACGGAGACCAAGGGGGGGTCGAGGCGGCGCTGGACGGTGGTGATTTCGGCGGCGGTCCAGATGAGCAAGAGGATGAGCACCGTCTGCAAGACACGTCGGTAGAGTTGAGGGCGACGGAGAGGGTCCGGGCCCGGCCGGGAGATCAAACGCATGGATCTGAAGGAGAATCACACAAAAGAGGTGGACGATTAAAATTGGGGGTGTCGTGATTGGCATCCATCGTGAAGATGATCGTCTTGAAGGGATGAGCACAGGGGTAAAGACATGGTGGCCGGTCCCCACCTTGCCAAGGGGGTGGATGATTACGGCGCAGTCATCACATCTTAGACTTTTGGGTTTTGGAGGCTGTCATCGTGGTGGGGAAGTCCTTTTGGAAGAGGCGTCGTTGCAACGTTTATAGGCGAGTCGGTGGAGGTCGTTGAGTGTTGATTGTTGACAATAATGAAGCCGAAGCATAGCGCTGCCCCCCCCCTGGTCGACAATCAGAATGATATTAAAACTGGATATGAACTGCACAGTCGGCACCAACCATCACAGAACGAATGACACCGTTCGAAAGTCTAGACTCAGCCGGAAATTAGCCAGGGGGCCTGCCATCAAATGAGATAGCCGAATCTCCACCAGTCAGACTAGGGAAAACTTCCATAGAAATTGCCCCCAAGAAGTGGAGATCCGGAGATTACGCCTTGGCGCTCTCTTTGGCCGTTGCTTTTAGAGCTTCGTCCGAGATGAAATAGGCTCCCAGCCCTATCTCGCGCAGAATTCACCGTCGTTCGTCGCTGTTTCATGCCCATCATGGCCTTCACCGTCGTCAACGGCCAGATCTATACCCCCGGGTTGGCGATTGTCGACGCGCCGCAGCCCAACACTCCGCTGGGCGGAGGCAAGTACCGCTTCGTCCTAGTCCGTTGCTTCCCTTCTCTGATTCAGTGGGAGTAGACACGCTTCAAGTCGCCATCGACGTCTCCGGCAACGGCCAGCTCTCTCACGATTCCTCGTCGGACACCGAATTCCACAACATCAACCTCTTCCTCACCTCCACCGACACCTCTAAAAACTTCACCATCTCCAATGGCACCTCGACAGATTCTGACTCCTACGTCGGCCCAGTGCTCGACCTGGAACCCTCGTCCACCGTGAAACATGTCGACTGGACGTGGCCGGACTGTCTCGTGGGTGACGGTCAAGGGGGCTCCGGTTCCGCGCGAGGCGACTACAACATCTCCATGCACCAGTCCTTCCGGTGGAATGGAACGGACTACTACACGGTGTTTGACCTGCCTATCTCGGTGTCTAACAGCATCGATAAGTCGGACTATCGAGTTGACTGCAAGTTGGTAGAGAATGAACTGCTGGAACCCCAGGAGGTGGCTGGCAGCAACGCCTCCTTACCCGGCCAGCCGTGGATCAACGGGGGAGCAAGCAGCAGTCAGGACGATGACGATCAAAAAGATGATGCGAACAGCCGTGCCAGTCAGGTTCAGCCCGGTCTTAGGCAATGGGGAATGTTTGCACTGCTGATGGGCGGACTGCTGTGGCTCTAGAGGGGAGGGAGGACAGTATATGTATATAACTATTGGTCTGAACATAACAACACATACCCGAAAAGGATAGGAAGACCTGTCATACATTAGAGTAGTTCATACTACTAGTAAGGAACACTACCAGTCGAACAGAGTAGAGCAGTAGAACAGGTCATGGAAGGTGGCAGGTGGAAGATGATCGGCTCCACTTCGGCCACGCCTTCCCCGCACGATCAACAATCCCGCGTTTTTCTTCCCCCCACAAAGCTTCGTCCTCCGTCAAACTTCCCTCGAATCTTCGGTGATATTGTGGGCGCAGAGTTGACCATGGCGCCCGGTCAATGGCAATGCAACGTCTGCCTGGCTCGTCTGAGTCGTCTAGAGCATCTTCGACGGCATCTCAGGTCCCGTATGCAGATCAATCTAAAGCTTCATCGCGTCGCTGACCGAGACAGATGATAAGAAGAGGCCGTTTGAGTGCTGCTTCTGCCGGAAGTTCTTTACTCGAAAGTAGGCTCATACATTACTGCCCGCTCCCCCAAATCCCCGCACTGACATTGTCGGTAGGGATGTGATGAAACGTCATGAACGAGGCTGCAAGTCCAAGGCGAATTTCCCTGTCCAGCAGGACTGCACGGGAGACGAAACCATACCGATTGAAAGCACTGGCGACTTCGATGAACTTCCTGTGCTCCCTTCATCACTGGACTTTACCGCCCTCGACTGGTTGTACACCCCGCATACTCCGAGCAGTATTGAGGTTGCTGAGAGATTAGAGTATCTGGCGTACTTTACCAGTGCAAAGGGAATGGCCACATTCCTAGATCGAAAAACACTCGAGCAGAGACAGAGTCTAGTGCTGAATCATGCAGTGCATGCCTATGCGCAGGCCTTCGGGGAAAAGAAATGTCCTCCGGAGCCATCCTATCTGGATCTGTTGCCCGACCTCGGGAGCTCGACCGACAATTTCTTTAAAGCCATCGAATTTCCCCGAGCAGCTTCAGAGGAATCCGATCCTCTTCTTCCCATAAACGAAGAAATTGTGCAAATCCTCCGTTCTGTCATTTCCACGAAGCAGAATACACACATCATCAAGATAGATTGGACACCAGCAGTTCAAGAGACATGTTCCTCCTTTTTTGCTCCCCAAAACATTCGTCGCTTTCTAGAGTACTTCTGGTCACTGTGGTATCCCAGCTGTCCCATAGTGCACAGACCGCTATTTGACCTTGACACAGCGCATCCCACTCTGATTTGCGTGATGGTCATCATCGGAGCGTGCCTGTCGCCGCGTGATAACGATGGTCGAAATGCCAGGATGTGGATGGACAGTGTCGAGGAGCTTGTTTTTAGCAACGCCTATCATCGCGAGAACCCCGGAGACAGCATGGAATCCGCCATCGGGGAGGACCCAACTAATTGGACGAAAGAACGCTTAGAATGTATTCAGATGACCTATTTGGTTTGCTCGCTACAGAAAAGAGAAGGTTCCACGGATGCACAAGCACGCATTCGAAGGCACCGGCATGCGATGATGGTCACGGTGAGTTACCTAGCAAGCCGGCTTTCCCCCACGAAAACAGTAGAGCTAACAGACAACAGCTGGCAAGGATGATCGGGTTCGAATCTGCCACTCACGGGGGTTTCAACACGAACCATTCTTCTGATGCGTGGTGGCGAGAATTTATTGCCCAAGAAGAGCTGATCCGGTAGTTATTTAATCAAATATAAGAGCAAAGCTGGCAGAGTGCTGATGCTGGATCTAGAGCCCTCACATATGTCTTCCTGTTTGATGCAGCTCTCACCATATTCCACAATTCTCCTCCGCGTATGGTTGTCTCCGAGCTCAAGATGGACCTCGCTTGCCCAGAAGCGTGTTTTCAGGCTGGATCAGCCGAGGAATGCTATGCGCTCCTGACAGAATGGGAGGGATCCATGTTCTGGAGCGAGAGACTTTCGGTATCAGCTATGCTTCGGAAGATCTGCCAACGAGATTTAGATGACTGGCAGGTGCACGAGCTGGCTAGTATGGGAACGTTGAATCTATTCACTACCGTGCAGTGTACGCTCTCCCTGCCTTGACTACGTCGCTTGTGCTGATGAACCCTTAAACCAGCGTTGCATTCCCTCACTTTTCATTTGCAAAATTCGTTGGTCTTCGAGTCATCGTTGCAACCAGTGCAAACTGGGTTGGAAAACTGGAGACGCATCTGGAACAAGCGCCAGCCAGAAGACAAAGACGTACCGAACACCCCCGGGGAGATATGGAAGAAGATTGGGTTTGTGCATTACGCCCCGGAATTTTGGCACCTGGCCCGCATTATCGTCTCCAGAATTCGCTCGAATACCGCAGTTGACGAGCAGTATATGGTTTCGAGTACCGAGACAGGCCTATCAAGATACGACCATACCGATATGAGGGGAGTGAACGAACTGATTATGGAATATCAACGGTTTAATTTAGGAGGTGCTAAAATCGCAACTTGAACGCCTAAAATCTTCCAGGGGGGTCTTTAATTTACGTGGATGTCTGGCCCGACCTTCGCTTGGTGACGGTGACCTCAAAATCAGTTGGCTTGACGAACCAGAAATTCTCCGTGTTCCATTTTTGGCTCCTCACGCCAAATTCAAAATCGCGAACGATTCGCGGTATCAGCTTGGACATCTCGAGGATCGAGATATGCTTCCCAATGCATGTTCGGGATCCAAGGCCAAACTGTTACGCGTTAGTGCTATCCGTTCGACGCTCAACGAAACGTAGCAAGAGGTAAACTCACCGGCATATACATGTCGTTCATGATCTTCAGTCTCTCCGGGGTGTTCTCCGCTTCTATCCATCTCTCCGGTTTGAAGGCTTTTGCGTCGGGGAAAATCTCCTCGTCATAGTGTGCCACCCATGTGTTCACGCCCACTACCGAGCCTCCAGGGAAGAAGTAGCCGCCAATCTCTGCTCCGCCTGCCGGAACTTCGCGCCACAGGGGCAAGCCCGTGGCACTGTGCATACGCAGAGCTTCTTTGATGACGGCCTGGAAGTACGGCATCTCTTGACTTTCTTTGAACGTGACGCGAGCACTGCAGCGACCTTGCACGGTGAAATCATCAATTTCGCGGCGCAATTTCTCCAGCACGACCGGCGAATGCAGCAGGTAGTACATGATGGCCGACAGGCTGATGGCCGTGGTATCCGAGCCGGCAATGACGTTGGATTGGCCCATCATAAAGAGATGATAGTCGGTGACCTTTTCGGGATCTTTGTCTCGCGCTAAAGTCATTTTCTCCAGGAAGTCCTGCGTTTGTAGGGTATCGCTCTCGAGGTTTCGCTTCGGCTGGGCGTTATGCTGTTGGATTCTCTCCCCCACGTACCGCATTATATAGGCTCGACCGCCGGCCCCAGACCAGCTGAAGCGGCTTAGCGGACCGAATAGTCGGGGATGCCATTCAGGATAGATCCCCACCAGCGTGCTGTAGGCCATCAGCTTCTGGAGCGCATCCATGGTGCCTTCAATGTCGTGTCCTTGATCCAGAAACCCTACGCGGGTGTCAGTCTTTTACAATCCTCCAAATAGCCCGTAGAGACTCACCGAATCTCTGCCCGAAGGTGATCTCGCCGATCACGTCGAAGGCATAACACTGGAACCAATGCCCGAGATTGAAAACTTCCCCGCGCGCCGTGAACCCGGACAATCTCTGGGTGAAGATATCGGCACAATGATCCACGAACTGTTCATAGTGAACCAACGAGGTCATCGAATAGAGGCTGGAAAACCTCTTGCGCGTTTCAGCTGTATTTCCTATCAGCACTCTTCCATTTTCTGGTCAGGTCAAAGAGACAACTCACCGTGTCGCTTCACATCGCGGTCGGGAAACAAGGTCCACCGGTCGGGATCGGGGTGCTTCCAGCCCTCATACCAGGCCGCTTTGGCGAACTTGCTGCCCGTTCCGTAGACCGTCTTGATGGCGGTCCGGTCGCTGATACTATAATGGTCCGGGGCGATGCGCACGACGGGGCCGTATTGACGATGGAGACGCACGTTGTCCTCTTCGAAATGACCCCGTCGCACGCGATCAAAGTACCAGAGCTTGGTCAACCGGGTCACAAAGGGTCCCGGGACGGAGGAAAGAGACCGTAAAGTGAAGGTTTTATAGAGGAGATGAAGCAGATGGTAGAGGATCCAGAGGGAAGGGAGGAGGAGAATGAGATACATGTTGGGAGGGTAGTCGGGGGGTTTAGGGAGACAAGAACCAAAGATGTGAAGGGGACCGAGAGGAATGAACCATGATTTTCTGACTTCCTGTTATATAAATTGTCATGTAGACTGGGATCTCACCGGCTGACGTCTACACCGAATCCTGGTGGTGGTCGGCGGGGGCGGGGGCGGACCGCCGAACCCCCGCCGCCACTGCGGAGAGCGGAGAGCGATCGGCTTTATGAGTAGGGGAATGGAATAGTAATCGTGTGCGCTTCATTCAAATCCTATCACTATAAGACTCCAGACCTCATCCTTTAATCGCCAATATACATTGCATAGCCATCCATTAAACGAGAGAAATCCCCGCATGGAAACCAGACCGAAAGAGCAGAGAGAAAATACCAGAAAATAAGAATATAAATAAAAACATAGAAAAGAAAATAAAAAAGGATGCCAACAACGGCAGCACTCGGTGTCAGTATCGTGCGCGCCACTCGCAGAGAATCACGGTTGGTATGAAACAGCCTCCGCATCATCCAGGTTCACCCGCTAAGACGACCGATCGCCCCAAAGTCCAACGATGCCCATCGCCAGGGCCAGTCCGGAGAAAACGGCGCGCACTCGCTGAAAGCGTCGCTCGGTATCCAGCTCCCTCCGCACGCTCTCTCCATTCACATTCTCATCGGCCTCCACGACCACAAGATCCTCCTCCTTCTTAGGCGCCGACTTCCGAGCAAGGAACAAGAACCCCGTGTCCTGGACGAAGCTCTGCAGCCAGGGCTTGAAACCAGCGGCGCGATGGAACCAGTAGTCGAGGGCGTAGGTGCCGAGTGCCGACGTCACGCACATCCAGACCAAGTACGGATGCTTGCGGTGTTTGGGGGAGATGCCGTAGGCGAAGAGCAGACAGCCATTGGCCAGGTTCGATAGCCGCAGGCCGTGTTTCCGGTTGAGGCGCTTAACTTCGTGCAGCGACCGGGCGGCGTTGGCGGAGGTAGGCAGGAGACTTAGAGAGGGCACGGTGACGGCTGATGCGGAGTAGGAAAGACCCTAAGCGATTACAAATTCCAACCGACGCGTTAGCCAGGACGGACGACGGGATCATTGGGGATGTTGTTGGTTGGGCGTGGGACGTACCGTCAATAGACCCAGAGACACGGTGCCGACAAATTTGCTGACGGTGATGGGACACGCCATGACGACGAACCGCTGCGATGCTTGGGAGGATATCAAAGAATGAATGGAGCAGAGGCAAGCAGGCAAGCGCAAGATGGAAAAGTGGATTCCGATGGATGAGTTCCTCGGGAAGAAGAAAGAAGCAGATGAAGAGAAAAAAGAAAGAAAAAAAAGGAAAAAAGTGACGTCGCCGGCCTGAGGCGCGCCCGACGCCGCCAATCACCGCCGGGCCATTGCTCACCTGGTGTCAGTCTCTGGGGAGTCCCGAGTGGGTAGAGAGAGAGTTAGTCGGAGTAATTACTAGTTATCATCTTGCGACACAGTTCCGAGTCAAAACTAAGGAATCCTCCGTTCGATTCCCTGCGATGGTGGTTCGCAAAGACACTGCATAATTATCCTGTATGCACTGATGAGTCAGTGCCCGTGCATAAATTGTCAGGCTCCCGTCAGGCTCGCGCCCACTGCCTCAGGCTAACACCAGTCGGTCCGCAGCAGCCGAGGTACCTAAAGGAGCCGATCGCTCTTTGTTCACCTGCGATTTCTCATCTCATCGCCTCCCTTCGTCGCCTTCTCTTCTGTTTATATTTCTACTCTACCTGACACCTAGACTCCTTCCTCTTTCTATTTCCTCTCCATATCACCCTGCCCCTTCAATTGTTGCCATCATGTCTCTTCCCAAGCCCGAATATCTCAGCAACACCTGGAAGGACGGTCTATTCAGTAAGTCATCCGTTACTATAGCCCAGCTTACCGATGCTGACCCCAACCCAGCGAATAAAGTGGTCTTCTGCACCGGGGGTGCGGGCACCATCTGCAGTGCCCAAGTCCGCGGTCTGGTCCACCTAGGCGCCAATGCCTGTATTGTAGGCCGTAATGTCGAGAAGACCGAAAAGGCGGCGCGAGACATTGCCACGGCTCGCCCGGGGGCCAAAGTCATTGGCGTCGGGGCCGTCGACGTGCGCAAGCTTGAGAGTCTCCAGAGCGCCGTGGATCGCTGTATCAAGGAATTCGGTGCCATTGACTTTGTGATGTACGTCGACCCAACGCGACCCTCTGGGCGCTCCTCGTCTAACATGACATGCCTCGTATAGTGCCGGTGCGGCGGGCAACTTCCTCGCCTCTATTAACCAATTGTCGCCCAATGCCTTCAAGTCCGTGATGGATATCGATGTGCTGGGTTCCTACAACACGCTCAAGACTACGCTGCCCTACCTAGTGGAGTCTGCCAACAAGCATAAGGTAGACCCCAAGACCTGTGAGATTACCTCCAAACCCTCCCTGTAGATTCTTTAGCGAGTCACGATATACTTATCTATCCATTCCCCCTTGCTAGTGACCCCGTCGCCAGCCGGTACCGGCGGACGCATCATCTTTGTCAGCGCGACCATTCATTACAGGACCATGCCCTTCCAGACCCATGTGTCTGTAGCCAAGGCCGGTGTTGACGCCTTGTCGCACAGCGTTGCCATCGAGTTTGGCCCGCTCGGAGTGACCTCAAACATCATCGCCCCGGGCCCCATCGCTTCAACTGAGGTAAGCCCGTCGCTGGGGAATATTCAACCTTCCGAAATTCCTCGCTAACGTCGCGCAGGGTCTGGACCGCCTGCTTCCCTCTAATACTATTGAAGAGTATACTAGATCGCAGCCGCTCGGCCGATTTGGCTCCATCCGTGACATCGCGGACGCCACGGTGTATCTCTTCGCCGACAGCGGAAGTTATGTATCCGGGCAGACGCTCGTTGGTAAGCAGTTCTCTCGCTCTGCGGGTAGCATATGGAAGCTGATATTGGCCCTATAGTGGATGGAGCATCCTGGCGCATGTCTGCCGGAGGTGCAGCATTCGGAAATCTAAACTACCCCGATTTTCTCCTATCGGGAGATGCGGTTCCCAACGTCAAGGGACAGAAGTCGAAGTTGTAAGTAAGTAGTCGCCTGAGCGATCGTATTTTGAATATCTTTTTGTACATACTGCTGTAACTGTTCGGATTTCCCCGCCTTTTCACTCTTTGTTTCGTTCTGTCGTCTTTGTTGAATCCTCAGTTTTACGCGCGACAACGATCGTTGAGGTGACTAGACAAAGAGTCCATATCTTAGGACAATGACCTTGTCACCCAGGTGGAAGGTGCCGTGTACCAAACAATGATGAAGCGGTGTTAAATATCCTTTTCCTCCCGCCAGCTCGCGCTCCGTTGAGAAGTTTGGAATCTTCCATCCCACTAGACCAATGTCCCTTCTGAGTCTATTGTGCATCACTTGCAACGGACTGTACTTCAACGAAGCCTTTGTAATGCTCGTGCATAAGGCTGGTGTCGATATAAATAACGGGGGTCCACGTCCTGGACCTTTCCCCAGACATTTCGCTCGAGAACTATATACCACACCAATCAATTCAACATACTCGAGTATTTACAGTAACCAACGCTATTTACAACATACATTTCTCTACACTTTTACAGCTTTTATTACACCTATACTACACTTTCTAAGCATCATACCGTATCTATAAACTCATTTCCATCTACCCTAACCCCCAAATACAAACTCTAGGAACCATCAACGCGACAGGTCTAGGTCCATCATCCCGCAAGAAAGACAAAAGCAAGCTAACCGTTTATCCAAGGAACTTAGCCTAGTATTGATCACATCATGGCATCTCGGGGAGGACGAAAAGACGATGACCTCAAAGAGCAGTACAACGCTCTAGCTGAGGAGCTTGAGCGCGTCCGAGGGGAATCCCAATCCCTTAAGGAGGCGATGAGCCAAGAGAAGAATGAAGCAAACAAATACAAACGCAAAGTGGTGTCCATCGAACGCCGCTGCACGACGGCCGAGGAGGAGAAAGAGCGGCATTTCGAGGAGAGTCAAAAAAATCTGGCGATGGCTCGGGAGGCGGTGGAGAAGAGCAAGCAATACAAGAGTCAGGCTGAGCGACGTGAAAAGGAAATCTCGGGGCTGCAGACGGACTTGTCGACCTCTGTGGGGGTCACGCAGTCTCTTCAGAGCGAACTGGGAGAGTTGAAAAGCGCCTTTACGAAAGTCGCGGATCAAGCGAAGATTGGAAATGGCGACAAGGTGGATACTGCGAGGATGCTGGTACAGAAAATGATGAGATTGCGGCAGCTCGACAATCAGCTGGAGAATGACCTTCCGACAGAAATGGGGACGGGTGAGGAGGAGGGAAGTGTAGAAGAGAATAGAGCCAGTCATGCTCCCCCCGAGTGGCGGCAGATCGAGGAAAGCGGTCTTCAGGGGCTGTCCTTGGACGACGAGCTGGAGGATTGCGACCAAAGACAAGGTTTAAACAACGAAAGCCCGAGATCGTTCGGCGACGAGTCCGAATCTTCCCAAGACACGGCTCTATTCGATGCAGATAGGACTCGAGGTGGCTCCCCACCCACGGATCCCTCAGACGACGATGACAGCGACGACGAGAAAATCCATCTGCACCATACGAAGCCGGTAAATCTGGCTTCAAAGCCGGCGTGGGATTATTTGGACGGCACGCCTGACGTCGTTCCTAGCTCGGAGACGAAGAAGCAGGAGCATCCTGAGTTCCGTCTAGATCTTTTGGAGCAGAGTGGACCTCGAAAGCGAGCTCGCATTCGCGAACATCAGGACAAGGCCCTAGTGAAAGAGCCCAACCCGTGGAAAGGCAACCAGAAGTCTCGCCTTCCGGTGGATCTGGTGAAGGACCTCTCACGCTTGACGTTGCAGGACAAGTCGGGCAAGAAGCCGCCCAAGCCAAGTGCGAAGCAGGTCAAGTCTCTCGTGAAGCAGCTGCCGGGAAATTCGCATTCCGACAGATTCAAGCATCTCCGACCTGATCGCTTTAAGCGGTCCAAACGCAACAAGCCACCGGCCAGGGACTCGGCTGCCGTCGAGTATACGGTCCTCGTTGATCCGGCCATAGCGCAGAACACGAATCTGTTTGGCAATCAGTCGGCCAATCAGTCGGCCGGTCAGCCTACGCAGGCCGTCCAAGGCAATTCCAGTGGCATCCATGGGAACATGTTCGCCCCGGAGGTACTCGCTCCCCCCGTGCCCGTCTCTCACGAAGCGACTGCCAGCACCGCCAACGTCGTCAACAACAACAACAACGCACCCCTCCAGCAATGGGGCCCGTTGGCAACCCCACCGAAGCCGCGACTTACTGCCCAGCCGCTGCGGAAGTACAAGCCCCTCGGTCCACCCAAAGACAGCCCCAAATTGCCCCGGATCGTGCGCCAGAACTACCCCGGCGCCATCTACCGTCCGACGCCGTACGGACAGGGCGCTACTCGCCTAGATCTTCCCTGGGCGGCATGGATGACGAAGATCCGTGGCGAGAAGAAGCAGGCGTCGAAGGCGACAGGCGGGGCGGCTGTGCAGACCGGCTGGGAGGGCTGGGACTTCGACGTCTTCCAGCGGGGCTCGGACAGCGCCGATTTACTGCCGGAGCAACAGAGGGTCCTGCTGAAATGGCGCATCGCATTTATGGGTATCATGCTGCTGTTCGTTCTCTGGTTTCTCACTCACAGTGATGTTACCATCAGCAACCGGGACAGGTGGATGGAAGTCAACGACGTACCGCGATCAGTTCTAAGGCAGATGCGCGGCCAACCGAGACTCAACTATCGATGGATGGACATAGTGGATTACGAGCTGGTGCGCTGGTCCGGAATCGACCGAGTGGCTTTGGGATGATGGATTCTCGTAGATTGATGCACCCGGGGAATTAGGGCTCCAGCGTCCGTATGGCGTCATCCGCGGGGCAGTCGACCGGCGATAAAGCTCGCCCTCGTCCGGCTCCGCGTTTCATTCCTCTTCCATCTCCTCCTCACATACAGGAGGAATATTTCGACCAAGATGACGGCGACGACCCCTTCCGACTCCGCAATTCACCAGGTCGGCACCACCGACGGATGGCACGGAGTCATCTCAGAGAACGGCCCCTTCAAGCCGGCCGCGGGGCGCTACCATCTCTACATAGGTACGAGCACCGGCCCGAATAGTTTAATTTCCCCTCATCGCTGATAGTGCCTAGGTCTTTTCTGTCCCTTCGCCCACCGGGTCAACTTGGTGCGGCACCTGCGAGGTCTCACGGACATCCTCTCGGTGTCCATCGTCAAGCCGTATCCCAAGGGCGACGCCAACGGCTGGCCAGGCTGGCGATTCCCTCAATCCGACGATGAATACGAGAACGCTACCGTCGACCACTTGTATGGCAGCACCTTCTTGCACGAGATCTACTTCAAGGCCGATCCGAACTACAAAGGTCGGTACTCGGTCCCTGTGCTCTGGGACAAAGAGACCGAGACGATCGTGAACAACGAGTCGGCAGAATTACTACGCTGGCTTCCAACCGCGTTCGATTCCATCCTGCCACCAGATCCCGGTTTCAATCTGTATCCGAAGGCGCTGGAGCCGCAGATCGATGAGCTTTCGCCATGGCTGCAGTCGGATCTCAACGCCGGAGTGTATAAAACCGGGTTCGCGGATTCGCAGGACAGCTACGACCGGGCGGTCCCCGTAGTCTTTCGCGCTCTGAATAAGCTTGAAGCGTTGATTAGCCAGAACGGAGGACCTTTCATCCTAGGACAACAGTTGACGGAGTTGGATCTGAGGACCTATGCGACGATCATTCGGTTTGATTCCATCTACGTCCAGCATTTCAAATGCAATCTGGGCATCATCCGTCACGACTATCCGGTGATCCATAATTGGCTGAAGAACCTTTACTGGGATGTTCGCGGCTTCCGGGAGTCGACAGACTTCAGACATATCAAAGAAAACTGTAAGTGCTAGGATCGGTTCCTCCGACGGATATTGTTTAGCTAACATGGAGTAGACACGAAGAGCCACGGCGATATCAACCCCAAGGCTATCACCCCGATGGGACCAATTCCCAACGTGGAGTCGGGCGTTGAGGAGGATTGGAGTAGACTGCGAATTGGCCATATTGATGTCTAATTTTTATTCTCTAAATTACAATTAAGTATACATAGTATGATCGATTTGCCGCAGCAACATCTAGGGTAAGATATTCACAAGCCGTCGACGGGATAAAAGCACCGGCAAGCCATCCTGTACACCGAACGCCTCACCCAATATCAAGCTCACATGCGTTACGGGTGATGTTCTCGGCCTAGAGGCGCTGGAAAGCTGGGACCGTATGCCAGCTGCTCCAGGCGAATCGATTCAGCCGTGTCACGCCGGCGCTGCGGCAGGATCTGGTCAACGCTGGAATTGCGAGTCCCGGGCTGTCGCGCCGTCTCGCCGTCAAGCTTGCTTGGAGCCGACGATTCGGATTCCTTGGAGGCCCTTCTGGATGCCGGTTGCATGGCAGCGCGCTCCGCCGCCAAGGCGGCGTTGCATCGGTGGCGGACGGAGAATATGGCGGTACCCAAGGCGATGACCCACCAGGAGAACATGACGGGGAGGGCACGGTGCAGCTGACTATCGCAGCCGTTGCTCCAGATCTGGACGAGGACCTGGTAGGTCTCGTGTGCGGGGAGGGCGTATCCCCAGCGGAAAAAGCCCGGGCTCAGTTCGAACGGACTGATAGTGCTGGCCACGTTCACGATGGCCCAGGTGAGAACGCAGAAGGGCATGAATTGCATGGGGACGAAGGTGGTGAGGATGTCCATGATGAGGAAGTTGATATGCATGTAGAGCCAGATGGCCATCCACGACAGGGCGAACTGGTTTCCATTCACCTCCCAGGACTCCCGGAAGGACCAGATGTAGGCGACCATGCACAGGGCCCCGACGAAGGTGTATGCGGCCGAGATACACATGCGTAGCAGCCCGTTCGCGTGCCAGCCCAGCTTGGTCAAGATCTTGAACTGGGCAGAGATGCCGTTCAGAGCCATCATAAAGAAAAACTGCTGAATGATGGGCATGACAAATGACACCGTATTATAGAGCACGCGTGTCCCTTGCTCCGTCACTTTGAGATTGACCTCCGTGGCCTGGATCGGGTCAAGGAGGGCTTGCAACGCAGTCGGACTGGTTAGATTGGCAAAGGAAAGCACGACCGAGGCGTTCTTCGCGTAGTACATCGAGCGGGTGACGGCGAACAGGGTTTGTAGGCTAGAGTAGACAGCACTCATCGACATGGCGGGATACCGGGCGCCGTTCCAGATGTAAGTGAGTGCGTTCGCGCTGTCGTACGGACTCCCGTCTCCTTTCAAGGCCGAGGTGAGGTTCGTCGACGCCTGTGAATTGGCATACACGGCGCCCCAGTAGTCTCCGCTGCAGACCGCCGCTCTTACCTCGCGAGGTGTTGGAAACGTTTCGACGTCGGAGCTTTGCAGCGTAGGGAAACTGTCGCCTCGAAGGGTGGCGTATGCATCGAGCACGGACTGGCCCACGGCACCGCCGTCATAGTCCACGTAGAGAATCTTCATGTTGTGGAAGCGAGTTGAGCTGCGGAACTGCGTCCCATAGAGGTAGGACATATTGACAAGGAACAGGATTTGGAGAAGGACAAAGCTGCCCGCCACGGCCAGAGCAAACTGCTTGCGGACCCCCATGTTGAATATCAATTGGGTCAAGTGGGAGTAGACGGTCGATTTATGAAGGTATCATAGGGGGTAGTTGATAAGGTTGTCGAGGGATGCATGGTTATATATTCTAAGTTATGGGTTTAATATCTTACTTTCGGGGTAGGGGATGTCGGCATATCGGAGGCCGAGTACCGACCATGACGGTGGAAGGAATACCTATAGTACCACATTGACGATCCACTTGTCAAGATCTTTTCTGAGTTTCTGAATGTTCATCGATGAAGATTGCATGAGGAGATGGAGTTCTAACGGTTGAAGAACCGAGGGGCAACGCTAGTCTATATGAGGACTAGCGCAAGAACCGATCCCGGGCGATCTCCCGCTGACTCAGCGGAAGACCGGCTGACGCTATCCGAACTCTGCCTGGAAGCCTGGAAGCCTGAGAGCCGAGAGCGAGTACGAAGTATGAGGTGGCCCTAAGGCAGGCTGAAACGATGTGTGTTGGAGAGTGCGGATTGTCCGAGGAGAACTCGGTGCGTAGTTACTGCGAGAGAGAGGATGCCTGTTGCCCCCTGCACGAAAAAGGATGTCTTTCCCCCCCCCCCCTCTCTCTCTCTCTCTCTCTCGTTCTCTCGCTCTGTCTTTAAGAGCCAACACCATCAGGAAGACGAACAGGACTGCTTGAGTGCCTGAGTGCCTCCCGGCAGTCGCTATTTCGGGACTCTCACGTGACTACCCCGATCGGGCCCCACGCGTGATGCGTCAACTAAGCCTTATCAGTACTAGCTGCTGCGTCACCTGCTCCGTCGCCTTCGTCAGCCAATCAGCGGGGGCTCAGCCATCCCTTCCTTTGTTGCCGCCCTTCTTCCGCCCGCCTCCGTCTTCTCGCATCTTCATCTTCATCTTCATCTTTCTTGTCATCGTCATCGTCACGCTCTGACTCTTTTTCAACCCATCAAACTAATCTACCCTGGTCTCTCGTTTGTTTCTCGCGATCCTACCTGTCGCTGTGGGATCCGCTTTTCAACTTTCGCCGCCATGATCGTCCGTCCGTTCCTGGTCGGGAGCGCTATCGCTCTAGGCGCCAATGCTTTGCTCGTCGTCCCCGAATCCGAAGTCGACGCCGTCGCCCCTCTCGACGATATGACTCTTCGTCCGTTGGAGTCATTGGCGGCCAGCCAGCAGGAAGTCATTCTGGGCTGCACCGAATGCCCGTTCCGGGAGGTCGACGAGAGTGGCAAGGTCAGCTGGACTGACGGCTTCGAAACTTCTCTGGTAGGTGTCCCTCTGCCTGGGGGGAGGATCGTGGACTCCCCTTGGTTCCGAATCGAAAAGATGAACATCACTGATGCGCCCTAGTCGTTGAACTTTTCGGTTGAAAATGGATTCTTGCTGGCCAACGACCGCCCCATCTTCCCTCCCCCGCCGCCGACTCACTTGACCGCCGTCCAGCGTCGCTTGTCCGACGGCCAAGAGTCGGACCCTATTGATCTGGGATACGCGGTTGAAATGATGCCGCTTCAGACCCCACCCGACGAGCCGATGGACATGGTGGCCGTCCGCTTTACTGTTCTTGACCTGGATGGCCACCCCGTTCCCCTCGACACCGTGGCCCTCCACCTGGTCCACGACTCCGCCGCCAACCTGTTCCTGGCCAAGGCCACGATCGAAGAAACCGCTCCGTCTCGCGTGTCCTGGAGGCAGTGCCGGGGCAAGCCCAAGTGTCTGAAACGGCTCTTGTTCGATCGCATCCGCAGCCTTTTCCACGCTGCCCGGGCCCGCGTGCTGGGACTCGGCGGCCCTCGACCGCACTGCGGAGGCCGGCCCCACGGATTGGGACACCCTCCTTTCCCGCCTCACCACGGTCCCGGTCCGGAGGGTGACATGAAGGGTCCCCCTCCTCCCCCCCACCACCACCATCACATGCACCACGGCCACTGGGAGCGCACCTTCTCCCGGGTCGTGCGCTTCATCGTCGTACCGGCCATCCTGGGCGTGTTGGCCGGACTGGCTGCCAGCGCTCTGGGAATGCTGGTCGGTCAGATCGTTGTCTTTCTCTGGCAACGCTATCGCCGCTCCGGCTCCAAGCCCTCGGAAGAACGAGGCACCGTGGGCGAGAAGCAGGGCTTGATGACCGAGGCCGCGGACGAGCTGCCTCCGGCTTACAGCGACGAGGAAATGGCATCTGAGGCGATGCCCGCGGACAAGTCTTAAGCCGCCGCACCTTGACTTTTACACCTGAGAATGGATGGAATTGACTCAAGGTACCGTTGGGGTCCGGCCGAACGGACTATGCAAACAAGGGTTTGAGGAAAGATTGCATACTGGTTTTTTCTTTTCTTTTTGATGTTTGAGGTTGAATGACCTAATTCAACAGTCCTAACTATCTTCCTTTACAATGTATTCCGGGTATCATTATTTCTCCCTTTTTTTTTTTTTTTGTCCCCGTTTGGTATTCGTAGTCTGTAGTTGCTGTAGTTTTTTTTTTGTTCCTGGAGGACAAACGACGTCACGATCTGTCCGAGCCGCGGGCCCGTCACGTGCAGCCCCAGGCACGAGGCGCGACCGCCTTCAGGCATCCCATCCGTGCCTTCATGCGGCCGGTCCATTCCCCTCTCGCCCTCTGTCTCGCTCTCTTCTCCCTCTCTCTCTCTCTCACTCACTTTCTCTTTTTCTCCCCCGCCATCCACCCTCTCCTTCCATCATGCTGTCTCAGTTTTCACGATGATTCCTGTCCCTGTCGTTCTCTACCCGTGCGCTTCCGTACATGCTCCTCTTCCGATCCTGATTCGCTCCGTCTGAGCTCCCCAGCTTCTGCCGGGCTGGGCTTGGCCATCAAATCAGCCTTACACCACCCAAGAGGCCCCCATTCCCGCAATAGAGACCGGGCAAGAAGAGACAGTCCCTTCAACTCCTCTCCCCTTTATTCCTTCTCATAACCTATCGTTGCCCCCCTCCCGGTGGAGGCCATCTTCTTATCTTCCGCAACCGGCACCATGATGCAGTGGTCGTCCTTCGTTCAAAAAGCCCAGTCATTCATTGACCCGGCCAACTTCAACCTTCCTACTCTCACCTCATCCGATCGCAATCCCTCTAAGGCCTCCCTGTTTCGCCAGCAATTTCGCCTCCCCGACTCTCAAAATCCGTTGCAGGAAATCACCGCAGAACTCGTTCTTCCGATTCCACATACCTCCTCTCCGACCAGCCAAGGGGACGCCTCGCGCAATATCGAACGCGCCGGCAACCGCTATGCCGGCCGACTTCACCTGAGCGAACGATATATCTGTTTCTCCACGCAACCGACGAGTTTTGCGCCCTCTGCCACGTTGGGGGCATCTACCTACTGGGCCGGCCAGACGAATGGTACGGGCCCGTCGGGAAATGGCTTCACCATTCCGCTGTGTTGCATCCGCCGAGTTGAGCGGCTCAACAGCCTGAGCCATGTGTTCTCCCTGGCTCTGACGACGTGGAACGGTGCGCTGGGGAAGCAGCAAAGCTCCGGCTTCGTCCCCCAACGATTCACCATCCAGCTGGTCGGGAGCAGGCAGGCCTGTGAACGTTTCTGCGATGGCCTGAAGAAAGGACTGCGCGAGGGCATGAAAGAGATTGAAAACCTGCGAGTAGTGGTCAATGATTGCTATTCGGAATACCTCCTTTCCGGAGCCAAATCCAAGGGCCAGGAAGGGGACGGCTCCGAGCTGCACCAGCCACCCGATGCCGGGCTGGGGATGATCTTCCGCTACCCCGGTGATGCCCGTAAACTTCGGGATCGGAGTAAAATGAGATTGTGGGGGGAATATTTCCGAGGTACGGCCCGCTGATCCCTTTACTTTCAGAACCTGCGTTGACTCCCTCGATCTCACCGGTAGAAAATGGCCGTAATGCGACTCTCATTCGGCAGCCCACCTTTCACAAACTGATCCGCGTGGGCCTTCCCAACCGCCTCCGCGGTGAAATCTGGGAGATCGCTTCGGGTTCGTTGTATCTGCGTCTGCGGTCGCCCAAGCTGTATACCGAGACGCTTTCCAAATTCTCCGGACAAGAATCTCTCGCGATCGACGAGATTGAAAAAGACCTAAATCGAAGTTTGCCGGAGTACGCTGGATTCCAGAGCGAGGAAGGAATCGGACGGCTACGACGGGTGCTCACGGCCTACAGCTGGACCAACGCCGAGATCGGTTACTGCCAGGCCATGAATATCGTCGTGGCCGCTTTGTTGATGTATGCTTTAGTTTGTTTGCACCATGTGTCTGGATACCGCGGCTGACCTGTATTAGATATATGTCGGAGGCGCAAGCCTTTTTCCTGCTTTCGGTTTTATGCGACCGTCTCCTCCCGGGTTATTATTCGACGACCATGTACGGCACGTTACTTGATCAGAAGGTTTTCGAGTCCCTGGTGGAAAAGACTATGCCGGTTCTGTGGGACCACCTTGCCAAATCCGACGTTCAACTTTCGGTTGTCTCCTTGCCGTGGTTTCTCTCCCTCTACATCAACTCGATGCCGCTGGTATTTGCATTCAGGGTTTTGGATGTGTTCTTCCTGGAAGGGCCCAAGGTTCTTTTCCAGGTCGGCCTTGCCATTCTGCGAGTCAACGGCGAGGAGCTGTTGGATATCCAGGATGACGGGTCCTTTATCTCCGTATTGAAGTCATACTTTTCTCGCCTGGACGAGTCTGCTCACCCGAGATCCGAGAACCCCAAGCTGCGAGCGATCACCCGATTCCAGGAATTGATGGTCGTGGCTTTCAAGGAATTTTCCGGTATCACTCATCAAACCATCACCGATCAACGGGAGAAGCATAAAGATGCGGTGCTGGAAAACATCGAGAGCTTCGCTAAGCGCACCTCCATCCGGAACCTTGGGCCAGAAAGCAAAAAGCTGAGCATGGACGATCTGGGCGTGATCTACGACCGGTTCTACGAGGTCCTTTATGACCGTCAACAAAGACAAAAACTTCTAGACGAGGAAACGAAGCGCCAGGAGAAGAAGCGAGTCGAGCGAACTTCGATCTTAGGTCCACCGGTAGACCGTGAAATAGGTCGCGTGGGTCTTGGCCCCAGTCCGACTCACATGGATTACGACGCTTTCCGCGACTTCCTCGCTGCTACAGCCAAGTGGGCCGTAGGCGACACCCCCGGGTCTTCCCGCAAGCAATCGTCGGGCGAGCTCAGTTTGAACAGCCTTAGAGGGTATGGAAAGTCCGCCGCGTCGTGGAACAAGCAATCTGAACCCGCCGATCACGAATTTATGCAACGCTTGTTCCGCAAATGGGCTACAGATCCATCTGAAGGACTTAGCTTGCAGAATGCGGTCAATGGACTGGCGCGTCTGAAGGGTCCGCGAGATATTATGAACAATATCAATTACTTCTTCGACTTGTACGACGACCATGGCAATGGCCAGGTTGATCGCGAAGGCATCCTGAGAATCTCCGAAGCATTGCTTTTCCTTTCTCGTCGCGGTTTTGACGGCACTATTACGCCGACTCAATCCATCGAGGAGCTTGGCGCTGCAAACGACCGTGAGCACCCCGACCATGACCGGCTGAGTACGGATGAGAAATTTTTGGGAAGTGTCAGCTCATTCATCCGCCGGTGCTTCGAGTATGCCGATCCCAGCAAGCCGGAGGATTCCAAGAACCTGGAAGAAACGGCGGACAAGCTGGGTTCATTCAGCATCGGGGAAGATGAGGAGGACCTGATCGATGTGGGCGAGGAAAAAACCAAGTCTTCCCCTACTGCCCCAGGGAACGACAGCCCCGGGGCGCAGAATGACGCAAAGGCTCCCGAAGCTGCAAATCCCGCCCTGGATCCCAACAACCCTCTACATATCACCCTCCCCACCTTCCGGATGGTCATCTTGGCCGACGAACTGCTCGAACAGTTCTTCGACTCCTTTTTCCCTCAGTCCTTCCGTCTTTCCAATCACCCGCATCCTGCCTCTGTCGCCACTTCTCTCTCTTCCAACCTTACAACCTTCTCCAATATCAACACCGCCAAGTCACACGGCAGCGCCGCTTCGGGCGCCTCCGTTGCAGGCGCATCGGGAGGCATCGTGCCCCCGGGCAAGGGTCTCCGCGGTGTTCTCGACAACATAGTTACGGACGGAATCCGCATGGCCGCCGAGGTCAAGAAGCGGATGGACGAGGCGCAGCGTGAATTGGAGCGCAACGCGCTCAGCCGCGAAGACGAGGAGGAGGAGGATGATGACGACTACGACCCCCGTAACAGCTCGTCCACACCCGCCATCGTGGGCGGCATCTCAAGCTGGGGAGCCGGCGCGTATGGGGCAGACCCTGAACGCCGGAGCGTCCGCGACGCGGACCGTGATCTTCTCGAAGGAGCGGAAGTCGTCAGCATCCACAAGAAGGACGAGGCCTCCTTGTTGGACGACAAGGAGGGACAACAGCACCACGGTGGTCCCTCGGAGGCTGGCAATAGCAATGATGCCCAACGGCAGCAACGATCACAAGATTCGGATCAACACAACGTGAGCAAGGTTGAGTTCGAGTCATAAATCAAACACTATCCAACATATTTTTTTCCGTGCCACTCGTCACTCTCCATTTTTTTTTTGCATCTTACTCATCTTTTTCTCTCTTCTTTTATTTTCTTTGTGATAATATCATCGCCCAACCTCTGCCATACTGCGTGCGCCTACACCGTTATATTTCCTATTCTAGATTCATTTTCTCTCTCTATGTTTTCCTTTTGCCACTTAGCCTTGTTTTCCGTTGTACCCGGAAGACCGATCAATGTATGTATGTATTACGTTTAGCTTGAATACAACCGACTCCGATATGGAAATGCAGTTTACGGATTCGAAATGTTTGATACGCCATTGTCGGACGGCATGAATTGAGGCTGTACATAACCGTCACAAGAGACGAGGGATGAAATAAAATATATTAATGTCCGTCGAACAAAATGTATGTACAGGGAGGGATGGCATTAGCCACATGTTTTAACACGATCTATACCAGGATGGAAGACAAATAAAATCCAATATAGACAAAATGAAAAGAAATGCAAAGAAATGTGTAAAAGAGAAAAAGAAACCAAAATGTAATAATAAGGAAGCTGGGAAATAAAAAGGGGGGTATAAAATTTCAAGGAAAGAGTATAAGAAATGAAGAGAAGGATGGTAAATCAATGGAGTGTTCGCTCTGGCGAAGTAACCTCAGTAGGCTGGGAAAAAGGGCTAACTAGAAAACTTCTGAGCGGGAAGCAGAAGAATGTCGCTGAATAATTGTGGCATCAAGGGCTCCGGGTATAGAGGGAAGTAGAGACAAGGAAAGAAAAGCAAGGAAAGGGAAGGATATATATGACTTCCGGGGTGACCCCTCAAAATCAATCCTTCTGCCCTTCATTCTCAATCAATTCGAGAACTATCAAGCTTCGTTCATGCTCTGGGTGTTGCATGCAGATCTTGACTGTTCGTCCGCTGCTGGCCATAGAACCACCATTGGACAGTCCGCTCGAGAGGTTCACGGCACCGCCTGCAGAAGTAGGAACGCTGTTGGCTCCGGATCCAGGCATGCTGCTGCCGTCGTCGAGGAGAACGACATTGTGACCCGGGATAACCTGACGGAGACGCCCATTCATCGCGTTGCGTACCTCAACAAAGTCTTCGTTGAAAAGTATCAGGAATTTCCCGTACAGGCAGGCAGAATGGGCGCGTCCTACGAATTCCATGACCACGCTCCGGGAAACATCGCCATGTTTGTTCACGTAGACGGCACATTCGGTGTAGACCACAAGGAACTCGCTGTCGCTCAAACGGAACATGCCCAGCGGGCGGAGGTTGCCGATCCGGTTGGCAATGCTTGACAGTTGGGCCTGCGCCTCCGGGGCCTCCGATCGGAAATCCGGGACCGACCAGGTCTGTTTCTTGTCAAGCGTCAGGATTTCAATGCCGCGCTGGGTGGAGATTGCCAGCGAGGAGTGGAACATGTTGATGCCGTAACTTTCGGCCGGGATGTAAAACTCATCGAATTCGCGGAAGAACTCCGTTTGCGAGCGACGAGATTGGAAGAAGCGCGTCTTGCTGGAGGACGACTTTTGCAGGACTGGTTCCAAAACCTGAGGAAATGGTCTGCGTCAGCGACATGGCTTTCCTTGGAACATGCCAAAATGGTACCCGACATACCTTGAATGTGGACGACAGTCCGTCCCGTTTCTTGTACATGACCAGAGTACGATCCTTCATATGTCCTGCGACAAAGAAGCCCACTTCTCGGCTCCCTGAGAGCTTTTGGGGCGCGCGGCGAGCAGAGTCACTTGTGGTTTGATTTTGGACCCCGCTGGCTGGACACACAACGTCCAAGTGGTAGGCGATCAGGGACTTGTCAGCAATGAGAAGGAATACGTTAAATTCCTCAAATACGGCGACCTGGGTCACGCGCACGATAGGAATCGCCTGAACCTAGTTAGCATGGGGTTTCCAGGGACCATTATTCAAAAGGGATCCATACCCGAGTCCATCCACGGGGGTCATTGTAATCGGAGATGTAGACGCCATAATCGGTGCCGATGGCACACATCATTCGACCCGGGGGCTGTTGGAAGACGGTGGCACAGTGGACGGCGGTTCGACAGACCGGTTGAGGCCGGGGGCTGGAGGCCGGGTACCGCAGTTCTACCTCTTTGATTGCTCTGTCCAAGGGCGTGCCATCAATGGTGACCGAACTGGAGGCCGAGAAGTCCGAGTTAGCAAAGGCACTGTCCGCCAGCACACGGAGTCTGAACGGCTCGGCATTCTGGGTGAAGAGAGCGGCGGCATGCTTCGTCTTTGCCTCAGTGATCTTGTCGCACCAATCCTGCCGACTCTGGGCAGAAAAGGCGTAGAGGATATAGGTCCCCGCGGTGCCCAGGTGTTTAATCTTGAAGGGGTAGAGAATCTTGTCGTCCTTGGAGCTTTCCAGGACGGTAGTCGGCACCAGCGCCGACGTCCCGCCGCCGGGGACGAAGTTCGAAGGCACGGCACCAGTGCCACGCGTGGCGGCCTGGGGCGGCGTCACCGTCGCGACGCCGCGCACCGACGATTTGACCACCGGGTCGTCGTTGGTGCTCTCCAGAGCCAGGAGATCCATGGGGATGGGCAGCTTGGAGACGTCGTAGCTCTCGTACTTGACGGTGCGCGAAGGGTCCCGGGCCGTGACTGCCTTGGCCAGGACCAGGTAGTGATCCAGGAGGATGGCGTGAGTGTCGACGAGGAAGCGGGTGCGCGTGCCCGGTCGCTGAAGGTCTCCGCGGAAGATTATCTCGCGGCCCAGGTGCTCCAGGTTCAACTCGACCTCCTTCTTCATCTCCGGCCGCAGCTGCAGTTTGGACGACAGCTCCATCAGATCGACCTTCTTGCTCATCTCGCCGACCTTGTTGTCGCACTCCAGCGCGACCAGCTTGATCTCCTCGATGGCCTGAGCCACGTTGATCTTCTCCTCGCTGTCCTTCAGCATGTTCTTGTGAACGGTGGAGAGCAGTAGGGTGTAGCGCTGGATGCGCGTGATGGGAGCCTTGAGGTAAGTGTCCCAGCTGAGCCGGTTCGAGAGCTTGTGATCGCGGACCTGGTTGAGGAACTGGCGGAAGTGGATGTTCCGCTCGGCCTCCTTGCGCACCAGGTAGTTGGCGTAGGGGAACGTGGCGGCGTAGTCAATGTACACGGACTTCGCCTTGCGGATCCACTCGCGGAAGATGTCGCTGAAGCCGATGATGAAAGGACCCTGCTCCTTCTGGCGGTACTTGAGCTGAGCTAGCAGGTGGTCCTCGTTCACGCGCTTGACCGAGTCGACTTTGCCGAACACATCGTGCAGGAACTTGTTCAGGCGCTTGGGCGGAATGATGGAGGGCTGCATGCCCAGCAGCTGATCGCGGTAGAGATCGCGCAGCACGTCCAGCTGGCTGATGAAGGAGTCTTCGGTGGTCACCACCTCGTGCAGATTGTTCTGGCGGTCGATCTCCTTCTTCGGGTACGACTCCCAGGTGGTCTTGGGGACCTTGTAGAACGTCACCCAGTCCTCGGCCTTCTTCTGCGGCTCCATCATCTGCGCCTTCAGGTTCACCTTCTTCAGGGTGCGCATGCAGTGAAAGGAGTAGCAGCGGCCAAAGGCCTCGCCCTCATGCTCATGGAGCAAGGATGAATAGCAACCAGTGCCGGTGACCTGGAAGAGCACGCCCGAGAGCGAGCCGGAGCTGAACTTGACCCACTCCTCCTCCTTCACCAATGCCCCCTCGGCCAGCATGTTGGTGACCACGCGAGCGGCCAGCGTCTCGGCGTCAGCGATGTTCATGGTCGGCACCTTGTGGGTGAAGAGGGCGACGAGGGCCTCGACGATGGCCTGCTCCTTGAGGTCGGTCTCATCCTCGCTGAGCTCGCGGACCCAGTTCAGGATGGCGCTCAGGGCCCAGGGCTCGACACAGCGGCGGAACTGCTCCGAGGACAGTTTGGCCGGATTGAACTTCTTGCGACGCCCGGCGGGGATGGTAGGCAGGTCCAGGGCCATGGCGGCCGCCGTCTGTGCGTCCAGCTGCAGCGAGCCGGACTCGGGACGCAGCGACAGCAGCTCCTGCTGTTGCTGCTGACGATACTTGGCCCGGTCGGCATCGGTTTTGGACCTGATAGGGGGGTCAGTACGCGGTCCAATCGGATGACTCGACAAGGAGGTCGACCGTGGGACTTGAGAGGAGGCGGGCACGGTCGGCCTGTACGAGTCTGCAGCAACTGGGTAGGAGGGATTATACTGTGAAGCCGTCTGCCAGTCCTCTTGCTCTGCGTGCCGGTGGTACGTGCCGGCCGGCATCAGATGGGGAATCAGACTGGCGTTGTTCGCCGGTTCTACGGGGGCCGGCGGCAACGGGCGCATGCCCGGGTGGAAGAACAGATCTTCGGGCTCGTCGCCACGCTCCGACCCCTCGCTGTCCGAATGATGGGCATGGTGGATGGGCGGCGTTTCCGCCTCCTCCCCGTAGTCGAAACTCATGCGGCGCCCGTACGTCCCCGGTTCGGATAGCCCGCCGGTGCCGCCGGCATCCACGCGCGCATGCGAGGGCAGCGGCTGGAAGGGGTAGGCAGCGGCGTTGTCGTTGGCGACGGGCGGATAGTCGTAATCATCCGAGTATTCTGCCCGATCGTCGGACGACACGTTGGAGCTGCGTAGCGAGCCCGATGTGGCCATCAGTCGGTCCCGGTCGAGCCCGTTTGTCGCCGCTGCCTCCTCTTCGCCGGGATATGCCACTTCGCCGTACTGGGAGCGCGCGCGATAGCTGCCGCCGCCGTACAGGACGCCGTCGTCCGGGTGAGGGGAGGCGGCGCCGCCCGACGGGTGTGATGCGTAAGCACTGATGATCGAGGCGTTGGTCTCGCGGCGGGATCGTTCCTGCAAACGTTCGGCCTGCGCCTTGTCCTCCTCCTCAGCCATTTGCAGCATGGCCAATCCGGCGGCCGCCTCGGCGTCGCTGTCATCGCTGTAAGCGTCATAGTTGACGTATTGGCCCGTGCCCGTGGCCATATTCCCGTTCGTGTGCGTGTGCCGTTCGTCGGGCGACAAACGCAGGCCGGCCGGATTGATCTGCGCCGCGTCACCGTCGCCCCGGAAAGGATTGTGCTGCGTGTCCACATGGAGCGGTCCGAACCTCGACCGCGTGCCCCCGGAGGCCTGACGATCCACCCCCACGGTTTCGAGCTCGTCCAACGAATCGTCAAACGGCGAGCCTCCCACCTCGTTGGCTCCGGGGCCGTCCGCGTCGACAGGAGGTCCGGGCAAGGGCCGGGCTTGCGGATGTCGGGTCAAGGTCTCGGCGCGACGGGGCGAGTACGGTGACTGACTATGCTGCGTAGGCGGCGTGGGGAGCGAGCGACCGGATCCCGGACGCGTGAGGCTCAAACGCTTACGAAAGGGGTCATCGCCGACAGTGGAATGGGCGGGCGGTGCAGGCGGGTGGTCGTCCGCGACGGCAGCGGCGATGGAGGCCTCGGAGCGACGAGGTGATTGCGGTAGGTAGGGAGAGGAGTGCCCCGTGGAATAGGCCGTCGAGCCGACGCCGCCCGCACTCAAGGGACCTCCAACGGCGTACGCGGCGCTGGGAGTGGAAGGCGAGACCAGGGGATACGCGGACGACAGGTTTGATTGGGGCGCGGGGAATCCGTAGGAGCCAGCCGGAGGAGGACGTCCTCCGTACGGGTGATCAGAGCCCCGGGGCGGCGGAGGCGGCGGCAGGTGTGGATGTGGTGGCGGGTAACCCAGCGGCGTCGGAGGAGTCTGCGGATAGGCAGCGGCGGACTGGTAGGCGGCGGGATTGTAAGGCTGATGGCCCGCAACGCTGCCAGCACCGGAACCACCGGCGTAGGTACTGCCGGATCCCGAATAGACGGGCTGATTGTAGCTCAGCTGCGACGGGGTCGGCGGGACGGCGTACTGCTGGGGATTGTAGGTCGGCTGGGTGGGTGAGGCGAGCGAGGAGTTGTATTGATACTGGTAGGTCGAGTGCGAGGAGCCCCGGCTGCGAGGGACCTGGGGGGAATTGGTCACAGGGAGGTGGGAGTGCCGGGGGTCAGCCTGGGTATAGCCCTCGCCGGACCAGCCTCCGTATCGACCGTTGGCATCGGCGGTGCGAGCCGAGAGGGCGGCGTCATCGCCCACGTCGTAGCTGGGCATCCGCCGCAGCGGCTGGTTGTGGTTCGAGGCGCCGGCATAACGAGCGAGTTGGGCGGCGGACGAGGAGGGACTGTTTGGCTGACCATAGACCGGATGGCCATTCTGATAGTGAGCCATGCTGACGGTCGGCAGGCGGAGGCTCAGGGAGAGGAAGGCGGCGTCGACGGAGGGAGAAGACGAAGACGAGGCTCAGCTGCCAGGGTCAAAAAAAGCCCACGTTCACTTCATTCCACAGTGGGGAAATCAATAATAAAGTGGAGATTGCAAAAAAAAGGGCGAGGAGAGCGAGTCACGTCGAGGGGGTAAAGAGCGTCATTCGAGAGATGGGAGAGGAAGAGGGCGGAAGGGGGTGAGGGAAGAAAAGGAGGAGCAAGAGAGAGAAAGAGAGAGAGGGAGGGAAGAAGAAGAAGAGGATGAGGGAGTGGGAGAAAGTGGATGGGGGAGAAGGGGAAGATGCGAGGAAGATGAGACGAAGAAGACCGTCGACTGTCGAGTTAGGAGGAGCTGGCAGAGCCGCACCCTCAATTATAAATTATAATGGCACCCGTCACCACCCGCCTTTCTTGCTGTCGGGTCTTGCTTGTGTACTTTTGTGCTTTTGTCTTTCGCTCTTTCGCTCTTTCTTGCAGCTTGGGTTCTTTGTTGGCGCAAAATGCCCCCGATTCAGGCATCCACAGCCCGCGTCAGGCAAGAACCCGGTCGGGACTAGCGAGTGATTTGCTCCGCCTTGCTGCCGCCCGCGTCTGTCGTGGTAACCCGGCGGTATCTGCCAGGTACTGCTGCTGCCTTTATGCCTTTACGCCTTAGTGCCTGGATGCCTGAATCTATATGCCTGAGAAAATAGGGATTCAGGCACCATGGCACTCCAGCATGAAGGCATAAAGGCATCCCTCCGAAGACGCTGCGTTTATATAGTAAGTTGACAACTCGTCTTTGGCTCTGGTCCTTTCTTAGACTCCCGGCCTTTCAGAAACTGATAAACGGGGACATAGCATTGTCTATCTATAGAATTGTCTGTCTACCTTCTCTTTTTCTCTCTCTTCATTGTCCTGGTCCTTGTCGACTCCCCCGCATGGAGCACGTGCGGGGGTGCCAAGATCTCCCCGGACTGTCTTTCTTTCTCTCTCTCTCTCTCTCCCTCTCCTTCCTGTCGGTCGTCTGTCTTTCCGGTTTTTGGGGTGTCTCGCTTCTTGTCTCATATTAGACTCTCCATCCTCCACACCCCCGTCGGAGAATTGCGATATCAAGATGCCCAGTCAGGGATCGGCAGCGCTACCATCCCTCTCCCCGCCAATGACCCTTGCTCCTGAGGGGGACGCCGGACAATTTGATACCTCGTTCGCTTGGCGATTGCATCATGCCACGAGTCGACACCCTCGGAGGCTCGCTATAAAGAGCTCGTCGCCTCTCATCCTCTCGTTCGTCTGCATCACGAACCCAGAAACCTGCCTCTTGCGACGATGAAGAGCTTTGCTACTTGGATAACGGCCCTCATGGCCACGGCCCCCCTCGCCCTGGCTATTCCCCGGCCCTCGATGAATGCCCTTCGGAAGAAGGCCGACGCCGACAAGGTAGGCTACCTAGGGGTCTACTGGACCACCGATGACGAGAGCGTCTACTTCGCCCTGAGCGACAATGGCAACCCTTTGGCTTTCGAGACTGCCAACGGCGGCAAGTCCGTCTTGTCGCCGACGCTGGGCACCAAGGCCATTCGCGACGCCTCTATTATTGCCGGGGTTGGCGATGACGCCGGCAAATACTACATCATCGGCACGGACCTGGACATTGGATCGGTAAGCCTTCCCTTGTCTGGTAGACGACCGACCGAGGCGAACGGCGGCTAATGAAAGCAGACCAACTGGGGCGACGCCGTCCGCACCGGATCGCGCGGCATCTTCGTCTGGGAGAGTACCGACCTGGTGAACTGGACCGACGAGAGACTGGTGACGGTTGAGGACGAGACGGCCGGCATGGTGTGGGCTCCGGACGCCGTATGGGATTCTTCTCAAGGTAATTCCCGTCAGATGGGAAAGGCTTGACGACAGCTGGGGCTGACGAGGTTTTACGACGATTAGAACAATACCTGGTACACTGGGCCTCCCAGTTTGTAAGTCCCCTCCGCACTGCTGCGAGACGATTTCCCGCTGATGACGGCGATTGACAGTATGCGTCCGATGATTCGGACCACTCCGGTGACCCGACAACCACCCAGATCATTCGCTACGCCTATACCAGTGATTTCCGCACCTTCGGCGAGCCGAAGACTTATATCGACCATCAAACCAGCACGGTCATTGACCTGGCCTTCCTGGCTGTAGATGACGATACCTTCGTGCGCTTTTACGTCGATGGCAACACGACAAGTCCCGTCGTGGAAGTCAGCAACGACGGACTCTTTGGCGACTGGACCGTGCCAACTGGCAGCGTGCAAGACAGCGCCAGCTACGAAGGACCGTATGCCTTCTGGGACAACGAGGAAGAGGGCAAGGCGTATCTGCTCTGCGATCGCGTGGGCGACAGCCCCGGAATCGCCGCGTGGGAATCAACGGACGTCACCTCGGGCGAGTTTGCGAGAGACTCGTCGAGCGACCTGACCTTCATGCGACATGGATCTGTGCTCGCTGTAACACAAGAGCAGTACGACGCCTTGTCAAATCTTTAGCTAGCGACACAGATAATACGGGCCCAGAGTTGATATTGCTTCGAAGAGATGAACAAGCAAGCACGCAAACCTAACGCCACATAGAATGTTCATAGTAAAAAACAATCGAAGATTGAACAAAGGATTGCAACTAGGAAGATGGATTATCTATCGAAAAACAACACTTAAATTCGGGCACTCGGTCATTCATTTAGAGCGACGCTAGGCCTTTCACATATCGTGTCGTCCTGTCCGGAAAATACCCTGGCTTTGCAAGCATATCGTCGTCATCGGTCAAGAAAGGACTGTTGTGGTCACAGCGTGGTGTGGATGCGTTCCGGTGATATCCTCGTCGGGGCCGGGAATATATAATCAAGTCAAGAGGCTCGTGGCCAACAAGATCAGCATCGTGAACCTGATCCTTGGCACAACAAGCGACCAGAGTCAGTAATTGCTGGTCGGATGCTTTATTGTCTGGTCATGACATCTGGATTATGCACTCTGATGGGAAAGGCGATTCACAAGGTTGACGTGAGCGTGGTGATAAAATCGCATTATTGATCGGATCTGTCTGCTTTCTTTTTGTTTCCTTCTATTTTCTGCTTCTTTGGGACGAAATAACATAGGATAGTGGAGTCGAAGGGATGAAAATAGACCACCCGAGGGTTCCAAACTGACTATCGAATATCTATCGATCAAGCCCAGGTTGTTCAACCCTTCGAGTCAGGGACACGAGCCCAACCAATACACAGATCAACACGGGCGATGACGATCACTTCCCGCAACGCGTTTAGTGGCACGAAGATCGTGAAAAGTTGCGGAACGCAATCTCAAATCAGATCCACTCGGTCAGTTCCCGAGTGGACCGGACTGGCGATGACTTCGGGAGTTGAGACCTTGAGTCGCCTTCTTGCTGGGATTGACGGTCAATCATCACTGTCATTAGGATTAACAACAGCATTTATGACCTAGCGAGACGGACAGACATCGGCCAGGCCTTATGGAGGATTATTAAAACGCTGTCTTTTGTGGAGATATCGACTCAGAGGACCTGTGAAGACCTCAATGAACCAAGTTGTTTGAGTTCGACTACTACCTGATCGATCTGCTTCAAGGCTCCACGCTCGCCTATTCCCAAGACCTCTGCTCTCCCTGAGGCTCCTACACCCTGCACTCACTTTTGCTTTTACTCATAATGACCCCCTAGACCTTCCTAGTTCTTCGGCAACCTCGTGGCCTCCTCACCCATAGTCTTTCATTTGAATCCCACCCCCGTCACTCTTTTATTTCTATTCGCCTACAATGTTTGCCCGTCTGCTCCATGCAGGGCTGTGGGCAGCATGCCTGACGTCGATGACCACGGCCCTGGTGCCTCCCAGTCAAGATCCCTGGTACCAACAACCCCAAAACATCAGCGCATACGCACCCGGCGAAATGATCCGTGCTCGCCAGGTTGCCAACGAGCTGGAGCCCTACACGCCGGTGGGCATGCCCATCTCCGTGGAATCGGTGCACCAGTATCTATATCGCACGACCAACAGCGTGGGCAAACCCATTGCCGCCGCTGCCACCCTTATCGTGCCGCATAATTCGGACCCCAGCAAATTGTTGGCCTACGAGACGTTCTACGATGCGAACAACCCAGATTGCAGCCCCTCCTACACTCTTCGCCACGGTTCCTCCCACGGCAATGGCGATCTGATGCCCAACATGACGCAGCCCATGGACCTTGCCTTTGTAAGTTCTCCCCGGCCGCGCACACTGTCAGGTTCCCCTGACATATCGGTTAACGACGATTGTTTCTACTAGCTGTCGGCCGCTCTCCAACAGGGCTGGTGGGTGATCACCTCCGATTACGAAGGTCTGGACGCACAATTCGCCGCGGGATACCTGGCAGGATACGCGACGCTGGATTCGGTGCGCGTCGCCCTGCGCGAAGCACCGGCGCTGGGACTCTCGCACGACGCTCGATATGCCATGTGGGGATACTCCGGGGGCGCGTTAGCCTGCGAGTGGGCGGCTGAGCTGCAACCCTCGTACGCACCAGAGTTGCACTTCGAAGGCGCGGCGATCGGCGGTCTGTTGCCCAACCTCACCTCAGCCATCGATACTATCAACATGGGCCCCTTCTCGGGCGCCGCGTTCGTCATCATGATCGGCGTGGCCAAGGCCTACGAGGAGCTGCACGGATGGCTCGGCGAGAATCTGATCGAGGCCAGCCGACACCAGTTCTATGGCTCTGCCGACAGCTGTGTGCTGGGCGAATTCGCGGGCGGCATGTTGAACGACATCTTCCGCTACTTCTTGCGTGGTAAGGCCTCGTTTGCCGACCCCGTGCCCTCCTCCATCCTGGGTTCCGCCGGACAGATGGGCTCGGCGGGCACACCCCGGATGCCGATGTACATCTACAAGGGCGCGTTGGATGAAATCAGCCCGATTGCCGACACGGACGAGCTGGTGCACAGCTACTGCAACCAGTCCGTTAGCATCGAGTATCACCGCATTCTGGCAGCAGAGCATTTGACCACGGCCGTGTTCGGGTCGGTTAACGCGTTACAGTGGCTATCCGATCGATTGGACGGTCGCGAAGTCGAAAACCCCGACTCTTGTAGCACGACGACAGTGCCACTGATGAACCTCAAGGGCAAGGCCATCTCATACCTGGGATCGGAGGCTGTAGGCACCTTGACCTCGGTGATTGGTGGTCGATTGAACTCATGGCCGTCGATTTTAGGGTAACCTACGACCATCTGACGGACGCAACTCCTCCGCTTGAGCGTTAGACATTATGGTTGCATTCATCGACAGCCATATGACTTCCGAATATATAGAAATACAAAGACCATATCAGCTCTAGTGCGCCAAGATGCAGAAGAGAACATGTTCGCTGAGTACACCGTCCTGCTCTATGGACAACAATTGTCTAATACAACGAGATTAGACTTATAATAGGTTGAATCAATAGCAGTCTGTAGTTTTTCCTTGGTCACAGTCTGATGGCAACCACTTTGGCCGGTTCCAGCCTTCCCTGCGGAGGAGCGATATGCCCGCCACAGGTCACCACGTACAGAATGCTCCCATCGGTGCTGATCTGACCGGCACTCGGACCAGCCACGAGCGAGGAGTCCTTGCTTCCGACCAGCGTGGACAACTCCCCACTTGGAGAGACGCGCTGAACCTGGTTATCCACATTGGCCATGAGATATGCAGTCCCGTCAGACGCCAGGGCAAAGTCGTCAGGCAAGGAGTTACTAGCAGCCACAGTCTCCACCGGACCTGCAGCCAGCCCTTCAGTATCCACGGGCACTCGGAAGAGCGAGTCGAGCGAGCTGGAAGTATAATACACCATGTCCCCGGCCGCATGGACCCCATTCACCCCCAGGGCCTGGCCATTCTGCTCGAGTGAGTGACCCGACAGCGCGACTTCGTAGTGTCCAGACAAGGGATCGACCTTCCAGATGACCCCATTGACCGAGTCCGCCACCAGTAGCGTGCCCGACTCGTCGTCCAGGCACGCCATTCCGTTCAACCAGCCCGCTTCGGGGATGGCCGCTATCGGGCTGATCTGTGGACTGTCGGCAGCCATGTTCACGGCCCACAGCGAGAAGGACCCCGGCGTGGGCTGGCCGATTTCAGCGATGGTGACATTTCCCACCACGACGGCGTAGCGATCATCGTGAATGTGCGTGATGCCCATCAGTGCGGTGGCCTGGTCGAATCGATGCACCAGTGACCTCGAACCGTCGACCGGATTCACCGTCCAGAGCTCGGGTTCGTCCATGCGTGTTAGCAGCAGGTCGCCGTCGGGACGGATGGCGATGTTCTCAATCCAGGTGCCGTTGGTTTCGAATTGGAAGACGGTGGTTGCTTGTGCATCGCGCGAGAGAATCGGGGAGGCTGAGACAGTCGTGGCGAGCAGCAGAGCCATGGCGTAGTCGGCAAACTGCCGCACGCGCGAGAGGATGGCCATGATGAGGAGAGAACGAGGCAAAGACAATAGACACTTGGAATTCGAATCCCGAGAACCGCCGTTCTCTCGGGGAACCTCTTGCTTTTGATATAGATCAGTCCAGATGGAGAAATGGGCGCCCCGATGCAAGGGCGACAGACTATTGATTCTGCTCTCAGCCCCGGTGGATCCCTGCTACGGAATGTAATTCAATAGTCTTGGGATCTGTCTCGATCGGACCTGCAGGTCGACTGGAAGAACGAAGTCTACGAGCGTCTTGTTCTCTGATCGATGACGGTGTTGGGGTAACGCGGCCTGCTCCAATCTCCAACTTCTCCAACGGGGAATCTTAATAAGGCTTCACTGCATCATTTCTCTTTCCTGCTACAATCGCTCTCGATTAAAATTACTAGACACTACAAGCAAGATGGAATCCATCCCCGAGACCATGTGGGCAGCCCAAATCAGCCAAGTACGTGTTTGTTGCGTGGATGACAAGGGCAGCGAGAGTTAACGGCTTCAGTTCGATCAACCGTACACGATCACTCGCGTCCCCGTCCCCCGCATTCGACCCAACGAGCTGCTGGTCAAGATCGAGGCCGCGGGATACTGCCATTCCGATGCCCAAGTGTTGCACGGCGAGATGCAGAGCGCACTTCCCATGATCCCCTCGCACGAGCCCGTCGGCGTGGTCGTCGCGACGGGCGATGCGACCGGGGATCGCTGGACGGTCGGCGATCGTGTGGGGATCTTGAACTTCAAAAATGCCTGCGACCGACGTGCCGGTTGTCGCGCCGCCCGACGGCGATGGCATCGACTGGACCCACGGTTTTGCGAGCGTCGCGAGACGGCCGGATTCCAGCACGACGGCGCCTTTGCGGAATACGTGGCGGCCGACGCAGCCACAACCGTCGCCCTGCCGGACTCGGTCTCCTTTGAGCAGGGTGCGCCGTTGTTGTGTGCCGGAGTAAGTCTCATCACCCTCTCTCATTGTATGCTTGTCTTCCTTGATCCTTCAAGATTCCTACGAGGACTTTCAGGTCTACGGCTACAAGAATGGCTAACACTGGCACGATCTACGCGACGCAGGCGACTGTCTGGGGTGCTTTGATCAAGGCGCGGCCCTTCCTTCAACTGGGGGACACCGTAGGAATCCTGGGAATCGGAGGACTAGGCCAGTTGGGCGTGCAGTTTGCCAAAGCGCTGGGGTATCGCACGGTGGCCATCGACAATCACGACGAGAGCCTGCAGCTAACGAGCCAGGCGCCCGCATCCCTGCGACCCGATCTGCTTGTGAATTCCTCGCACGACCTAGCACGCGATCAAATCCTTGCCCACACGGACAATGAAGGACTGGCGGCGGTGATCAATTGCTTCGACTCCCTGACCATTAACGCCTGGAGCCTGGAGCTGCTGCGCGTCGGCGGTGTGGCGGTCTTGCTGGGACTGCCGGCACAGCGGTGGCAATTCGACTCATTTCCCATCGTCTTCCGCGAGCTGGTGATTCGAGGCAACTATGTGGCCAGTTGTGAGGAGGTGGAGGAGATGATGCAGACGGTGCATCGCCATGGTATTCGGTCGCAGCTGACGGTCGTCAGTCGGGCGGAGATTCTGGGGGTCCCGGAGAGATATCGATCGAAGGCATTTCGAGGGCGATTGGTGGTGAAGATGCAGGGGGAATAGATAATAGTCACGGCGTAGCTGGGGAGGACCGGGCAGGACGGCCTTCCTTCAAAAAAGAAGAAAAAGTCCGAATCTTTTGGCCCCAAAACCGACGCAAACAGAAAAAGAGGATCTGGTGGGTCGCAGTGGCGTCACCAAATCAAAAGCTCGGAATGTTTTCCGTCAAGCAGCTCGCTTGGACCAAGCTGAGAGACTGAGCGATTGAAAGACGAGAATACACTGAGGGACAGTGCTCCTGAAGTACGTGAGAAAAGAATGGGACTACTGTGATGCTGCCTATGCTCGGGCCTGAGATAGGGCTGACAAAGTCAGGAGACCTGCGAAAGATGGAGATGCAGCAACCTGCACCAATTCTCGACCCTTCACCAGCATACGGTGTATGTACGGTGTAAGCACTTGGCACTCGGACCCAAGCTTTGTCCATTGTTCTCTTCCCTAGCCTTCCCCCGAGTCTGAACATGCCGACTATCCGACCGGACGAGATCCACCGGCGTCGAAAGCGCGGAATTGAACCACGGTGGATTGCCTGTCCGAGGGACTGATTGGCTCTATCGGTCCGACCCCCAAGGCATGGCCTGCTTTTTTCCCTTTCTTTGTTCATTCTTCAGTCTTCGGTCTTCATAGCGCTGCTGGGGGAGGACACTATGCCCCCAGAACCAGTCATAAGCCCCACTGCCTTCCGTCATGAGGGTTGGGTGAAGACGCCATCGTCGTCTTATTAACCTCGGGGGGACGTTTTTTGTTTCCTACGAGTCTCTTCTCTGCCCGGTCATCCATCGTCCTCGACAAGCTTTTTTCGGTCGGCATCATGAGTCCCTCCTCCGAAAAGTCCGATCCCGATGTCGAGCGATCGTCGGTTGACGCCGTCGACGATCAGCCGGGTGACACCGCGCACGAACTCGAGCTGGAGCGCATTCATACTTATCGGCTGCAGCAGCAACAGACCGTAGGATCGACTCGAAGTCGCACGCCGCGCGACCGATGGCTGCCCATGGGCGCCGGCAAGCCGTATCCGCCGTCGCTGCCCGAGTCGGAATCATTCGTCGTCGAATTCGAGGGAGCCGACGATCCCATGCACCCGCAGAATTGGCCCATGAAGAAACGGTATGTCAACTGGTCCACTCTCTCGAACCCGGGAGACCGATCGTGGAGTTGTGAACTAAACTTCCTCGCAGAGTGACGATCGCCTCGCTTTTGACCTTTTGCGCCCTGACGACGGCGTACGCCAGCGCCGTGTTCGCTACGGCTGGCCCCGGCGTCATGAAGGAGTTTGGATTCGGTCAGGAAGTCGCAGCGTTGGGCACGACACTGTATGTGCTGGGTTTCTCGGGCGGTCCGACCATCTGGGCGCCAGCCTCGGAGCTGATCGGACGGCGCTGGCCCTTGATCATCGGCATGCTGGGCTTCGACATCTTCACCATCGCCTGTGCCACGGCCAAAGACACGCAAACGGTCATGCTGACCCGGTTCTTCTCGGGCTTCTTCGCCGCCAGCGTCATCGCGCTTGTGCCGGCTAGTCTGTCGGACCTGTTCAACAACCACCATCGCGGGATCGCCATCGCCATGTACACCATGAGTGTCTTCACCGGCCCCTTCACCGCGCCCTTCGTGGGTGGCTTCACGGCTGAAAGCTACCTGGGCTGGCGCTGGACGCTGTACGTGCCCGCCTTCGTGGGATTCTTCAGCCTGGCCTTGATGGTGCTCTTCGCGCAGGAGACATACGCTCCGGTAGTCTTGTCGCACAAAGCGTCCATCCTGCGACGTCAAACGCGCAACTGGGGCATCCATGCGCGACAGGACGAAATGGAGGTCGATTTCCGCCAGTTGGTCACCAAGAACTTGGCCCGCCCATTTCGCATCCTCTTCACTGAGCCGATCGCTTTTCTCTTGACTTTGTACATGTACAGTCTCCTTGCCCTGCTGACGATCTGGGTCCCACCAAGCTGACTCCATTTTCCTCAGGTCATTCATTTACGGACTGGCATATGCCCTGCTCTCAGCCTACCCTATCATATTCCAGGACGTGCACGGCATGGGTCTTGGCGTCGGCGGATTGCCATTCATCGGCCTCGTCTTGGGCGAGATCGCCGGCAGCACGTTCGTGTTGTCGCTGCAGCCCTCGTACGCGCGCAAGCTGGAGGCGAATAACAACGTGCCCGTGCCCGAATGGCGTCTCCCACCGTGTATCGTGGGCGGCGTGGCTTTTGCCGGCGGCTTGTTCTGGTAAGATCTCTCCTGTCCCCAGCAGAAGTCAATCCGATACTGATGATGGGCCACAATGCAGGTTTGGTTGGACGGGCTATGATCCGTCCATTCACTGGATGGCGCCCACGGCTGCCGGCGTGATGGTGGGCTTTGGTATCACGTCCATCTTCATGCAGGGATTCAATTACCTACTGGATTCATATCTGAACTTGTGAGTGTGCACCCCGTTAAGCAAACAGGAAGAGAAAAGAAACGAAAAGAAACGAAAAGAAACGAAAAGAAACGAAAAGAAACGAGAGGAACCAGACAGAAAAAAAAAAAAAAGAAAAACGAAAAAGCAAAAAAAGGATGCATTGGAGGCAGCTAACATTCCAATAGTGCCGCCTCGGCGTTCGCCGCAAATACAATGATGCGATCGATGGTCGGCGCCTGCTTTCCGCTCTTCACGCGTCAGATGTTCAATAATATGGGCGTGCAGTGGGCCGGGACACTGCTGGGTTGCATCGCCGTGGTGATGATTCCTATTCCAGTGCTCTTCCTCATCTTTGGGCCGCGTCTGCGCCGGAAGAGTCGGCTGGCACCATCGGGAGATGATGGCGTCAAGCGGTCATAAAAAAACAAAAAACAGGAAAAAACTGCATCGATCGAGGAGGCAAAAGGACTCTCCGGGATCGGTTTAGAATATCACAACCACATAATCGGTAATCGGGAATAGTAGACGAGAAGATAGACAATAATGATACATGGTAGAAGGCAGACAACATCAAGGACTTGATCGGACCATCGGACACGGACGGAGACTGGCCTTCATGTGAAGACTTCACGATGCATTCAAAATCCCACGCAGTCAGCGCACCCAAGTCCAAACAGAGGCAAGAGTCCGAGACCAGGCGGAGTGTCGGGTGGAATGCAGGATTCCCTGACTCCATTCCGGCCCGCTAGAGTAGAAGGGATCGTCGTGCAGCGTCCTCCTAATTGGCGTCGGTCTTTGGAACCGGTGGAGACGAGCCCTAAGTTTAGCCCGTCGATCGATGGTTCCTGGAAGAAGCCCTGGTCCGTCCTCGTCCCCAGTTTCCAGTTTCTCAGCTGCAGATGAAATACGTATCGAGATCTTTTGTGGAGGGCCGTGACGGCCAATTCTTGAGATGACCTAGGGGATCACCGATGAATGATGATTGCAGGATAGTATTTTCCTCGTGTTTCCTGGATCTATGACGGGAGTGTCCATGGTTCGCCATACCGTCTGATCGATCGACCGCTCCCAATCAGTAGTAAACTCCTTTCAGTTAAGGCTTCGCCCGACGATCCCAGACTCAATTGGGAGCCGGAATCCTTCCATGCACGCCGTTTCCCTGCGTGATGCCGAGGTTTCTCTGACGGTGGAGTCTGTTGACCCCCGGATGGCGCTGAGACGTCTTGTTTCATTCGGCTCCGAGCCCGGAGCAAAAGTCTTTTAAGTTGAAAGGGCGACCTGTCGAGAAGATATTGTTCGCTTGAGTTTACTCTAACAGAGCACTTTTAATCCTTTATCTTGTTTGGCATCATGTACTCTGTTTCGCGCCTGTTGACCGTGCTGTCCGCGGCTACCCTGGGCTATGCGCATCCAACCATCACCGCCAGAGGTATGTACATGGACGAACACCCCTTGCCCATGAAGGTTCTCCGAACCGACTTGTTGACCGGGTGTAGATGTCCCTGCGGCTCAGCTGAACGAGTTTGCCCTCTGGGTGCAGTACGCCGCCGCTGCCTACTGTCAGGACAACTACTCCCCGCCGGCTGGCACGAAGTTGACCTGCTGGGCCGGAAACTGCCCCGACGTCGAGGCGGCTGACGCTGTCACCGACATTGAGTTTTCCAAGTAAGAGCACTGTCGCTGGACCAGAGAACTGAAGCTGACGCATCTGCCACAGCACGACTCTGAGTGACACCGCCGGATTCGTCACCGCCGACCACGAGCACTCCAGCATCGTCGTCTCCTTCCGCGGCTCCTACTCGGTGCGCAACTGGTTGGCCGATGCCAACTTCCCCTTTGTCGATCCGGGCCTCTGCACGGGCTGTCTGGCCGAGGCGGGCTTCTGGAGCTCCTGGATCTTCGTGAAGAAGGAGATCGTGGCGAGTCTGAAGCGGTTGACAGAGCAACACGCCGACTACCGCGTCGTCGTCGTGGGCCACAGTCTGGGCGCCGCCGTGGCCACCGTAGCGGCGGCCGATCTACGTACGCTGGGCTACCAGCAGGCCGCACTGTATGCCTACGCCTCACCGCGCGTGGGCAACGACAAGCTGGCCGAGTTCATCACGAAGCAGGAGAACAACTACCGCTTCACGCACCAGAATGACCCTGTCCCCAAGCTGCCGCTGGTGGGAATGGGCTACCAGCATGTCAGCCCCGAGTACTGGATTACCTCGGGAGACAACACCACGGTGACTGCCTCGGACATTGAGGTGCTGGAGGGCAATGTGAACTGGAAGGGTAACACGGGCACGGGCCTGCCGTTGCTCACGGATTTCCACGCCCATCACTGGTATTTTGAGAAGGCCGACGGGTGCAAGGGGCCCGGACTGCCCTTCAAATGATCTCAGGAGAGGAAGAGATGGGCGGACAGGGAGGGAAGGGAGGCTGGTTAGCATACCGTGCAACCCCAGTCTTCTCGGATCGACACCGGAATCGCCTTAAGTAATAGTATAAACCCTAATAAAAACCCAGAACGGACGCAATCCCTTGCCTAAGCACATATCCGACGGTGGCAGACTCCCACCCACTGTCCCGGTTCGTACATCTCTCTCGATCGCTCAATCCTCTGGCTCGATCTCTCGGAGATCGCTTTCCCTCCACCTTCGGGCCGCCGCGTAGATCCGCCAGTTTGGTGCCCCTTCACTCCCGCTGGAAAGACCAATGGAGGAGGACTCTTCATACGGAGATTGGACCCGTAGCCATAGGATTCATAGGAATGCTACCGCGAGGGCTCCCAAGTCCCACCGCCGCAAGTAGATAGATCGGACGATGACTCGCGATGACCATGCCTTTGCAATGCACGGTAATAAATATCGCAACGAAGTTCTCCCCGTCGACCGGTGTTTTTCGATGTGTTATCTTGTATCTTCTGCTTCTACACCACGATGTCCCCTCCTCGATATGCCCCGGCGCAGGTCAGCCTGCCTCGCCTGTTGCCCAGCGTCACCTCCTTTATTACCTTCATCCTGGGTATGCTTCTCATTTTCGCTGGCACGCAGCGCAAGTTCTTGCCTCAAGCAGATCTACTCACCGTAAGGCTCTTCCAGGGGTTTCCGCCCGTCACCCACCGCTGATGACTCGTGATCTCTAGTTGAATCTGCCTGACACCGATCTCCCGGACGGAGTCCCCGATTTCTTCAAGGTGTACCTCCTCTCCTATTGTCAGGGAACCAACGAGGAGTGCGTGACAGAAGATACCAACACGACCAGCATCGTGACTAAACTGATCGACTGCTCGGACCGCGATCTTCTCTTCACCTTCAATCCGGGGGACGCCATCGCCTCGGCGCTGGGTCTCGGGCCGGATGATCCTCTCCCATCAGGTCTGGACTGGCCCGGCTGGATCGACGACGACTTCGACACACTGGGTACGACCGGTCAGGCCATGTCGGTACTCTACGTGATCGGGACGACGGGTGCAGGCGTGTCCATCGCGGTGAGTCTGTGGACGATGTGGAGCGCCTCGCCTCTCTCGCCGCCGTCGACGATCCAATTCCTCGTGCTGTTGGTGAGTCTACACCATTATATAACCCCTTCTTGTTCCCATGGGACCACAGTGCGAAAACGACCGCTAACTCAGTCCAGACGAGCATGATGAGTCTAGGCATCGCGACCATCATCGCGAACGTCATCTCCGCGCAGTTCGTCAGCCTGATTGATAAATCGGGACAAGATGAGGGCATCTCAGCGGACCACGGCGAGGCCTTTCTGGCACTCTCCTGGGCGGCAATGGGCTTCCAGACACTGGGCACGGTGGCCAGTCTCATCTCCATCCTGGTTTATCGCGCCAAACATTGTCGATGTGACTGGGACGAGGGATCGCCGGCATCTCCGGACCTGGGGGAGCATAAGCCATTGGTGGAAGGATAAAAAATGGGCTCTTAATTGTATGATTAGTTATTCGGTTGCTTATTGTCTGAGATTTTTGTTGTGATTATCATGTCATGTTTTGGTTTCGTGCAGGGAGCGGGAGTCGGGGATAATGGCGTTGAATTATCAGCCTTAGCTTGCTTGTTTGTTGAGAATCTTTCAGATTCTGTTGTCTTCTCTAAATCGTGAGAGAAATGAAAAGTGCCGCGAATTCCTCAATGTACTCTTGGCTTCGTATCCTTGATATAAGGCGTCCAATTCGAGTCACGCAGTAAAGCATACCAAAGTCCAGAGATGAGGCTCTTGGGCATTCATTCCCTATCCCCGATGGAACGGTCCAGAGTCTATAGCGTACTATAGTCAGACTCCTTCAGGCGAGCTTCCCCTCCATTGACGTCGTGCAGACCGACGAATGCCCCTCCAGTGTAACCTGCCCCCTCTCGCTCGATGCGACTGAGGCAGTCGGGCTTGCATCGAGGCAAATCAGCGGCCAGAATGGTCGGTTGCGATTGCTATGGGACCTGGCAGTGGGCTGACCCAGCCGGTCAGTGTGATGGAGGTACATTTGTGGCTCGTATTTCCCCGTTTCTTCTGCATGAATCTGAATCGCGGCCAATCGAGGGCCTCGTCAGGGACGGGGAACTGAGCTGGTCAGATTTTAGTTGGCGGTTGATCCGCCTTTCCGAGACAAGTCCCGATTTTATGTAGTAAAAAGAAAAAAGCAAAGAGCTGGTGAACATGATGCGTAGGTGTGGGTGAAAGTTGATTCAAACCCCGGGGAACGATATAAATTGGAAATCGTCCCTTCCCATCAGGGTCAGGATTCCTTCGAGACGGTCATCGCACATCGCCAACATGCGAGCCCTTCTGATTCTGTCTCTTTTGCTGGGAGCGCAAAGCTCCCCTGGTAAGTAGTTTCGCTCTCTTGCTCTCCTCAATTTGTCTCAGCCTGGAGATTGACTTTAGACTTGTGTCGCATAGTGCTCAGCGCCTCCACCAGCAACCAGTGGCTGATCACGGCCAACACGTCCATCTTCTGGCCCACGTCCACCGATTACTTCTACGGGCCCACAGACGGTCCCGGGGCGTCGGTCGTGACTTGCAATGCCGAGTGGATTGAATACGACGGTCGCTCCAGCGAGCTGAGATCTCTGGGCCCGACGGCCACAACGACATCCTTCGGCTCCTATCCCAGCAGTTCCGGCGCCTGTCGCACCTCGACCTCTCTAGAAGACTGGTCTGACACACACACCGGTCCGCTGACGACTCTATGCGACGGGTATCCGCACGCCTTGGGCCCGCGCGAGACGGCCACGGGCTACTATCCCGGCACGGGGCCCTGCAGCTCATTCGACGTCCCCTACAGCGAAGAGAGCACGCTGTATCGATCCCCATCCCCCAGTCCGACCTGCACGCTGCAGGAAGACGACTGCGTGGCCATCTGGGAAACATACAGTAGTCGCTCCAGCGTCTGGGCCGAGTCCGTCACCACGTCGAGCACCGGCGACACGCGCAGTCCCATCCGGCCGTGGTCTTGCCCGACACCGGCGAGGAAGTATCCCGAGGAAAACCCGTGTTCGGCCTGTCATTTCCTGCCCGATACGGCCACCGTCTTCTACTGGCCGGTCCAGACGGCCGGGGGCGATCTATGCCTGCAGAACGGCACCACGATCGAGGCCACGCCCACGGCGCCTCCAGCCCCCAACACGGCGGTGATCGACGGGCACACGCTGGAGTCGCCTAGCGTGTACATCTCCTTCACCTCCATCTACGCTTGGAGCAACCGACGAGCGCACCCAGGCCATCAGTGCGGCGAATATCACTCGAACGAATTGATCGCAGTGCACCCGACCGACATAGTCTCGATCCGCAGACATCGCAACGCCAAATACCCCGTCATCGGCACAGAGTATCCCTTTAACTTCGCCGAATTCGCGCCGCAGACGCTAGGCGAGTACACGCAGACGGTGGTGCCCTGGCCGCAGTACCGTGGCGGGTCGCAGTGTCCCCTGGGCGACGGAAACACCTGCACGATAGTGCGCGATGACTACATGCCCTGGATGGAGCTGCCCGAGGCGGTGCGACAGATCGATCCGTCGTGGAGCGTGTGTCATCGCAGCTGGTACATTCCGCCGGTGACCCTGGTACCTCTGATCGACGGCACCGCTACCTGGACTCCGGCGCCGCCAGAGCCCACGGACTTTGTGGACTTGCAGATGCAAGCCGTGCCTCATTCGGTCGGGGCCGTGGCCACCCCGACGCCGACCAGCGAGAAAGGGTGGTAGAGTGGATGTGGCTGTGGCTGTGGCTGTGGGATATTGCGGCAATGTGTCTTGGAAATGTTCGACATGAACAGCAGTTACGAGGGAACGAGTGTCACAACGATTTGGAATATGTAGCAAATGAGATTCTATCAGGGAACATTGGGCTTGGATAGGTTTCAACTCAATAGTTATTCAAAAATGCTTGCTAATCTATCGTAGTTCACTGATCTGTTGTGGTGTGTTCAGCTCATTCACTCAATGCCCTCCCAACCACCACCCCCTGAGACCTCTATAAGACATGAACGCCGTCATTGGGCAACAAGCCCCAAATGATCCAGCTCATAGCCACCCGGAAATGCATGGAACCGTTTTTGTGCAACATGAAGAATGATATTACGCGGGAAAGTGTCGCCTCCTGAGGCCAATCGGCATCGAATATTTTCAAGGCAGGCGTTGATTGAGGTTGCGCGTGGTCAATTTCCGGCCCTGTCAGGGGTATTCCACCTGCTGTTGTGTTCTTGTGTTGGCCTGTTCTTTCTTATATCCTTCTACTCTCCAGGCAAGCAACCCCCAGCTGAGTCCACACCCGGCGAGATCCCAACACGATATCACGTCAGAATGAAACCTTTCGCAGTTCTGCAGATATGGGCCCTGGTCGCCTTCATTAGCTACACCTGGACTCTTGACATTCTCGAACAAACGAGTAGCGGTCTGTCCTACGAGCTGCTCAATGTCACCTACTTCGCCAACGCCGCCCACCCACGAACCTCGCTGGCGATTTCAGAAGGCGACGAGGAGCTCCAAGTGATGCCGATGACAGTCATCCTCACCAACCAGAGCGTCGTCACTGGCGAAGATGTACAGACGATTGTCTCAAGCTATTTGGCTGACGACGACGTGCTGTCGCCGGGCTTCCTGCACACCGTCTACATCACCTCGTCGGTCGCCAACGCCACGATCGATGCGACTGCTCTTCCTCCCCTCCGTGCGCTGGGAATGCAAACAGTCTACCTCGATGTTTATACTTTTGAGTCCGTTCCAACTGGATTTGTCACCGCCGAAGACGCGTCGCCCGGGGAGCTCCTGCCCGGCCCCTATACGGCGGTGGTGGCTCCCAATACCCTGGAGGTGCTGGACACCTATCGACTCTATCCCGACCCGTATCGGACCTTCATCACCGGGTCGTATGCCACGGAGGACGGCAGTGGATCCTTCCAAGCCCTGCCCCTGATGTGCCCGCGACGCTGGGCGCCGCTGATCCCCGTGCCCAGTCGCATCCCCTTTCGTCACGACCCCCGACCGTTGGCTGGCGTGCGAGTGGCCGTGAAGGATCTGTTCGACATGCGCGGACTGCAGACGTCGGCGGGCAGTCTGGCCTGGGTCCGAATCACCCCCGTGGCGGCCACAACAGCGCCAGCGCTGCAGCGACTGCTCGACCAGGGCGCCGTGCTGGTGGGCAAGTACAAGCTGGCGCAATTTGCCGGCGGCGGCAGCCCCTGGACCTGGATCGACGGCCAGTCGCCCTTCAACCCGCGCGGCGATGGCTACCTCACCTGCGCGGCATCCTCGACGGGCGGTGGATGTGCGGTGGCCGCGTACGACTGGCTCGACGCCGCCGTGGGCACCGACACGGCCGTCTCGATGCGACGACCGGCGGCGGTATCCGGGACATACGGCAATCGACCGAGTCAAGGCATGATGGCGCTGGACGGCATTGTGGCACAAAATTGGGCACAGGACACGGCGGGCGTCTTTGCTCGCGATCCCCGGCTGTGGATTCGGTTTGCCAAAGCGTGGTATACGCCGGACTTGCAGCAAGACTCGAACATCACGGGCCTGTCTCCGCTCATTGTGCCCGACAACCGGGCGTTCCCCACGCAGATCTTGTATCCCAAGGAGTATTTCCCCCTAGCCAACCCGGCCGCTCAAGCGGTGGTGGACCGGTTCGTGGCCCAGATGTCACGACATCTCAATCTCACCACGCGTCGCATCAACTTCACGCAGACGGTGGCCGACGGGCTGATCTTCGAGGGAGGCAACAACTGGGATCGCATCTTCAACTCGTCGTCGGTGCTCACGCTCTGGTCGCAGCATGTGGCCGTCACGGCACCGCTCCTGACGGCGTGGGCCCAACTGGAGAATGGTCGATTTCCGCCGGTAGACGCACAGTGGCGACGCGAATGGACGCAGCTATTCGACCCCAAGACCATCAATCCGACAACCTACGATCAAGCCCTTCGCGACAAGGCCCGGTCGGTCGAGTGGTTTGAGCGCAACGTGCTGCAGCAGACGGCGACCTCATGTTCGCAGTCGGTGATGCTCTGCCATGCAGCCAACGGCGGTCTTCCCAGCTTTCGCGAACAGGAGCTCAACACGGGACCCAATGCGACGCTTCTCGGGGTGGCCCCGGATCCGACGGCCATGCCTTGCGACCTGGTCTGTGCATTGTTTGGGTAAGTGGACCTCATCTCGTCTGTGCCCTTTTTCTTTCCCCCCGACTCACCGACTAATCGCGGCGTTCGTCCAGAGTAGATGTGCCGACTACACAATTCCCCTGGGCGCAGTGCCATACTACTCGCCGGTCACCCAGGTGACGGAGCAGCTGCCGGTTAGCCTTAATCTAGCCGTACGACGAGGCTGCGATCTGGTGCTGTTTAATTTAATCGACGAGCTGGCGGCGGTTGGGATCGTGCGGGCTGTGAAGACGGGCAGGGAGGTGTTTTGACGGGCGCACGCAAGAGTCCCGGAGAGCTTTTTTGTTTCTATTTTTGATTTAGGCTATGCAGGTTCCCTACGGAGTATGTATGTACATGTACATGCTCGCCATTCCGTCCGCCTTAAATTATTAATAGACACCGTACTGTGTAGTAGTATTCTCTCCAGGAGTGACTGACCCGTGGCGGTGCAATGCCCGGAGATCACCAAAGCTTTTCTTTCCGACTGACTGAAACGGTGAAACCCCCTTAGAAACTGGAGAGAGACGGCTGCAGCGATCGACGGCTGCACGTCTCCTTCGTGGAAATTAGCAGATGACAGCGCAGATGGAACGTTCCACCGTCGGGTGAGAAGGCACGTCTCGACTCGACTCGCCGGGAATCACCGGCGATCCAATGATCCAGTGGCCCCCAGTTAATAACGTACTAATATTAATTAATCTTCCCAATAGACCGGCGTCTTGGCTGGACCGGGGGAGCACAGCACCCTGAGCTGCATTATTGGCCCGATCGTGGCACCGGCGTTGGTTCTAAACTGCATTGGCGTTAGACATCAGCCCTAAGTCGATGCTAAACAACAGCAAGAGACAAAGGATCGTGAACTGCGCCACACCTCCAGGCTGGATTGATCATTATAGTAGTAATCAAATTCCTGGCCCCCCCTGCTAGCTGTATGTACCCTTGGGGCCTTTTGTCCCCCCATTCGTTTCGTGTGTTTTCGTTTCTTTTCTTGCCTTCCTTTCCCTTCGCTCCCCTCCAGGCCCCCGTCGGTCCCCCAACGTGCGCCGTCCATTGCAGTTCAGATTCGAATCCGCAATGGCCGACTCACATCGTCAGAGCCAGCATCTGCTGCCAGACTCCTCGAGGTCCGACTCGCCCGCCCCCGAATTGACCTCGCCCGAGCACGAAGGACCCGCCGCCTTTTGGAGCCCGTTGGGCCGCCATCCGTCCGTCGATCGGGGATACCTGCACGAATCGCCGCACGATCCGGCCTCGCAACCGGCTATCGGATTGGGAATCACCTCGCATGCTCCCTCGACAACTCCCTCCGCTACTCCGTCCCGCGATGCCTCGCCCGCACCGCCGCCGGTGGGCTCGACGACGCGAGAACCGATGCCGTCGGGCCCCGACGACGATGTCGGCGCTCGACACGCCTCGCAGGCGACGCTGGTCTCGCCGGTGATGCGATGTCCCACACAAAAAGGAATCCAGCAGCGTCGTCTGTCGTGGGTGCCACTGACAATCCTCACCCTGGCCGTCTACGCCACCATCGTGTCGGGCATCTACCTGGTGATCGCCTTGGTGCGACCGCGATACGGGCGAGCCATCGGCGAAGACGGCGCGGTGGTGCCGGCGACGGCGACGCTACTGAGTGCCCTGTTCGCCAAAACCGTGGAATTGTCGTACGTGACGGTGTGTGTCGCCTTTCTGGGCCAGGTGCTCAGTCGGCGGGCGCTGACGCAGGGCTCGCGCGGCATCACCATCTCGGACATGAGTATGCGTTCCTGGATCATGCAACCGGGCGCCCTGATCGTGCACTGGGAGACGCTGCGCTACTCGGCGGCCACCGTCCTGGGGGCCATCACGTTGACGGCCACCGTGGTGGCGATGCTGTATACCACTGCTGCGGAAGCCCTCGGTAAGTGTCTTTGTTCTCTTGGTGTGGTCTGCTGGAATAATTCACCCTCGATCTAACGGTATCTCCCCTCTCCCAGTCTCCCCCAAGCTCCGCATGGGACCGATGCAGCAGCGTCTGCTGGCTGGCAATGTATCGACCACTTTTGCCAATCCCTTCTACCTGGCCGACAACTGTCCGGCCCTTATCCACAAAGACCAAGACCCCGACTACCAGGGCACGACATGTCTGGACATGCAGCACGTCGGTCAAGCCTACCACAACTACCAGATGTATCTGGGAGAATGGGGCGAACGCAGCAGCACTAGCACGGCCCCCCGTCCCCTACCGACCGGCTCGCTGCACGACAACACGACGCTGACTGGCAGCTGGATCGAACAGACGAATCTGACGGAGCTGTCGAAGAAGCACGGCCGACTGGTCAACAACGTCACGGCGGCGATGCCGCACGGAGGCATTCTCAGCGTCACCGCGTACGCAGCCAACAAGCTGCCCGATCCGCAGTCGCTCTCGGGCGAGGGTAACTTCGACCTGGAGGCGTCGGTGCTGGCGCCGGCTGTCAACGTACTCTGCGTCGGCATGAACAAGTCGGAACTGTCGCCGCTGGTCTACACCGAATGGCCCGATATTGGCGACAAATTCGACGCCGTCAAATGGACCAACGACCCGCCGGACAATATCCCTGTCTATCCCAGTTGGCTCAACCGCACCGTCGTCGACGACCTGTTTGGCTGGGGCCCCAAATACGGCCAGCGCCCGCCGGTGTTTGGCAAGCTGCCTCGCCCCTATAACACGCTGCTGAACACCACCGGCCGGTATCCGGCCGACAGTATCTACCTGCTGGGCGCCACCGCGGCCGATTCCAATCCCCCCTACGTGCTCTGTTCCCTAAAGGCGAAGCAGAGTCCGCGCTGCACCACGCAGTACAATGCCACGGCGAGCGGATCGCAGCTGAGCACACGCTGCGAGGACTCGAACAACCCGTTGCAGCTCGATCACCGCCGTCCCAGCACCCCCGATGCGCAGTGGGAGCCCGATTGGAAGAACATCGCGTCCGAGTGGGCGACCTCGCTGAGTCTGGGGACCGGCATCACCGACAGCCGGGCCAGCAACGCGCGACTGCTAATGCAGCTAGTGCCCACGGAGATGAAACTGGACCCCACGCTGCCCTCGGTGGCTGAGGCGCTGGCGGTGATGGCAGGCAGCACGTTGATCATGAGCTCCACCAGCGCGCCCTTCGAGCCTGGCTGGAACTCCACCGAGGCATCTCTGGCGACGCCCGTGCCGCAGTCGTTCTCAGCGCGCGTCCGATCGATCGGATACGCGTCGGGCAGCTCGCAGCGCTGGCAAGAGGTCTTCTACGTGATCCTGATCTTCGCCTTCATCACCAGCGCCATCTGCCTGGCCTTCATGCTGTTCGAGGTGCGCGGCCGGCAGGTGACCGACTTCACCGATCCGCAGAATCTCTTCACGCTGGCCATGAACAGCCCGGCCACGCCGCGTCTGCAGGGGGCCTGCGGTGCCGGTCCTCAGGGACCGCAGCTCAAGGAGCGATGGGTGGTGGCTATGGAGGAGGACCACGAGCATTATTACCTGCGAACTCCGGGCGAGGATCCATTGGGGCCTCCCAAGCGATCAGCGACGGCGGTCTCCATGGCGTCGATGGAGGTCGAGGATCCCAAGGCGATCAGCCCGGCCATGAACGAGTATCGGCAGCTGTCGACACAGCGCAGCTTTTTGTCGCGATTCTATTAGCATAGCGTGTTTTGATGTTTTGATAGGCAAATACTTAATGATCTAATGATAATAGTTTGGTGTTCTGAGAGAGAGGAAGGGAATGGTAACGTGAGAAGAAGCCCACCCTACAGCTTCAACATCCCATCCCCGGAACCATTAACCAAGTACTCCAAATACTCCACGTCCCAAGTAGATGGACATCAGCCATGCGGGAATTGATGAGATGACGCAATTCCATGCAAAGTGACGTTTAGCCTGGTTCTTGCCCCTCTTGCTGTCTCAGCATAGATCCTCCTCGTATTGTCTCCTCTTCTCTTCCTCCCCTCTCATTCTCTGTTCCCCTTTGACTGCACAAGCAGACACCATGGCAATTGGAGTAGCTCTCATCGGCGCTGGTCAGTCTATCCTTGCCTCTGTTTGTAGAGTCGAGCTGACGTCAATTCTGCAGGGCTTTTTGCCCGCGAGTTTCATTTCGTAAGTATCTCCCCTGCCGGCAAGCCCTTGCCAACACTGGCTAAACCTGGGATAGCCCTCCATCGAAGCGTCGCCCCATCTAGAGCTCAAGGCCGTCTACTCGCGCTCGCTGAAGACCGCTCAAAAACTGGCCCCCGAGAAGCCCCTCGACCGTTACGCCGACGACACTGACCAGGGTCTCCAGCAGCTGTTGGCTCGCTCCGACATTCAAGCCGTTATCATTGCGTATGTCTCGAGGATGTCTCCTGTGCCGGCGTTCGTTTACTGACCCAACAGTCTGGCCATTGGAACCCAGACTCCCTATATTCACGCTGCCTTGTCCGCCGGGAAACATGTTCTGTCCGAGAAGCCCATCACGGACAATGTGGCTGAGGCTGTAGAACTGACCCGTTGGTATCGGTCGGAGATCAGCCCGACGGTGAACTGGTCCGTGGCCGAGAACTGGCGATATCTTGACAGCTTGCACTACGTGCGACAGCTCGTGCCTCAGCTGGGACGCCTCTCCCAGTTCCGGACGCTGGTCTACATCAACGTCGGTCCTGAATGGTCGTTCGCTCGGTACTTTGGTAAGCGCTTCTTCCTTTCCCCGGATATATATCTAGAATGGACTCTCACGGATCGACAACGATCGGCGACAGACACGACCTGGCGACATGAAGCTCAGTATCAGGGCGGGTATCTGCTGGACGTGGGCATCCACTTTCTCGCCGGCACGCGCTACTTACTCGGCGATGAACGCATCGCCCGTGTCGCCGCCTTCACCCGCGGCGTGAGTCCCTCGATACCGCCGCTGGACACGTTGGACGCCATCCTCCAGGCGGAATCGGGTCTCCAAGGCAGCGTGCAGATCGCCTTGGGCTCCTCCCAGCCAGGGGCGGGATGGACAGTGGTTGGCGAGCACGGCTATATCACCGCCACCGAAGTCAGCGTCACGTCGAAAATCCATGGTCGCGAAGATGTCAAGGACTTCACGGCCGATCTCCTCGCCGTGCCGCCGGAGGTGCGTGCCTGGGGTGAGGCTATAGCCAAGGGAACGCCGAACGCTCAGCAAGCGCCAGAACAGGGACTGGCTGATTTGGAACTGGTGAGTCGTGCGAGATATCTGCGAGAAGAATACTCACTAATGTCGACCAGATCGAGGCGATGCTGCGGAGTGCAAGTCAACAGGGCCAGCTGCAGACCACAAAGCATCAGGTGGAGGGATGAGTGTTTCCGGGATGGTAGTTTGTTAAATTCTGTATTTGATCTCATCTTACCAGTGCAATCTATTTTTCTCGATATTCAGATTCCTCGTGGTGTTCACTCACCAGTCGCTTCGATTCGTTCATTTTTTGATCGAAGGAGCATTTCTGCGAGATATGTGGATTTAGTATACCAGAGTACTTTCTTTTAAGACTTGAAATGCGAAATGCGAATAGCGCATTATTCGCCCACAGATGGATATGTAGAGGAAGTGGGTATAGTTCAAGTTTGGGTCAACGCACTCCACGGTGGTTCTCTTCGCCTCTCGCCTTTCGCCTTTCGTCTCACATTATGCCCTTGGAATTATCTTCACGTTGGCTGACTTTTTGATAGATTTTTTGAAAGCTTTAACAGTAACCTCGGTGCTACTTGGTTTCTGAATTTATTTACATTCAATTAATTAATCAATCAATTAATCCATCAGTCACTTCTAGATAGTCCTCAACACCTATCATTGCCCGTCTTACCATCATACATCCACGAAAACCAGCCAACATGGAACATGACCCCAGCATCGGTTTGTCTCTCGCTCTATGTTACCGGAACAAACATATTGACCACACTGTGAACAGAGGGATATTGCACCTCGGACGAGTCGAGTTTTGCCTATACTTCCGCGCACGATCGGTGGTCCATTATCTTGGTACGCGCTCTGTCTTCCCCAACCAGACTGAAAAGTATCATAATTAACGACACTCTATTTAGACGGGAGCGATTGCCGATATCTCTGAAACGTCGAACACCCTCGAGGACCCGGATGCCAGGGCCAAGGGCGAAAGAATCATCAAGGGTCTCCGGAATTTGCAGTTCGAGATCCAATCAGATGCGAAACTGACGTAGGTCTCTATCTCTCTATAATCTGTGGAGTTCTTTTCCATGAACCATCTAACGCCGGGGATGGAATAAAGGCCTCTGTATGATGATGGCTCCGCTGAAATCGCCGACTACAACAAGGAACTGGGCCAAAGGAACCCCAGTTGGTTGAACGTGTTTTGGCTATACGGGGAGTGTTATCTGTGTAAGTCATTCCTCTATACTCCCGGATTCCGAGCTCTCCTGCCCTGGTCAATGTGCTGATCTAAGGCGAGGACCATGTCAGACCGAAGGATTCGGTCTCTCTTCTTGATGTCTACCAAGTGGAAGAATTACGATGTCTTTGCCCACCAAAAGTCCTCCACATTCCAGGCCTCGAAACCGGCAATTCTCGAGCTTGCAGCTCGGTACAAGACGGTCGTTCAGAGCGCGAGCGCCCTGGTTCAAGACAGGTCATCCGAGGCGCTTCTGTTCCAAGAAATGTGTGAAATCTGCCTTTGGGGTAACGCCACCGATATGTCACTCCTCACCTCGCTCACCTACGAAGATATTCAAAAGCTGCAAGGGTCCGAAGCCCGGAAGACCCAGGCGAAAAACGTTCTGATCAACGATATCCCCGCTGCATTCGATGTGTTGGACAACGCCCGCCGGGAAAAGAGAGGCGGGGCACAAGTTGACATTGTACTAGACAATCCTGGTTTCAAGCTATATGTTGATCTTCTCCTGGCCGGATTCCTGTTGTCAACGGGACTCGCGACCAAGGTTGTCCTTCATCCAAAGTCCATCCCGTGGTTTGTCTCTGATGCTATGCACGCGGACTTCACGAATTTACTGTAGGCCTTGTCCGAACTGGAGAGATTTTTCATCGGAAACCCTCACGAAGGAGGGACCGCATCACCGACCACTTCATTCAGTGATCAAGAGCGCGATAATCTACTGTTTTTGTCCGATCAGTGGCACGCGTTCTAGTCGTCAGGACGGTTGATCGTTCGTACAAGAAGATCCGTTCTGGACGACAGTAGGTAGCTCCTGGCGACTACCGCACCTGGCCCCGGGTCTCTTTATCGAGCTTAAAGAAAGTGACCTGGTTATTTTCAAAGGGGATTTGAATTACCGGAAGCTTACCGGCGATGTACGTCCTTCCTCAATTTCCCTCCCCGATCAAGAACTCCGCACAAAACAGCGACAACGGCTAACCTCGTGCTCACAGGTCAAATAGGATACAACGACGCTATTTCCGACAGCCATAGGGCCTCTGGGAACTAGCTGGGGGGTCCGCACTCTGGCTCTAAGGACCTGCAAGGCCGACGTTGTGGTTGGTCTCGCCGAAGGTGAGGATGAACGTCTGCGGAGTGCGTAGGACGGAGAACACCCTACTGAAGGACGTAGATGGGCATAGTCTATAGACATACTTTGTGAACACAACTGTTGAGTAGTTAATGCATGGATGACGTCATGACTCACCCTTCCGTCATGTTGCTTCATTCCTCTTTCCTCTTTCTTCTTTCTTGCTTCTTCCGTATCCCTTCCTTCTTCCCCAAATCCCTCTTGGAGATCCAATTCCATCCTCTCATGGAAGGATAAACCCAACCCGTCATCATGGGAGGTGGTCCGCAATTCCCCCCCTCTACCGGGCGGGATTCCCCCGTGGACGCCGGAAAGGCCAAACGGTTGCATGCGGTGGTGGACATGGGCAGGTCAGTTCTCCCTCCCTCTCTCTACGATGATTTGCCCCGTATATGCTGACATTGGGATGCTAGTAACGGCATTCGATGTTCGATTACCGATCTCTCCGCTCCGACCACGCGAATCTTGCCCACAGTCTACGCCCACCGCGTCAATATCTCTCTCTACGAGGCCCAATTCGACGACCGTGGCGACCGAATTCCTATCCCGCAATCCGTCATTCAAGCCGTGATCGGTGCCATCCTGCGCTTTCAGATCGTTTGCCTGGAAATGGGCGTTCCCGCCCGGAATACTCGCATCATGGCCACGGAGGCGACGCGCACCGCGCCCAACGCCTCTGAGTTCATGCGCGCGCTGCACGAAGCCACGGGGATCGCCGTCAAGACACTGACCAAGGCCGAGGAGGGCGTCGTGGGCGCATGGGGCATCGCTAGCGGATTCTCGCAGCTGGCCGGTCTTGCGCTGGACCTGGGCGGCGGCAGCATGCAAATGACGTGGATCGTGTCGAACGCCGGCCAGGTGGTGACGAGCCCTCACGGCGCCGTGAGCTTTCCCTATGGTGCCGCCGCCCTCACTCGGACGCTGGAGGAGCTAGAAAAGGGCCGCAGCAAGGAGGACGCTCGTCGGGCCAAGATGGCCTTTCGCCGTACCGTGGAGGAGAATTTTCGACGGGCCTGGAAGACCTTGGACATTCCCCAGTGGCTCCTCGATCGCGCGCAGCGAGACGGCGGCTTCCAGGTGTATCTATCGGGCGGCGGATTCCGGGGCTGGGGATACCTGCTGTTGTACCGGCACCAGGCGCGCGGCGAGGACTATCCCCTGTCCATCATCAACGGATACTCGGCGCCCAAGGAGGATTTCGAGAACACTCGGGCCTTGAAGGAGATCGCGCGCACCGCTCGCAAGATCTTCCGCGTGTCCGACCGCCGGCGCAAACAGGTTCCCTCGGTGGCCTTCTTGATCAACGCCCTGGCCGAGGCGGTTCCACACGGCATCCGCGAGGCCCACTTCTGTCAGGGCGGCGTGCGCGAGGGCCTCCTCTTCCGCACGATTCCTCCCATGGTGCGCCAGCAGGATCCGTTGACCGTGGCGACGCGGCCCTTTGCGCGCCCCTCCGCGCAGGCTCTCGCCGGCTTGCTCGTCGCCTGCATTCCCCGACCGACTGCCGACCGACGCTTTCCGCCGTCCGTGTCCGATCAGGTGCTGCAGGCGCTTGCGAACGCCCTCTACGTGCACGCCGCCCTGTCGACCGAACTCTCGTCGGCGGCCGCCTTGTACAGCACCGGCACGGGCGTGCTGTCGGGCGCGCACGGGGTACCGCACGCCGACCGGGCGCGCCTGGCGCTGATGCTGCAGGAACGCTACGGCGGCGAGCTGCCGCGACGCGAGCAAGCCTTTCGGGATCGTCTGCGCGATCTGTTGACGCCGGAGGAGGCCTGGTGGATGCGATGCGTGGGCAAGGTGGCACTGGTGCTGGCACGCGTCTACCCGCTGGGCGTCGTTGACACCGCGCGACCACGGCTGCTGCCCCTGGCCGAATGGGCCGACGATTTGGGCTCGCACGGCGATCGTGCCGGCATCGCCCTGAAGTTCGCTGTACAAAAGGTGGCCTTTGATCCGACGCTGCTGAAGCAGGAGTTGGCGCAGGACATACGGAAGATCCAGAAGGTGGGCAAGCGGAAAAATTGGATCGGGGGCCGCGACGGCTGGGGGATGAAGGTGAAGGTGAAACTGGTGGAAGAGGATCTGCTGTAGAAGATCTGTTTTATTAACATTCCTTTATTTCTGGCAGCACTGCCCTAAGGCATTGGACGGGCGATCGACGGGAAAGGATCGTCGGCGATGGCGACGACTGGGGATGACTCAGTCCTGCCAGCGAAGCGCCAGCTAATGAGAGTCTGCGATGGCGTCAGGATCAGACGGGCCAAGAGAGACACTCCTACGTCAACCTTGGGTCCTGGTTCTTTGGCTTTCCTCGGGCCCCGTCCCCTCCCCCTTGCACATGTCAGCCTGCTGCATCCTCCTCCTGCCCAATTCGCAATGTGAGATGTTCCCGTCAACGGACCGTCTCACGACGTCCCCATGTCTTCGTCTGCCTCTCTGTCGCATCGCTCGGTGCGGTGCCCGACTTTCTGGCGCCATATCTTCCAGCTCGTTGCCGTGCTGATTGTCGTGGGGAGCCTCTGGGAAGCGCTGCGCGTTCATCAACGGGTCCGGCCATCGCCCGCCATCCCCTCAGATCAAGCCTCCCGACACGGTCGCATCTATATCGCTAGCATCCAGAGCAACGCCGAGGACACATTGCGCCGTCACTGGAATCATGCCGTGGTGGAACTGGCCCGAACGCTAGGCCCCGAGAACGTGTATGTGAGCGTATGGGAGAGCGGCAGCGAAGATGATACTCAGGATGCGCTACAAGATCTCGACCGCGGCCTAGATCGCTTTGGGATACCTCGAAATATCACACTGGGCTTTCCAACCCGTGCGGAGGAGGCTCTCACGGCGGCGAAAGAGCACGGATGGATGGCCGGCACTCATCAGATCAAAAAGCAGAGACACATCCCCTACTTGGCCCGCCGGCGCAATGCCTCCTTACAGCCGTTCTACAACCTGCTGGCAGATGGAATCACTTTTGACCGGATTTTGTTTCTGGAGGATGTGGTCTTCATGGTAAGCGATGTCGTATCTGACTCCCGTTGCTACTGCCTCGTGCTTTCGCTCACGCGCCGATGTAGACGGCGGATGTCCTTCGTCTTTTGGACACGAACGAGGGCGACTATGCGGCAGCGTGCGCCCTCGACTTCGCCCAGCCCCCGCGATACCACGATAGTGGCACCTTGAGAGACTCGCAGGGTCATCGACCGATCATGTCCACATGGCCTCTATTCCGCGCCGCCGACTCGAGACGCGCCATGCAAAACTTGTCACCCGTTCCGGTGGCGAGCTGCTGGAATGGAATGGGTACGCACCTCTTTCATCGCTTCCAGAGGCATTTGTTAACTTTTCCGTCGGTCTGCAGTCGCCATGCCGGCACATCCCTTCATGGACGATCCGCCACTGCAGTTCCGAGGCGTTCCCGACCAACTGGCCGCTGCCCGATTTGAAGGTTCCGAGCGCTGCCTGCTGCATGCCGACAATCCTCTGTCAGCTACTCGGGGCCTATATGTGAATCCTCACGTGCGTGTGGCCTACGGAGGTGCGACGTACGCAGCCGTGCAGCCCGTCCAGAGCTGGTTGTCCTTTTGGCATGTCCTGGGGTCGCTGTGGGAAAGTCGCCTGCGACGTAGCGTGCCCATTCCGTCACCAACTGAATGGAGGATATGCCGGCGCCTGGCGCGATGGGAGAGTCGCAGCACGTTGAATCGCGAGCCCGGTCGCTTCTGTCTTCTGGACCACTCACAGGAATTCCTTCTCTCGGGTGAGGTAGACTGATGACCAATGCTGGAGTGGAGGGTTTCTGCTCATGTTAGCGAACTGAACATCACTCTTTACCAATTTCTTTTCTCCGACCGTGGCTCCGGCTACAGAGAACCCTTTTACTCGAAATCAGGCCATGTGGGCTTAACTTCCCACCGACATAGGCAATGCTGACAAATGCCTTGTTTTTTGTCTTTCAACCCTAACAATTTGCAATACACGAGGCCTGCCGCTCGGCGTGGAAAGAGAATCTCCACGCTGACCTTCGGCAATCGGCAGGCCTCGGCGTGGGGAGAAAATTGTTGACCCACGATGAGCCGACTTCGGGTTTAAATTTAACCACTTCGCCCTGAGCCAGTCTTTAACCTTGATTCTGTACCCACGACAAGCCCGAGCCTCCCACACAAGGTGAGACATCAACCAACACGGCGCCGGCTATTTTTAGCCGGCAGCCCAGCGTTGGGCATGGTTTCGGTTATAAAGTCCTCAGAACTACGCACCCTGATCACCAGTCATCCAGCATATCAGTCGTTCCTTTTCTGTTCTCCCTCTCGCTCTTTATTGCATCTTGCATTTCCTCCTATCTATCATGGTCTCTACAGCCACCACCACTGGCGCCGCCGCCAGCACCACGACTTGTGGATCGTCCGCGCAGTATGAACTGCCCGTGAAAGACGCCGCCTGCGGTGTCCCCAACACAACCAAATATAAAAGTCTCTTCGAGCAGTGTGCCAAACCGGCCGGGGTCCTTTCTTACGACCACGATTGTGCTTTGTACGGATTGGCAGTCGATCAGTCCGTCCACGATCTTACCCAGTGTTTGTATGACGCCGGCGTCGCCTGGAAAGACGTCTGGTGCTACGGCGACACCAATGCCACGGCCACGGCCACTTCCTACCCGACAGCCACGGCGACCTCCAGCAAGACGCACACCACCGGCAAGACGAGCACCGCCAGCTCTTCCTCTGCCAGCTCCACGGAAACGTCGGCGGCCATGACCGTGCAGCTCTCCAAGAGTCCGATGGGGCTGCCGTCCGTGGTGGTTCTCTCGACCCTCTTCGTATCCGTTGCCTTGTTTGGTTTACAGTGATTATCATTCTCCCGATGAGGAAATCGGGTGGTCCATACTTCTTTTTACTTTTCTTCCATCTTTCTGTACACTAGGCTCTTAATATTATTCTTTTCTGACGGGTCATATTCTGTCCATTTGTACTTGGAATCCTCTTTGTCACTGTATTGCCTCTAATAAACGGGGTTTAGAGGGTAGATAATTCCACATGACGCACGAAAAAGAACTAGTATGATCGTCAACCGTATCGACACAAGCCATTTGGACCTGAAGGATTCACTGCATAGCCTCTGATCAACGGGGTTGGAGAGTAGATAGTTGCACATGATGCACGCACGAAGCTATCATAATCGTCAACAGTATCGACTCATCCCGTTTGGACTTGAAGGATTGACTGCATACCGAAAAATGAATTGAGTCAGTAACAGCAACGCCCATGATAGCACATTCCACAGCAAACTAAATCGTTAGGCACCACAAATTCTCTTCCCGGGTTATATGAAGACTTGAAATTGAAGGGAAAGGTGAAAAGAAAACAAAGTGGCATTCAGCATTCAGATTCAATGGAATGGCGCCGGTTATCTTCTACTTCCACTGCTCTATTTCGAACCGCCGACTTCCTTAACAAACCCTCTTTGTACACAGCGTCCTCGTACACTTCGCAGCCCATCTTTTCTCTCGCCCCCGGTGATTTCGCCGAAGATGCAGAGATCAGGTAGATAGGAAACCAGAAAACAAAGACGACCAGTCGTGAAGGTAACATCTAGTGAAAGTCATAAGAGTGTTAGTAAGTAAAGGAACCACGCTCCATACATACTCCACCACCACTGAACCGAGTCTTTCCTTACTTACCGGGGATACCTGAAATCGAAATCCAAGTCTAACCTCTAGCCGATGCGTGCGACGCAAATTACAGGTCTCAAAGCTAGACGTCGCCCCTTCCGGCAGGGGATGATTTTGCCAGAGCTCGCTCGACACCCACACAGGTCGTCGGTCCTGACTATGTTCGAAGAACGGCATCGATTGCTCTAAATTAGCCACGGTCTGCACGACCCAGACTTGCGCCACGTGCTCGACATCCTCCCGTACTCGGACCTGGGTCGTCTCAACGAGCATGGTTTGAAAGTCATCGAGTTGCACGGAGCATGATGAGGGACTGGTGCGTGTCAGGGCGACTTGTAGCGGAATGGGCTGCCCGCGCAATAGGCACGGGCCATGCGCTAAGCGCGTCTCGACGTGGAATGAGACGGGCTGAGCAGAACCCAGAATCTCGGGATCCAGGGTTACGGATTGGATCTGTTTAGAAGGTGGTTGGAGAGGAAGAGAGTCGGAAAGAGGTTGGAAGGCAATTATACAGCTCTGGTGAGAAAGTCAGACCCTGAAAGGCTACCATACCTGTTCGACGGCGTCTCCGCCTGTAGGGGGTTCACTCAACTGTTCTCTCACGCGACTTGAAACGTCCTGCGGGTGTGACTTCTGCGTCTAGGGTAAATTTTATCTCGCCAGATGTGCCAATGGGGCCTGTTGATGGAGGAAGTCGTCGTAGAAGGTGCATTAGTGGAGGTGGTCGAGGGCATCGGATGCCGCTAGTACATGTCACGTCCAACGTGTCGCCATCCTCGGTTTTGTAACATTCGGAGACTTGAGAGAACTTGATGCTCGTCAGCTTCCAAATAGAGAAGAGAGCCCGTTTTCTCGCGGGACCCTTGCTGGATCGCAAACTCACGGGAATTGAAAACGGAAAGCGATGGGTACCTGCACCGACCGTTAAGCCGGGATGATCAGGAAACTGGGCAATGGCTGGGGGAGGAAACACTCGTTGGCGTCGGCGAAAGAGCTGGTCCGAATCAGTATCTACTCACTCAGACCAGTAGAAATATGTACAGACCTCGTGCTGCTCGGCAAAACGTTCGTCTTTCAACGATGACCTGGCGCTCCCTTTCAGTGTGACAACGATTCCAGATATCTGTAACGGGATGGCGCTACGCAAGACCAGCTCGCCGGACACGACCTCATGATTGCTATAGGCGGACTTGTCTCCGTTCAGTTGAAGTTGAAGGTCCATGGTGGGCGTTGAATGCATGAATAAAAGATCGACAATTGATGAATACATTAGTTCGTATCTCCCAGGTTGTTCAGATTGTCTGTAACATGAAACGGAAGAGAAGCCCTTAAATGTACTTTGCTTGCATTCGTATGACTTGGTCTTCGTTCCTGGCATTCTTATGAATCACCATCTTGTGACTAGACGAGAGAAGATTGCAAGAAAGAAAACATAAAAGGATAAGGGGAAAACCATGGTCGGGGATTTGATAGAATGGGTTGTCTCAGCTAAGCCTTCAAAATTTTCGTAGTGAACGTGAAGCAACATTGGCAGCAGGCCACGACTATTTTTGACCGGTAGGCCTCACCATGGCCCTTAATACTTGGCACTGGCGCTATATCGTCGGAGTAGTCGACGGAGAAGTATCTACCTGCCCACCGGTTCATGATGGGTGCCAATGATGGATGACCTTGATAGGTTGACCCCGGATCTCCCCCCTTGACCCAATCTGCTCGGACATCCTGAACCAATGACCAGAGAGATCGGAAAGACCGACTAAAATTAACTTCAATTCCATGGCCGTTGGGCCCATGGCGAGGATCCACCAGGACCCAGAAGACGTCGGACGAGGCGAAATGAGGGCTCGTGATTGATCCGTGACCGAAACAGCCCTAATTCTAGCGGCTCTTGGCGGAAGATTCGTCCAGCCGACATCTGCATCGCCATCGTCGCATCGCCGCAGCGTCCGCCAGAAGCCGGGCTTGAACAAATTCTGCAGCTGAAGGGGGAGAGAAGACACGCGTAGTACTGATCTCTGTCTCGAAAATAAATGAGATGTGTTGGCCTCGTTGAGATGGATGCCACATCTGCCATGTCCACTCCTTCGTCGGTGGATTCGCGACCCCATCATCCTGCAGTAAGTGACCATCTTCTGCATGTCCTGTGCTCGGTCTGCTCGATTTCAATCACGCTATTCGATCTATATGAGAGGCTCACAACTAACACGATACTCGCAGTGCGATCTGTGTCATGCGCGAAAGGTATTGGAAGAAAGAAGGAAACCCCCCTCGCGATAAAGTCGGACGAAGAAACTAATGTCTGCTGCAGGTACGTTGCGATCGACAAGATCCCTGTGGGAACTGCCAGGACGCCAACACGGCATGTCTTCGTCAGCGACCTCCTCGCCGGCATCGTAAGGAATTAGTCCGACGTGGTCCCAATCCCCACCCCCGTTCCTCTCGGGAATCACGCCCCATCCAGCCGGCTTTGCAGCAAACTGAGGGACCGACGGTAGATTCGGGGGTATCTCATTCGTCCCACATGGACAAACGGCGGAATCCGTCGGACGGGCTTGGGGAGCCGCAGGGCTGGATCTCGCTCGTGCCCTTAACCGACGCTCAGATCTCCGGCACCTTGTATCAGTTCGATTACGTATCCGGACTGACAGTCGATCGGCGCGAGGCTCTTGAATCGGCTCTACGGGTTGCCAGTCACGTCTCGGACAGTGTTGACAGCGCCGGCCAAGTGAGTGGTATGGCTATTTCTGTAGTAGACGGGCTTCCCAAGATCCCCGGTGCCGAATTTCTCTCCTGGATGCTACGAGGTATTTACTCGCTTGATCACGCGTTCTATTCGAAGTAGATCTAACGCTGGCGTAGATATCGAATGTGATCGCTTCGGCGCTTATGTACAAGACTATTTCCGACATGTCTCCCTCTCTTCTCTCAAGAAGATGGGCCTGGCGCTGTTACGTCGAGAGGTGCCAGCCCCGACTTCGACCATCTACACGGTCTGTGTTAATGCTGTGGCATACAAATTCTTGACTACCGTCCTGACCGTCGACGGCGGCGACGATCTGACCGAGGATTTGCGTGTCAGGGCCCAGGAATACCGTGCCAGTGCGCAGGCCGCGCTGAAGCAAATACCCTTGGTGACTCCACCGTCTTTGGCCCTCTTGCAGGCCTTGCTATGTGGTGTATGTTTGTCTTTTTCTCTCCCCTTTTCCTCCATATTTCTGTGTAGGCGAATGCGGTTGGGCTAACTGGATAGCAGGTTTTCCTTCACCAAGGCTCTGGTGATACGACGTTATGCTGGGGCCTGACGAAGGCTGCCTGTCGGGTTTGTGTGGACTTAGGTTTGGATGTAGCCGTCCTTCAGGGCGCCAGCATCAGCTCGGATACCTATTACTGTGTTATATGGTGCTATATGCTCGAGAAGAACTACGCCTGTAAGACTGGTCACTGTCGATCCTCACTTAGCGCGTCCCTGGGGACAGACCTGCCCTCCTTGCCCCCGCCTGGTGTGCCCGTTTCCGGCCTCCTCGAGATTTACATCGACCTCGCACGTATCCAAGCCGTACTGCTACCGTACCTGGAGAGCTCATCGGCAGAGTCCCGTGAAGGGCCCACCTTTGACGATGTGGGCGACGAATTGCTCTCGAAGATGAACCAGATCCATTCGAAGATTGAGCAGGTAAGGCTTGGCGATACGATACCTAAACCTCTACTGCCCGCAATAGCTGATGACTTTGGATAGATTGCATCTCCGTCACCTCTCTGGAAAGGTTTAGACATGAATAGCGAAGTTGCCGCACTGCAATTTGCATTCCACTCCGTCATGACTGCCATCTTTCATCTTAGACAGGTCACCTCTAGCCAGACCGCCAGCTCTACAGAGCTTTATCTACAGTCAGCGCGTCAACCCTTGTCGGCATTGGTGTCAATGTGTTTGTCCTGTGACAAGCAAAGCACCGTTGCCTTTCTACATTGGTACGCTAATTTGCTTATCACACTCGGGGAGTAAAGTGACTAACTTGGTGCATTTCAGGACCTTATTGTACTACCCTCTCACGGCCTATTTTGTATTATTTTGCAATGTCGTAACCACGGCCAACCTTGCGGACTTCGAACTTTTGAGCACCATTGCCGACTGCTTGGCACACAGTGGCTCGATCAGTCCCCCGATCGCGCAGCTCCAGAGACTCTTTTGCAAGCTAGTCTCACTGGCCCAGTGTTTCCTGCCGGGAGGTCGTCGATCGATCGCAGACGACACCACCAGCTCCTCCACAGCCGTCACGATCCCGACCCACGCGCCTTCAGAGGATGCGCGCGGCTGGCCCTCCTGGCCATACTGGGGTGAAAGTGGCATGGCAATTCCTACCACCATGATGACACCGTTCAAGGATGGTAATGTATCATATTTGGACTTCCCAGCCTGGGATCCGTTCCTTGCAGTCAATGGCAACAATTTATTTGTCGAAAGCGATTATGGGAATTGATGCCCACCACAAGCATTGCGCTCCGACCGTTGATATCACGATGAACACTACGCCAGTATATCCTAGTACATATACATCGGTCATCACAGTTCAATGCCTTGTACGCTACAAGGAGAGACAATTGAGTCGTCCTCCTCACGAACGCCGACACTCCCACGACAAGGCCAATCAGTATTCCTGTTTGAACTACCACGTTTCCTGCTCGTTACATCATTCGTCCATAATCAATGTACTTGCAGCGACGACAAAATCCCATCCAGAACCACCTGTGAGCCCGTCGTGAAAGTGGCTTCAAAGCCTAAGAAGAGGACAGCACGGGCAATTTCCTCAGGGTCCCCGATACGTCCCAGCGGCGTCAACTTGACCCCCTCGCCTTCAAAAGCCGTCCGATTGTCAGCGGACGCATTCGCTACGCCCATAGTCGGTGTTTGAACAAACCCAGGGGACACAGCGTTGACTCGGATGCGGCGCCCGGCCAGCTCGGCGTGGAATGATTCCAGCGCCGCATATCCATCGTTGACAAAGAGAAGGTCGGCCTGAGTTCCGGATCCGAAGAAGGCTGCCGCCGCAGAGGTGATATCACAGGCCACGACGTGAATCTGATGATGGTCGAGTTGCTCTTGAGCCATGCTTGAGCGTCCCATTCGACAAGCAGCTGAACAGTCGATGGGCCAATCCCATACCGTACCTGATCACCTGACGAACATCCCCACCTGACGAACGTTTTTCAACTCAGCGCCCACGTAGGAATTGAAGC